TTAGTACAAGTCAGTCTATGTTCTGCGTTTTTTACATTTTCAACTTCCTTTAGTGAGCAATCTTGCTGTAGGAGCTTGAAAAATATCTACAAAGCACAAACTCCACTCAAAAGTTCATAAATGCGGTTCTTCTGAACTATTCTGAGAATATGCTTTTCACAATAGCATGGATTTAAATCATTGCTGATGAGTTGTGTTTGGCTAGGCTCAGCTTGAATTAACTCCACAACAAATACATAAAAAAACCATTGGGAAAGTTCTTACACTCTCAGAAATAAAGGTACAGGAGCTGTCACTGGGGCAGTACCTTTTCAAAATGTACATATTTGTACATGAAGGGTCCATAATGGTATCTTAAAGGTACTTTTAGGTACATTTGGTACTAATATATACATTTGAGGTACCACTGTGGACTCTTTGGGTACAAATATGTATCTTTTTAAAAGGTACTGCCCCAGTGACAGCTCCTGTGCCTTTATTTTCTGAGAGTTTACTGTAGTGACTTTTACAAATGTTATGTGAGATCTGCTTCCTTCATGTCTGTCACTGTGCTGTTTATCTGATGCAGCCGGGGACTGAAGCACACTCTGACTCTTGAAAACAGCTACAGTGTGTTCTGACCAGAAAACTCAAATAGTCTGAAAGCTATAATAAACAATCTGATGGGTGTTGTGAGCTGAAACTTTACAGAGACGTTCTAGAGTCCCAAAAGACGTTTCTTAAATTTTGAAAAAGGGGTAAAATAGTTGCCCTTTAATGAGATGTTAATGAGGAATAACTGTTGTTAATAGCATCTTATTGGCCTGTTTAGCAGAGCCCACCATGGAATAAACAATATAAGCTGTGACAATTTGTAAAATATTATGAATACATCTAATATTTCATGATATTAGATGATAACATATGTGTACTTGCATTACACTGAACAGTTTTGACAAACAGGTGTCCCACGCTTGTGGTGTTTCAGATGCTTTGAAATTGTGAAAGTGAATCCTTTCGGTGAATCCTGGTTCAGTTGTTTCAAACCTTTGGAAAGCTTTCCTTCTCCCCTAGGGTTGTCACAATATTGGAATTGGGTACCAATTGATACTGAAATTTGAAAAATGTCAATTTCCCCCTAACATTTGAGCAGCGCTGATTTGCCATTGTGTTCACATGCTTAACAGAAATTACTGTGATTGGCTGTGAAGGTCATGAGTTTACCCAACTCACCGCTCTTTACTGAGTGTAACCACAGATACAGGGATACACTGGAGGGTTTTAAAGCGCTGATTCATTAGCGGATCACACGTATTTCAGCTTATAAACAAAGCAGCTGATCGACATGACTTTGAAATGCCCCAGTGTCTTTGTATCAGTTGTTACTCTTGGTAAACAGTTGTGAGTTCGGTGACTGATGACATTCACAGCCAATCACAGTCATTTCTGTTGAGCACGTAAACACAATGGCAAATCAGTTTAAGAACGCTCTCAACAGCCCTCATATGTCAGCAGGAAACAGACGTTTTTAAAATTCCAGCATCATGACAAAAGTTAACACTACGTTATGGTAACTTTGTACATGTGCACAACAGCCTTTTTACACAATATTGTAAATGCCTAAGACATGCTATATTGGATTAACCTTAGTATTGTGTTTTCACCAGGTGTGCCTCACATATCTTGAAATGTAAAGCCAAAATATTTAGGTTGCCCACTGATGGCTGACAGCATTGACCATTCTCTTGGGACAAGAGCCAAATGAAATAATAATAATTACACTTTAAATATTGATTTACAATGATGCTATCATTATAGCATGTTAATATGCATGTTAAAAAAAACATTCATTCCTTTGATGTTTAGTGTTGTCACGATTGTCTGCTTATGATTGGCTCTTTAGGAATGTAGGCTCCATTTCATGATCACTACTGTAATAATCCAACCTGATCTCACGAGAAAACGTAATATTTTATGTTTTGGCAGTTTAGTGGCTAATTGTTGTGAATTTGAATGAGTTCAGTTATACGAAAATGTACGATTTTAAAAAGGAGGCGTGGCACCCAACCCAACCCCACCCTCAACCCCAATCGTCACTGGGTGATGAGCAAATCAGAATTAGATTGTACGTATTCATACAAATTTGCCACTAAATCAAAAAGTTACGAATTGCCGTGAGATTGCGTTGAATAATCTGTGCAGGACGACAGTGGAGACAACTGCAACATTTTAGCTTCACTTTTTTGCAGTAGAAAAAAGTGGAGATGTATCATCAATCAACTTTTACAGTGTGTGGTGGGCTCCATGTCCACGTAAAAACAGATATTTGACTTCATTCTGTCTCACATCCAACTGTGTCCAAAAACTGGAAGTCAGGAGATTAAACTGACAAGGCTTTGAAACACAAGCATTTGTTTTGTTTGTGTTGAAGGAGTAACTGAACCACATTCTATAAAAGCTCCACCCTCGCAGGAAGCAGCAGCAGGTCATTTGCATTTAAAGAGACACACTCGAACTTTTCGTTTTAGACTATAGTGCAGGGGTCACCAACCCTGTTCCTGGAGAGCTACCTTCCTGCACATTTCTGTTGCAACCCTGACCAAACACACCTGTTTGTAATTATCAAGTGCTGCTTTAGGTACTATTAATTGGTTCAGGTGTGTTCGATCAGGGTTGGGACTGAATTCTGCTGGAAGGTAGCTCTCCAGGAACAGGGTTGGTGACCCATGCTATAGTGTTATGGTTTTAGCATAGCTCAGCAGCATGGTGGTATCAGCATATTTCTGAATCAAATAGATTTTCAATAGTAAATCCCTTTTTTTTGACCAAGTAGTGCAGCAGCATTTACACAAGCTATATTGATCCTGGATCAGTAAGTGATGTCACTGCCATTCATCGTTTTGCTTTGTTGCCTGCAACTGGTCAACTAAAGTCGTTCATTCTGATGATGATTTGTTCGTGTTTACCATCAGTTGGCAACCGGCTTTTGGGTGTGTTACTGCCACATTTCACTCTAGAAAGTGACATCACAAACCAATCACTAAGTTGACACACAAAATTTACTTGATGAGAAGATGACAGAGGGAGAGGAACTAATTCTAAAGTGCATGTCATAAATCGGTTACTGTGATCTTGTTAGAGATGAATTAAGTTTTTTATTGTTCCTTGCTAAAGCTGAGTTGAGTTTCGTTCCACAGATGTGCCACATAGAACTTGAACACCTGGTTTTATTATGATGGATGTTTGTTTTTGTTGCCATATTTGGTGCAGTTTGTTTGTAAGGTTAGTAACAGCTGTTAAGTACAGTAAACAATTAAACTGAGAAGTGACGCCTGCTGTTTCATTGACAGTTTTATTGATAACTAAGATAGCATTGACATGGGATGAAGTTGGTTAAAAAAAATCTACATTTATAAATGTAAAAAATAAGTATAAACTAAAGTGATCCCAGCAAACTATTTTGTGTTTAATAGATATCTAATAGACATCTTAACGTAGACAGCTTGGCTAAAACAAGGATAAACTTGGTCTGTCAGCGAAAATCTAATAGACATCTAAGAATAGTCCAAAACTAGACTAGTCGTCACATAGACAGATAAGACAGACTTTATATGTGTAGTCATTCATTTCTGTTTATTTGATGACTAGTCTAGTTTTGGCATATTCTCAGACATCTATTAGATTTTCACTGACAGCCCAAATTTACCTTTTTTAGCCAAGACATCTTTTAAAAAACAAAAAATGCTTGCTGGCATGTAGTAAGCTACTTTTGCCATGTAGCTCTTAGCTTAGCTTGCTAAATTTCCTACATTCAAAGTAGAGTAACTGATAGCTTGCCTAACTATATTTTCCAAGTTTAGCTTGCCCAACACTGGTTTTTCTTCCTCAACCCCAAAAAGTGGCGTCGTATTTTAAGCTGAAACTTTATAGGCACGTTATGAAACTTTTATTACATCTTCCTATAAAAGTACTCCTTTAAAATAATGGGAACCAACTTAAGCAGACATTAATACATGGTTCCTATGGGTTATGAAATTTCTGTAACATCCTGGAATTTTCTAAAGTTTATCCCAGACATTGAAAGATGAGTGTTAGATTTTCAGAATGCTATTTTTTAATCACATTATTTCACATTTATTGTATTGATTTGTATTGATTTATTAGTGTTTTGGCTCTATTTTATTTGTAGGTTTAGATTTTTCTTGACTACTTAACTGCATATCATTTTAATAAAACACTGACTGCGTCCGAAACCGCCTACTACTACTTTGAATTTAAAGGTACTGCTTGGCCGTTAGAAAAGTACGTTCTATATAGTATGAATGTGAAAAGTATGAATGGAATTTGGACGTACTACATCCGCCATATTGTCATGGTCACATGATCTACCAGAGTCAGTTGCATCGCTTCACTTCTATTCATGAATTCTCTCATGGGGCATCATGGGATAGCACAGCCTGCATGGGATGCGCACTCCAGAATCTCGCCGGAAGTAAGTCATCCGGGTACTTCTCGCATACTGATTTTCGAATTATATGTATTCGAACATACTACTCGGCTCGCATACTCATTTTATTAAACTATATAGACTGGAAATATGCGGTTTCGGACGCAGCCACAGACTCACTAATTGCTTCAGAAAAAAAAATTACCACTTATTATTACAGAACTCAATAATATGCAATAATAATCTTGGAAGATTAATATTGTATCAATACAATCAGTTTTTCCATGGAGAATATAATTGGATATTTGGGAGATTAATTAAATCAGACCATATTAGTAGTAGTGTTTCTTAATGGTAATACACAATCTTTCACTGTGCTCCTTCATGTCTTATGATACTATAATGAAAAAGGATCCAGAAAGTGATTTAGTCTGAACAGTGTGATTGACAACAGTTAAATTACATCCTTCCTTCCCATTAGTATTGACAAAAGACTTTTCTCTTTTTAATTGCTGCTGCCAATCTATAAAACCTGAATGTATTTTTAATAGCTCTTTGCCCATCTTGTCTGCAGTGAGGTGTAGAGATGGGAAAACACAACAGCAAGCTGGCTCCTGAGGTGCTAGATGACTTGACCAAGAGTACAGAGTTCAATGAAGCCGAGCTGAAGCAGTGGTATAAAGGATTCCTGAAGGACTGTCCATCTGGCATCCTCAATCTGGAAGAGTTCCAGCAACTCTATGTGAAGGTGAGGGTCGTCTGTACTGTCAGTAGGATGCTTTACACACTGTATCAGTGTGAACCCTGATGTGCATCAAAGAAATTACAAGTACAATGAAAAATAATCTTATTTATGCTAAAAGTGTACTAATAAATCATCTGTTTTTCCACCAGTTTTTCCCTTATGGAGATGCTTCAAAATTCGCCCAGCATGCCTTTCGGACATTTGACAAAAACGGTGATGGTACCATTGACTTCAGAGAGTTCATCTGCGCGCTGTCCATTACTTCCAGAGGAAGCTTTGAGCAGAAACTAAACTGGGCTTTCAACATGTATGATCTGGACGGAGACGGTAAAATCACACGCATGGAGATGCTGGAGATCATTGAGGTGAGGGGTTCAGACAAGACAGTCCTTCCTATACTCGATTACAGGGTTCTTGCAGGTTTGATCAATTCAAATTTAGGTTTATTTTTAAGACGTTTATGAATAGAATTTAAGACTTGTGTCACACTGTTGGTTTTATATGTACAAAGTTGTAATCCGCTTGTTAAGAAAGTGATACATTTTTTTTATAAATTGTTACATTTTTGGTATTTGTTATGCAGCAAGCCCAGAGATTGTTGTGTACACTACGATTTCATATAAAATTAACTTTAATGTGTGATAGGAATAAAACGTGATCATAAACGAATGATTTCTTCACTCAAATGAATGGTGGCCTGGACCCGGAAACAGTATTACATACGTCACAAACACGTCAACACTTAACAAGCGTATACTGCAAATTTTATTTGACCTAGTCAAGGAAAGAACTTCCATTTGGGACAAAACTGTCAAAATATACAAAAAAAGGCCAAAAATATGTTTGTTAAATTTTTTAAATAGTATATAATTACATAAATATATATTTTTAAAAGTATGTTTTTTTTAAATCTTAAAATAAATCTTAAATACTTAAATTAAAATATATTTAAAAGCATTTAAAATATACTTGCCTAATAATTTTTGAAGGAAATACATTGACAAAAACTGTTATCTTTAAATTGTGTAAAAAAGAAACATACTTAAAAAACTGCTTCTTGACAGTCACTGTAACACACACATCTATATTTGTATAGCTTTACATTATTTGTACAGTCATACGTTAGACATATTTCTGTTACTATAAACTATTTTATAATGCAAGTCTCCTAAATATTTGTTTTTATGTTAAATAATGTATATTTAATATATTAATTCATCTTTCTTTTAAGGATAGAAATGTATTTTGTTCTATGCAGGTTGACTTATAGGTAGGTCAGGCTTCAAAGTTACAAATACACTCACCGGCCACTTTATTAGGTACACCTTACTAGTACCGGGTTGGACCCACTTTTGCCTTCAGAACTGCCTTAAACCTTCATAGCATAGATACTGGAAATATTTCTCAGAGATTTTGCTCCATATCGACATGACAGCATTACGCAGTTGCTGCAGATTTGTCGGCTGCACATCCATGACGAATCTCCCATTCCACCACATCCGAAAGGTGCTCTATTGGATTGGAATCTGGTGACTGTGGAGGCCATTTGAGTACAGTGAACTCATTGTCATGTTCAAGAAACCAGTCTGAGATGATTCGCACTTAACGACAAGATGCATTATCCTGCTGGAAATAGCTATCAAAAGATGGGTACACTGTGATCATTAAGCAGGGTTGTCCACACTCGGCCCTGGAGGGCTGACAGGAGTGACGCCCAGTGTGGTCTTCTCCTGCTGTAGCCTCAAGGTTCCACGTGTTTTGTGTTCAGAGATGCTCTTCTTCATACCGCGATTGTAAAGAGTGGTTTCATAAGTTACTGTTGCTTTTCTATCAGCTCAAACCAGCTCGTCTGGCACCAACAACCATGTCACGTTCAAAATCCCTTAGATCACCTTTCTTCCACGATTCTGATGCTCGGTTTGAACTGCAGCAGATCATCTTGACCATGTCTACATCCCCAAATGCATCGAGTTGCTGCAATGTGATTGGCTCATAAGAAATTTATGTTAACGAGCAGTTGGAGTGGTGTACCTAATAAAGTGGCCGGCGAGTGTACATTTTTCATATAGTTAAAATAAACTTCAGCCATTCGGATTTTACCATATGACCTACAACACCATTGAATTAGAGGAAGTGTTACAATGACATACACAAAACTGAGACTTGGTTAAAACCCCATAAGACATAGAAATCAATACTTCAAATCTTTGTAAGATGTTTAAGGCCTAAAAATGTAGAATTTAAAAGTTTAGACATATGGGTCTGCTTTTAAACATTTGTTCACCCCAATCTTCCATTCATCTTGGTGTTTAAAGGCAATCTACAAGATGGTCGGCACAGTGATCATGATGCGTATGAACGAGGATGGTCTGACCCCACAGCAGCGCGTGGACAAAATCTTCAGCAAGATGGACAAGGACCACAACGATGAGATCTCACTGGAGGAGTTCAAAGAAGCGGCCAAAAGCGACCCCTCCATTGTGCTTTTACTGCAGTGTGACATGCAGAAGTAAGAAAGGAAAGCAGGAGAACGAGTTAAGAGGGTAGGAAGGAGTGGAGAGCCATGTACAGACTTCTAGAGTGAGATTTAGGCCATAGATGATGAGAGAATATGTACATACAGATGAACAGAGGTTAGACCGCACGGTAATCTAAGGAAACGATTATGGGAATTTGGAATGATTAGTCGAAGTAATGCAAGAAAGAGTCTTTTTCCACCCTCTATTACTTGTTACACATTCTGTCAGCTTTCCAGCCTCTAGAGAGAGAGTCAGAACAAGACATTTTCTTCCTCGAAAAGGTCACTTTCGTGCCGATAGATCAGATTTTCCATCAGGATTTAAAGCATACGATTGGGCAATTTGATAACTAGTACATTTACATTTGATAATTAGTTCAAAATCAAACAAAGATGAAATTTTTTTTAGTATTTTTAGGCCTGACTTATATAGAGAGATGCACGATATACTGATAAAATACTGGCAAACAGTCAACATTTGCTCATTTGATTTATTTTTTATTATTTATTGGTTGATATTATTTTTATAATAGCCTGTTTAGTGCATATTTAATGCTCATTTTCCCTATTTTTTCATTCAAATGATCTTTTCTGTCATCTAACAGTCACTTGTTTTATGTAAACACTAAAGCCCATTTCATACCAAGAACGATAACTGTAAAGATAACTATAATGATGCTTGACTATATTAGCATACAATGCTCAATGTTGTGCTGTGTGTTATGTGTACATAAGCCTATCGCTTTAAATGCTCAAGCTTTTTAACAATGGTTGGTAACTAATTGGCTGTCGCTGTTTTTATTTCTCATCAGCTTGAATGCTTTGCATTTTTGTTTTGGTGTGGAGTGTGTTATTTATTTTAATTTTCATCAAATCTTTATTGTTGGTTACCGTTTCTTAATGTGAACAGACTTTAGGAGCTTAACCTCAATCTTTACTATTTTTCAATCCATATATTATTATGTTCTTATGTCTAAACTCACCTGTACGATTTATTTTTTACGAGGTTTTTTTTTATTCAGAAAAAAATATAATTAAATTAATATGATTCAAGCACTTTTGAGATCATAAATATAACAAATTTCAATATGAAATGCTTATTAGCCATCAAAATCTGCTTATCATTGCCGCCAAATGCTCATACTGTGTATCTCTATTAAATATGATAGAATATAGAATTTATTTATTTTTTTGTCCACACTGAAAATGTCAAAGTGTGCCTGAGGAAGAACATTAGAGAGTGGAAATGCATTCAGGAGTCCTTTGACATTTGTGGGTGCCTTCATATACAGTACAACTGCATAACCACTACAGCAAAAAAAAAAAAAAATCCTGTCACATCAGTGTGTGACGATAACCATCACTAACAATATCCATCTTCTAATCATGTTATTGGCCGAGATAAAGCTTAAAAGCCAAGGCGAAGTAAAAGGGTGAAGCCAGAAAACGAGGAGTAGCTTTTATTAGCTAGAGAACTGACAATGTATATGATGACATTTTGTACATAATGCTTATACACATGCTTAAGATGTACATGTAAATGTTTCTCTACCTTAGAACTGCTTTCATAATCTGACACAGCTGCAACGACTTGTGTGCAAACACAAAAACTACTGTACTTGTGCGTGTGGATGAGGGAAACTAAAAATGTGTGTGTTTTCTTCACTGTAATTTGGCGTGAAAGCCGCAGTGTGTGTGTGTGTGTGAGAGAGAGTGCGCGAAAACACAAATGCCTCAACCTTTGTATTAATTCTTTCTTATGATCTTCACGCCAGTGCTAGGAGTATTAAGCCGTTGTGTTCGTCGTTACCTGGTGTGGCCTTTTTGTGTGTGCGTCTGTGTAAGGAGAGCTTTAGCTTTCGGTCATCTTATTTCACAAGCTTAGCAGGTGTCAGTAAAGAGGATTTTAACTGTATGAATATCGTCAATGTCGAAATATTTTCTTTACTCTTGTAATATAAGTGGACGCAAATGTAAACCAGACGCAGAATGTGTAGTACTTCTTGTAAATGTTACTATGCCGCAATACTAACACGAGAATACTGTCCGTTGCACTAAACAGACACAGCTTTAGTTTTAGACTGCCTCCCTGTGGTGAAAGATGATAACTTCGAGATCAGACCTTCAAATATTATGATTTTTCAGGGCCCTCAGGACCTGATAAGGCCCAGTAATAATATTCCCTCATAGAGTCCAGTGGAAAGCTATCCCTTGAATAAAATCTATCAGTAAAAAAGCCCTCAGAACCATAACATACTGTCAAAGATGTGCTACTGTACCAATGTGCTACTCAAAAGCAATGATTACATGTTTAGTCATGTTTTAAGCTCTATCTGAGTGACTTTTTTCTAAATAGGAGGTTGTAGCAATATTTCAAGATCCTGTGATTTTTCATCTTCAGTAACAGCAGTTTCTGTTCTTGCCTGTCAGCACATTTTGTCACAACTCCTTTAACACTACTTGTACTTTTGTAGAATCAGTGTGGTGTGTGTTTGCTATCACATTCACACACGTCTGCTGCTTAGGTGTAAACTCTTGCTTATTTTGTCACAAAGTAGCTTATACTTTGTTGAAATGCACCCTTATGAAAAAAGAAGTGTACTTAGTGTACTTTGAATCTTATATTTAATTTTTAACCTATAGATAATATAAATGTTATGAATTGAAAGCCCACTAAAGTGGATTTTGAAGTGCAAATATTTTTGTTAAATTACAATTTTACGTTAAATTAACTTGTTTTATTTTATTTTGATGTGTTGACTAATATACTAAAGAAACACGCAGAGCACTTGAACATTTTAACTGTGTTATTTGTAATTAAATTCCGATTTTAATTTTTCACACTTTATACCAAATGTGTGAGTTAAAATCACATACAAGTTTCAGCAGTTGATCATAAATGCTTGTTGATACGTTGTGCAGTACACCTAAATCACATTTTAAAAATGCAAGAAAATACATATGTATATGAAATTAATTAAGTGGTACTGATGTGGGTCAAAAGTTCATGTAATTGCAATCATAATGTGATAACATGTATAGTGTAATAATAATATTATTGTATAATTTCATACTTCCCCTCAAATAAAGTCTCCAAAATAATATAATTTCTGAAAAGTCAAATGTTTTTATTATTATTATTATTATTTAATGCAATGTGTATTTATTTATAAAGCGCATTTATTGTCTATCGTCATAAACCAAAAGTGTTTCACAATCATGAGGGGGTCTCTCCACACCACCACCAGTGTGCAGCATCCACTTGAATGATGTGACGGTAGCCAAAGGGCAATGGTGCCAGTGTGCTCACCACACACCAGCTATACAGTAGGTGGCGTGGATAGACAGTGATAGAAACAATTCAGTGGATAGGGAGGATTGGGAGGCCATGATGGGTAAGGGCCGATGGAGGGAATTTGGCCAGGACACTGGGGTAACAAACCCACTCCTTACAAGAAGTTCAATGGGATTTTTAATGATCACAGAGGGCATACCTGCCAACACTTGTCTCAGAAAATCCGGGAGAAATAACAAAACGGGAGGGTGGCGGGAAATGGGTCTGAAATACGGGAGACTCCCAGGAAAAACAGGAGTGTTGGCAGGTATGACAGAGAGTCAGGACCAAGACATTGCTCATTCACAATACAGTATCTCCTTCACTACACTGGGGCATTAGGACTCTGCTGGCCTCACTAATGCCACTTCCAACAGAAACCTAGTTTTCCCATGTGGTCTCCCATCCAGGTACTGACCATAGGCTCAGCCCTGATTAGCTTCAGCGAGTAACCGATCTTGAGCTGCAGGGTGATATGACTGCCACCTATTATTATTATTATTATTATTATTATTATTATTATTATTATTATTATTACTGTTGTTGTTGTTATTATGATGCTACAGTACTGTTCTTTTTCCACAAGGGTCACTCAAGTTTCACTGTCTCTGCAATTCAAAAACTGTAAAAGAGTTACTCAATGTATGGTCTGCACTCTTTCGAACTGACCATCTCTGGCTATTTAATGATCACTATGATTAGATTACATAAACCCAGTAATGGGCATGGGTAATGATTATGGGAAGTGCAAAATGGGTCTTGGATGTTGTGCAATGTGCTGATCAGCCACTAAATCGACTCCATACATGCCACTGCTACAGTCCAATATGAGATTTTGTGTGCCAAAGACTTTATGAAACGTAGAATTAGACACTCGCGTATATAATGACGTTCTGAACTTGATTGCATTTACATTTATATTACAGCCTGAAAATAAATTGTATGTAAGTTGGTCACATTCGACTTCAGATTATGTCCCCAAACGACGCTAAAAAGGGAATAATGGTGCCCAATCGTGCAATACAATGCTTTCTGTACTGTATGTGTGCTTTGCATTTCTAAATGTCTGGTTTCTGTTCACTTTTTTCAATATCGTAAAGCTCCTTGAACAAAGACGTGTAATTATTTTTGTTACATAGAGAATTAAATATGTGGATGTCTACTGAATGGTCTCCGGCTGTGTGTGTTGTTTGTCGTCTTTACTGATTAGGCAAATGCTGTCAGACAAACTCATTTATTTCTCTCTCTCTCTCTCTCTGTTGCACATAGACTGTTGAGTTTTTATGCAGACCTGCGCAGTGTGAGTCACTCCAGGGAGGTGATGTCATCATAAATGCTGTTGTCATGGCAGCGGGGCTGTAGCACATCTGAACTGAAGGGAGAATTGAATGAATGCAGAGCTTCCATCAGGGACACACATTTTTTTGCATTCAATTTGCCAACAAATCGATGTGTTCATCCTTTAAGCTAGCTGTTAAGGCTGTGCCACTGGTTTGTGCAAGCCTGTGGACATCTCACTTAAAACAAAGTTGTTGAAAATGAACTTGGTTATGTGCACTGTAAAGCATAGGTTAAGCTTCGTTTGAAGAAACTGATTGCGAGAAACCGTTTAAGTTTTGAAACCAAATAGTTTGAGTACTGTAAACTTGTGTTTATTGAGTCACACACACTTACAGTATGTTACTTGTGTTGATTGATACTATCAAACATTTAGAGTATTAGTAATGTAAACCTTTTAGGTTCAGTTATCAAATCTGTATGAGTTTAATTAACTTTTTTTAATTAAATTAAGTCCAAACAACTAGCTGCTCAAATGCTTTGAGAAAATCGATTGCGGCAAATGATTTACATTGACTGAACTCAAATGAATGAATGGTATGCTGCAGTCGGTTTCCTCAAACCATTTAAATAGCTACATTGTAAAACCCAACAGTCAACTACATCAAATGAAACAAGTGTGGTTAACTCAAAATTTACTGTAAGTTCATTCTACTCATTTGAAAAGTTTTGAACTCAGTGTTGAAGGTAATGAGTTATTTTAATATCTCATTACCAGGGCCAGACAGAATCTGAGGACATTTTTCGCTATTTCTGCGCAGAATTTTGGTAAAAATCTGCGGATTCATGCAGGATTATTTTGGGAGTATCATAACGAAAACCTTAATATATGAAGTAAAAGTAATACCTTTTTAACTTGTATTTATTGTTTACAATGCAAATCCAATTAGATCCACTTCATTTGGTAAACAAAGCAAGTCTCTCATATAATAGATCTACTAAAAGACAGAAAATATTACTTTACAAACTATTGTAAATAAATCATATAAATATTTTCATATTAGTCAAAATATTATGTGTTATGAAATTATTTTAAAAACTGAATAAATACGAATTTACACACATTTACACAAGTAAATAAACAGAATCAATGATGGGCTAAATATCTGCGGAATTCCAAGTGGGCCTACTCATTCCTTCAACTTAAATGGAGTAAGTTCACAGTACTCATACATATTTTTTTTTTTTTTTTTTTTGTTTGTTTTACTTAAATGATTTGCTGCAATCAGTTTCCTCAAACAGTTTGAGTTGCCTTAACTTTTTGGGTTTTACATTACTCAGTTGGTTTGAGTTCTCTTCATTTATTGGGTTTTACCGTTAATTACTTCATTTGCTCAAATGGATTAAGTTCACAGTAATCATTAGGATTAGTTTTTGAACTTAATGGTTGCAATCAATTTCCTCAAAACGGTTTGATTTACCTTAACTTTTTGTTTTACAGTGTATACAGTTGTTTCGAGTTGTTTGTTGTTCTATTACCTAAACACAAATAGATTTTAACATAAAGCAAAAACGAGCATGTGTATATGAACTACATAAAAAGGAAGTATTTTAGGTCAAATTTATTGAAATAATACATTTCAGTCAAGTATATGGGGATCTAACTGTAAGGTCTGATTGACAGGCTATTTAGAATTAAAATAGATATTCATGTTGCACAGAAAGAACATATAACCTGCGGGTGGTGCTAAAACATTTAACAATGTACCACAAAACCAGTCATAAATGTCAATTTTTAGAAATTGAGATTAATAATTCAACTGAAATCTGAATACGTTTTCCATTAATGTATGGTTTGTTAGGATTGGACACTATTTGGCTGAGACACAATTATTTAACAAATCTGCATTTTGAGGGCTCCAAAAAATCTAAATACTGAAAAAATCACCTTTGTTATAATAAGTGTATATTAAGTACACAATACATGACAGATGTCTTGTCGTCGATCCCAGTTGTAAGAGCAACAAATAATAACTTGACTTCTTGTTGATCATTTGGAAAAGTAGCAGAAGGTAGATTTTTCCTATCAAAATCTGTTGAACTTTTTTCCAATCATCCCAAATACTGCAGAACACCTATTGGAACCCACATGGACCCAAGATTCTCATAGAAATCAGTCAAGTTTGTGAAGGAAAAAATCATGGTTTTGGGGTTACATTCAGTATGGGGTTGTGCGCGAGATCTGCAGAGTGGACAGCAACATCAACAGCCTGAGATATCAAGACATTTGTGCTGCCGTTACATTACAAACCACAGGAAAGGGCAAATTCTTCAGCAGGATAGCGCTCCTTCTCATACTTCAGCCTCCACATCAAGGTTCCTGAAAGCAAAGAAGGTCAAGGTGCTCACACTTTTTAAATATCGGCTTTTTTTGTCTATCTTTTATCATGTTATTTTATACTCTTGATGTGTTTGCACCTGCAACTCCTTACATGCATTTAAAATCTTGTTTGTCAACTTGTTATTAGTTGTTTTAATTTGTTCTATTAGGGCTGTTGATGCTTGCTGTAAGGCGACCTTGGGTGTCCAGAAAGGCGCCATTTACAAAAAAAATGTATATTATTATTTCTTTGCCATTCTAGATGACTTTATTGATAAGTGATTTGAGTCATTGCAGAGATGTATGGATGCAGTCCTCCAAGCTCATGGGAGTCATACACAATATTATTTATTTTTCCACTACACCATGACTTTACATTCTAAACTGTACATTATTTCTGTTAAGTGACAAGACTTTTGTCTATGCAAAGTCAGACTTTGATCAGATTAAAAATGAAGGCATGATCATATTCTTTTTTGGTAAAATGAGCTAATCTAGAGGCCTTTGTCTTTCCTATAAGCCACTTCTGATACCTGGGCCAGGTTTTCCAAAAAGTTTAACCCGGATAAAATTGATCCGGATTTAATATTCCTGTTTTTGCAATCCATGATCACGTAATCCAGCTTACTTTTTGAGCCAGATTTTTAAAGCAACATCAGATTGGATCAATCTTATCCAGAAAGGAACTTTTCAGGATCACTAAATCTAGATAACCAGTGCCCAAACAGGATATTACAATGTAGAACAGATATGAAAAGAACAAGTAGAATAGCCAGTGTGGGGCCAATATAACTTTATTTTTATTTGAAATATTTTAATATTTATTTTTATTTGAAAGCACACACATTTGAAAAAAATAAAAATAAATAAATAAAAACAAGAAAAACCCCAGCCCATGTTCCTCCTGCAGTCTGCTCATCTGAGACCTACAACACAAACACTGTACATTGAGGATATTTATAACAAGTTTCAAATATAGATGTATTGAATAAAAAAAAAGACTATGTCAAAACCTCTACAATAATTTCAGACTTTCTCATCTGATGTGGAGAGACCAGCTTGTCTGAGCATAGCCTTTAGGAGTCAGATCTTAAGTCTGGCTTTGGTTTGCTGCAGTCAGTCAGATGTTTCTCTGCCAAACGAAGCTGTGCTTCTGCCCTTTCAGTCTCGTTTTGCATTTGTTGAAAATGATTTTTTGAAATTAGTCATTGCCATTCTTTGCATTTTTTTTTTTCGTGGTTATTCTGTAATCATTGCATGCATCACTAACAAATATTCTAAAAAAATATATATTTTCCATTTTGATAAATATATATATATATATATATATATATATATATATATATATATATATATATATATATATATATATATATATCAATTAGTGACAGAATAAAATGTATTGTTTGTGGTCAATTTTGACAGCTGTTTGGGGGATTATTTTATGAGGATTACGTGATCTAATCCAATTATGTAATTCATTTTTTCTTTTGAAAAACCCTTTTTCAAGATTTGTTAACTTATCCAAAATCCTAGTGGATTACTTTTGAAAAACCGGGCCCAGATGATTAACTAGAAGACAAGTTATTAATTGTTCTTCCTAAAACTTGGATAAGTGACAATACATGTGTCAGGTAGTGTATATTAAGCGCTAAACAATGCAAGTTACTAATTAAAAATATGCTGTTTGAAATTTGTTAAATATCTTCATGGAATTTTTACTTGATATTCTATTGATTTCTATCAGGACAAGACATTTGGCAGCATAAGGGTCAATTCTCATTAAATGTTTCTTGTGAAAAAAAAAGATTAAAAGGTTATAATAATAACATGCTAAAATTTATTTAGACATGTCATCATCTACAACAGGGATCAGTTTTTTGAGATCAATACAAGTCCAAGATGACTACTCTTCAATCTTTTTCCTCTGGATTGCATATTCTGTGTCTGCTGTGTAAAATGCTTATACAATTTATAGATATTAAACAAGTTGTCTGCATTGACCCAAAAGGATTAGCTGAAATCATTACAAAAGGTGAGCATAAACCAATGCCGTTACAATTTACACAATAACCCCGCCCACTATTTAAATAAATCCTACCTTTTTATTTTATTTTCAATGTAATTACCATTCCTCAAAATGAGCCAACATTAACTCTCTTTTAAAAATGCTGGTGTGAAGACCAACTATATTGTTGCAATAAGCAACTTAATAGGTAAAGAAAATAATAAGAAAAAATGACCATTACCAATAAAAGCCCATATTAATACTAATTAGGTTATTGTTGTTATCCATGAATTTTTAAATGTACTTTTTTATAAGAGAAGATAGAAAAATTATAAAGCTCTACACCAGTATTATTTATTTAAATATTTTTTTCATTATTAAATGACCAACTGAGACAGAGAAGATTAATGTGCTGGCCAGTTTGTTATTTGCCTAATAAATGACAATAGGCCACAGTTTTAAATTTAAAACTTTAACAGATTACTATTTTTCCCCTAGTGATATTTTATTAAGTAACCTAAAATAAATAATTTGCCTATTTTTCATATTTCTTTATTCAAAATCCTTGGGAAATGGTTTTGGTACATCAAAAAGTGTGACCATCCGACAAGCTAATCCAGCAACAAAAAAAAAAAAAAAAAAAAAAAGTGCTACCTGATAATTAACCTTCTACTGCAAATTTTTTAATGGTACATGACAAAAATGATTTCACATGATTTTTCTGGTTCTTTTGGGAACATTTTATCATGAAATGTTTTTGGTTTGATCCCCACCCCAATCCCAAAATGTTTTTTTTTTTTGTTGTTGCTTTAAGGCAACGTAATGCAACAATGGTACAAAATCACAGAGAAAATTCTTCACATATTATATTTGAAATATCATGAGTCAGTAATCAGAGAGCAATAATAGTTTGCAAATCTTATTCAAATTGTAACAGAATCATTAAGAAAATAGGGGGGAACACATAAAACATACAGTGCTCAACATAACTGAGTATACCCCATTTTGAAAATGACTTTTTATCCAATTATCTGTGATTATAAGTAATTTGTTTTGGTGAATTTAAACAAAACAGATTTATTAAACTGATATATTTATTAAAATAATATTTCATTCACCGAACATCTTTAGAAACAGAAGATAATACATTTTAATGAATGTATTGGGGAAAAGATTACAAACTACAAAATTTCAACTAAATTTTATATATATTTTTTGTTTCTGTTGAATTTTGCTCTATTACATTTTTTGTTCAATATTTTTCTCTAACATATCAATTTAGATGTACTAATTCTGGACCGTTATCATAAATTATTTTGTTAGATTAGCCCTAGATCTAATATTGATTTAAACGAGAGGTTTGTGAGTGATTTACTCGTATATGGTGAGCACTGTATTGTTATTGTCTGCATATTTGACCCCTATTTTGTGTGCTGCATGCTAAGTAAACTGATAACTTATAAATGATAGTCAGTGCTAATTTTTGAACTTCTGAAGATATATTATATATTTTACAGTCTATGATTATACACTTCTGCTCAAACCTTGTTCTCCTCACTGTCACTACAATCTCATTGTCCTCAGATTCGCCTAACTCCTAGATCCTGCTCTTCCATAGAACAAGCCTACGTCCATTTTTCTGTCAAACATGTTAAAAATCATACAATATGTAAAAATTATAATATTTGAAAATGCCCACATGTAATGTCAGTAAACACATCTTGAAAAGTACCACTTATCGCACGACGTTGCCCTGAGGCAACGAAAAGAAAAAAAAACATTTCTGAACATGTAGAATAAAAAAAAGCTTCATAAATCCTGACAAAAGGCTTCTCTACAACTTCACAAAATAAACACATTTTTTTGTGCAGTTTATGTCACTTTAAACGAGGTTAAATAAGCAAATAATCTTAACTTCTTCTAATGCCATGTGCTCCTGTCAACACGAGTCAGAAGATGAAGTTCCACCCGGTGCTCGATAGTGACTCCCACACCTTATTGGATGTTTTATTGATACTTTTTCTAACATTTGAATTGGTTGCAATCGTTTTTTTTTTTATCTGTGCTTAGAACGAGCCTTAAAAAACTTTATATTGCCTGAGGGCAACGCTGTGCTGTAGAGTGGAAAATGAGTCGATAACAGCAAAAATGTCCACGTTTTGAGAACAAAAAGAACCACTCATTTCACTAGGCTGGCTACGGACCTAAATTATGAACTTTAATTTCTAAAGGAGTACACTTAACTTGAAAACACCACAAACCACTACGCTGGTTTGGGGAAAAAATCACGCCTTCACACAAAAACCTTATTTTGAAATCCCTCTTTTGTCAGAAAGCATGACGTCACTTCATGTCACCGAATGGGATTTGCTATGCTAGCTGCTTAGCTAGCCATGTCTCTATAGTCGTTGTGTAAGATAAAATAATTAGCATTAAAAACCCTGAATCGTCGAACTACAACAGTTATCTGTTACATGTAAGGTGTTTGATGTTTTGCATATCTAACCCATATATATGTTGCTGTTATCCATATTTAACTTGCGTTATTGTTTTTTTCTGGAGTAACCGAATTGCTTTGATATGTTAGCAAAAAACTTGTTAGCCTTTCTTGTATATTATAGCAGTGTTGTTTAACAGTAGCGATAAGTTATGTATATTCGTGTTTATAAAAATAAGCATAGCTAATTTAATATTTTGCATGAAAGTATATTAAAATAAAGTGCAATATGCGACCGCAAGCATCTTCAGTGCCAGTAGCGCCCAGCGTTACTATGGAGACAAAACAAGAACGCACCCACTTAAATCAGTGAAGCCGCACTGTCAGATTTGACGTTTCTCTGGCAATAAAATACGCGGTCAAACTTATAGTCAGCAGCTTTGATTTGAACGAGTACTGCGGTTTATTGTTACATCATAGATGCTGTTTGATATCTGCTAATTAAAGATGTCAATCTTTTTTAATCATTTTTAGAAACTTTTTCCATCTTCTCACCTTTTAAAAGAAATTTTGGAGGTCATGGAGGAATCAGGAGTCATAGAGGTGACCGTAAAAACTCTGGACTCCCAGAGCAGGACGTTCACCGTCAGAGGAGAGGTGTGTGTTTTTGTCAGCTTTGTGATATATTTGCACCAAACAAGGTCATTTTAGAATATAAACTTTATACACAACAAAGATGTGGCGTTTCACATTAGAAAATTGAACTTAAAATCTCAGTATGGTCGCTGGCCTCTTGCACCAGTGATGCCATTTGGAGCCCAAATCTGTAGTTAAGCTGTCCTCGTTGTTCATGGCATCAGTTGACTAAATTGAAGCAAACATACCTCAGCATAATTTAATACGTCCTAAAATTGTGGAAACCATATGAAAAATTGTCATTAATTTTTAGCTTGACTCACATTACAATTGTTTACACAGAGAGGATGGAATTTATGACCTATACTGCAGCCAGCCACCACTTTTAAGTTTGTTCAGATTCAGCTTGTGTGCACAGTATAAACATATACTACTGCGTTTAAACTGATTAACAAGCTTTACTTTGATGAATCAATTTTGTTGCTGTTAATGTTTTGGATGTCACCTTTCTTACTTTCAGTGGACAGTGAAGCAGTTTAAGGAGCACATCGCTGCTTCTGTTGAAATCTCTGTGGATAAGCAGAGGTTGATTTACCAGGGTAAAGTGCTACAGGATGAAAGGACACTTACAGAATACAGTAAGTCACTTCTTCACTGTTTGTTTCACTTAGCTTGTCAGTTTTGGCACAATTCAGTCTGCAGTTGGCCAAAAGTGACTTAGTAGCAAGTCACTGACTTATTCACTCAACTAATTTGTTTAAAACACAGTTTCGTTCAGAAAGTAAACAAACAACAGTTTTGGAGCCACATACTACTCTTAAGGGCTTTTCACAACTAATCCAGGGATATTGTTGTTCTAAACATCTATTTTAGCTCTGTGTGACTGAAAGTCAGTATTAAGCCTTGTATTTGCATACTTTGCGCAAACGTGATTGCATACTGTATGTAGAAGTGGCTATATCGTTAAATCAAAAAAAGAAACAAATTATGAAAGAAAACTAGAAGAGAATAAGCTATTGCTTTCACTTATTTCTTTATAACTTTATTCCATTTAGTAACATATGTAATTTATTTTATTTAATTTCCATTATATTGCTTATCTCTTATAAAGATACCTTTTTTCTGCTGTTTTTCTTAATCTAAAGCCTGTCAACTATGTCACCCATGTGAACAGCAAAAACCACACTGGTTGTGCAGTGCATCCGGAAAGTATTCATGGCGCTTCATTTTTTTTCCACATTTTCTAATGTTACAGCCTTGTTCCAAAATTGATTAAATTATTTAATTTCCTCAAAATTCTACACACAGTACCCGATAATGACAATGTAAAAAACTTTTTTTGAAATCGTTGCAAATTTATTAAAATTAAAAAACCTGAAAAATCACATGTACATAAGTATTCACAGCCTTTGCTCAATACTTTGTTGATGCACCTTGGGCAGCAATTACATCTTCAAGTATTTTTGAATACTGTATAATACCACAAGTTTGGCACACTTGTCTTTTGGGAATTTTTGCCCATTCCTCTTTGCAGTACCTCTCAAGCTCTATCAGGTTGGATGGGAAGCGATGGTATACAGCCATTTTCAGATCTTTCCAGAGATTTTCCATAGGATTTAGGTGTGGGCTCTGGCTGGGCCACTCAAGAACATTCGCCGAGTTGTTGTGAACCCACTCGATTGATATTTTGGTGGTGTGCTTTGGGTCATTGTCCTGCTGGAAGATGAACCGTCACACCAGTCTGAGGTCAAGAGCACTCTGAAGCAGGTTTTCAGTCAGGATGTCTCTCTACATTGCTGCATTCATCTTTCCCTCTATCCTGACTAGTCTTCCAGTTCCTGTTGTTGAAAACATCCCCACAGCATGATGCTGTCACCACCATGCTTCACTGAAGATATGGTATTAGCCTGGGGATGAGCGGTGCCTGGTTTTCTCTGAATGTAATGCCTGGCGTTCACTACACAGAGTTCAATTTTAGTCTCATCAGACCAGAGATGTTTGTTTCTTGTGGTCTAAGAGTCCTTAAGATGCCTTTTGGCAAATTCCAGGCAGGAGTGGCTTTCGTCTGGCCACTCTACCATACAGGCCTGATGGGTGGATTTTCTGCACAGATGGTTGTTCTTCTGTAAGGTTCTCCTCTCTCCACAGAAGAATGATGGAGCTCAGATAGAGTTACCATCGGATTATTGATCACCCCCCTGCTAAGGCCCTTCTTCCCTGATCACTCAGCCTAGATGGCCGGCCAGCTCTAGGAAGATTCCTGGTGGTTCCAAACACCTTCCACTTCTGGATGATGGAGGCCACTGTGCTCACTGGAACTTTCACAGCAGCAGACATATTTCTGTAACCTTTCCTAGCCTTGTGCCTCGAGACAATCCTGTCTCGGAGGTCTACAGTCTACAATTCCTTTGTCTTCATGCTTGGTTTGTGCTTTGACATGCACTGTCAACCCTGGGACCTTATATAGACACTTGTATGCCTCAAATAATGTCCAATCAACTGAATTTACCACAGGTGAACTCCAATTAAGTTGTTGAAACATCTCAAGAATGATCAGTGGAAATAAGATATACCTGAGCTCAATTTAGAGCTTCACGGCAACGGCTGTGAACACTTATGTATATGTGACTTTTCAGGTTTTTTATTTTAAATAAATTTACAACAATTAAAAAAAATCTTTTTTCACATTGTCATTATGAGGTATTATGTGTAGAATTTTGAGGAAATAATTAATTTAATTCATTTAGGAATAAGGCTGTGACATAAAAAATGCGGAAAAAGTGAAGCTCTATGAATACTTTCCGGATGCACTGTACTTCCTTAGACTCAGAATTATATATTTTTATGCAAATGCTTTCAATGCCAAGGTTAATCTGCTCATCATGAAGTCATTGTCTCTCATGCATATCATTCAAATATAGAATTAACATGTCCCAAGTCATAGTATGTTGAATATTTGACATAATATGATAAGTATTTCTTTTTTAAAGATACATTTGATAATTTTGATTAAGTCATTATTCAAACACAAGCAGATTTCTCTGCATGAAAAACCTGTGAATTGTAGATTAACATACTAAAGCATGAAGGAAAATTCAATATAACAGAAATGTGGAGGATGTTAACTTTGACAATATGATTGACAGGGCATTTTAAACTGTAAAAGTGTGCGTAACTAAGCAACAGAACAGTGCTTTATTGAAGCAATTATAATGACTGAGTGTGTCCCAAAGCTTGCAGTGCACACTCGAAACTATGTACATTTTTACAAAAGGATTACATATGGGCCTCATAACAAATTCCAGTTTCCTAGTTATTGGTTATATGAGGACATTAATGGAATTGTATTCTTATAACATTTCTTTAATGGATCTGGTCACAGCCTAGCTGTTTTTGTTTTCTCAGATGTTGATGGGAAGGTCATTCATCTTGTGGAGCGGCCGCCTCCTCAGAGCAGTCAGCCTGGAGGTGGAGGAGGTGGAGTTTCTGGCTCCTCAGGTGCGGCAGATGGAGGATCTTCTTCCTCTCAGTCATCAGCTTATACAACTTCACACGACCGTAATGCCAACAACTACGTCATGCTGGGGACTTTTAACCTGCCGGTGAACATCATGGACCCACAGCAAATACAGGTTGCAGTGCTTTCCTTACGTCAAAAGACAAATGTTTACAATATGTGACTGTTTATTTGAGATTTCACCAAAAAATTAAAATGAACTCTGTCTCAAGTGATTACAAACCATTTTGAGTTTGTTGTTCTGTTGTACACATAAGAAGATGCTTTGAAGAATGTTGTAACTAATAGTTATTGATATCTATAGAGTTATCACTAAAGAGTCAACAATGTAAAGTAAAAAAAAAAAAAAAATTATGAGCAAAAAATGCACAACGTTTTGGAACATGCAGGGCTCAACAATAAGGACTGCCCAGTTGCCCGGGCCAGCGTGAAAGACACTCGGGACAGTAGACAGGATTGTTACTGGCCCCTATCGGCCAGTAACAATGAGCATGTTTTTTTTTGTAACCTGGCAACAACCAGTACAGCGAAAAGATGGCAACATGGCGGCAAAATTAAACAATGAGGCTAAAAGAAAACGTATGTTTCTAAAGTCTTAGAAGCAGACAATTACATGGGTACAAATTTAAGAAACTGAAAAAAAGAAACAAAAAAAAAAGAGTTGTCAGTTTGGCAAGCCATTTTTATCAAAATTATTTAGAATTGAATTAAAATACCAGCACATTTTTCATACTGCTCTTTCATTTGCATAAAATCTTGAATTTTGCTCATCATACATTTATTAACATATTTAAAATGTTTAAATTCTAAATTCACAGGCATAATTTTGCCACTATTTAAAATATGTGGCTAAGAAAAAGCTATTAACTTTTTAGTTTTTTTGGTGGGGCCAGTGAAAATTTTGGCAGGGCAAGTAAAAATCTCAACCAATGGCCCGATCAGACCCGTATAAAAAATCCTTAGCGTTGAACCCTGAAATGAAAGAGGGTTAATGCTTATTTTTAGATGAACTGTAACTTAAAGGATAGTTCACCCAAAATGAAAGTTTACTCAATGTTTACTAGGGCTGTATGATATTGGAAAAAACTGATTGCGGTACTTTGTTTTTCTGCGATGCATGTTACCATATTGAGTACAATTTTACCAGATAACTAAAATAGCTCTATTTGAAAAGAGTTCATAATTTTAGACTGATTGTTAGGATTTTGTAGAGGAGTTATTCTTCATAAAATATGATAAACCAATTATAAGTATTGATAAATACAGTAAAGCAAGAAAAGTAAAGAAAAATCCTGTTTTCTGGGAGTCTAGCAGTATTCAGGTACACAAATTAAATTATCAATGTTATATAACGCTGTATAGACTTCATTGGATATGTAAATAATTACAATTGATCCTTGTTAAAAGTTACAAACAGTATAATTTCTTGTGCCTGATTATTTTATCTGGCTTGAAAGCACATGCAAATGACAGACATTTTAGTAACCTTATGATTCAACGTTGAAATTTCCCACCAAACAAGAGTGTTTTCAACTGTGGCTTCTGGTCAACTATAGTCTTGATTTGACATTGCAGATGCTGCGATGTGACTATTGCAGATGCAAACATTGCGATATCGATGCTGAAAAGATATATTGTGCAGCCCTACTATTTACTCACCCTCAAGTGATTCTCATCCCTTTTGAATTTCTTTCTTCTGTTAAAGATATTTTGAAGAAAGCTGAAAGCCTGTAACCATTAACTTCCACAGTAGGAAAAACAAATACCATGGAAGTCAATGGTTACAGGTTTCTAACATTTTTCAAATGATCTTCTTTTGTTTTTAACATAAGATAGAAACTCACAAAGATTTGAAACATAAGATTCTGCTGTCAAACTGAATTTCTCACTCATCTAGATGTCAGTGCAGCAGATGCTGGCTGGTGTTGGAGAAATGGGGCGTAATGTCAGAGTGAGCACCAGCACAGGAGTGAGTCATCCTCTTGTCCTTCCTGTCATGTTTATGTAATAATGAGCATTATAAACAGAGTACCTGAATGTTTATCGTACAAGCACTTGCGGTTTGTCTAGTCGCAGTCTATTGTTTGAAACAAAAGGTTATCTCTGGACACATCTACAGTCATTTATTTCCTCTCACAGAGCAGTGGCTCCGTGGACGTTCATATCAATGTGGACCAATCAGTGCAGAGCGAGCCCAGGATGAGACTCCATCTGGCTGAAAACTTGCTGCGGGAGACTCAGGCTTTAATCCACAGGCTTGAGGTGCAGAGGAAACATCATATACCACAAATAAAACATCCTAATGACTTTACTATAAGTTCAAACTCATTTAACTTGATGCTTATTATCAGATTAGATTTAAAATATATATATATTTTTGTTCCAGGGTCAATCAAGTGAACCGTCTCAGCAGGAGACTCCACCTCCTCAGCCATCTTCATCATCATTCTCAGCACATCCAATGGACAGCTCCCCACCTCCACCATCCGTCTCATCCTCTGCTTCCCAGACCGAAGGAGAAACTCAGTCTGGACCAAAGTAAGAGAACAATATTATGGTCAAGGACAAGTAAGAGTCTTCATGATAGAAATCTGGATAAATATGTGTTAAAAAAATTAGAACGTGAAATTATTTTTTGCGTTCATATTGCGTTTCACGTTAAAAACTTCTGCAAATTAATAACTGTTAAAGTGTGATGGCATAAAAAATGGTGTTGTCTTCACAGACATAGTCCAAATACATTTAATTCATTGCTTCTATGTATGCAAACAGTGACAAAAATAGCACCAAATCTCTGCCTATTAACCTAACATGTGATCAGTAAGAGAAAAGTTGTGAGAAGGTGCCTGGAATTTAACATTTACTTCAAGGCTATGCTACTAAATAAAATCGCAGACTTGATTAAGCAAAGCAGCGATTGTCATGCACATCTTGTCAGGGAAACACGGTTGTGTGATCAGTAAATCTCCTCCAAATGCAAAAGGGCGTTCCCACATGAAACTACAAATAGGTCATAAAGAAGAAACCCAGGAAATCCACATAGCCTTTCATTATAAACAGAAAGGCTGCGTCCAAAATCGCCTACTATTCAGTAGGTACTACATTTAAATTTGAATTTGCTCCTCGACCATTAGAAAACTATGTTCTATATACTGTAATATAAATGTGAGTAGTATGATTGTAATTCTGATGTATTACATCTGCCACTTGTCAATATCATGTGACTCTTCACTCCCATTCACTAATTCTCTTCAAAAAGTGTAGATGGTGGATTAACATTCAGCACACGATCACTAGAAAGATGTGTCATTGTAACTTCAGATGCCATGGTTTCTAAAACAAAATCTGTCTGTGTTATCTTCATTCTCATCTTCAGCGTTTTACAATTGTTCGCGGTAGTAGCTCTCTCTGTCATACCAAGCCAGAAGGCTTGACAGCTGATATTTCAGTGAAAAGCAGTGGTGGGCCTATAAGAAGAGCGCGAAGGCGGGGCAAGCATTACGGACTTGGCTTTGTTTACTGCAGCAAGTTGACATGACAACTGTTTTAAACTATTCCTGAGCGCTGCGTTTCGCGTTTCAAGTGCAGATGTGGTGAACATTTTGCAGTAAAAACCGGTCGCACACAATAATTTTATACACTCGCAAAAATTCTCCCAAATATAGTTTGATGTCGCATAGATAAAATTTCGGGCGCATATGCGACCAAAATGGTCGCATTTTCGAGCCCTGAGTTGTATCCATTGGTTGCACACTTCAGAATCTCGCCGGAATGGCTCTGATTGGGTCTTCTGGGTACTTCTTGCGTACTGTTTTTCAAATTCTATGAATTTGAACATATTACTTTTCAGAAGATGGGTACACTGTGGTCATAAAGGAATGGACATTTTCAGCAACAATACTCGGGTAGGCTGTGGCGTTGACATGATTCTCAATTGGTACTAATGGGCCCAAAGTTTGCAAAGAAAATATTCCCTACACTATTACACTACCATCACCAGCCTGAACTATTGATACAAGGCAGGATGTATTCATGCTTTCATGTTGTTGATGCCAAATTCTGACCCTAACATCCAAATGTCGCAGCAGAAATTGAGACTCATCAGACCAGGCAACGTTTTTCCAATCTTCTATTGTCCAGTTTTGGTGAGCGTGTGTGATTTGTAGCCTCAGTTTCCTGTACTTAGCTGACCGAGTGACACCTGGTGTGTTCTTCAGCTGCTGTAACAATCCGCCTCAAGGTTCGACGTGTTGTATGTTCAGAAACAAATCTTTGTTGTAACAACTGGTTATTTAAGTTACTGTTGCCTTTTTATCAGCTCGAACCAGTCTGGTCATTCTCCTCTGACCTCTGGCATCAACAAGGCATTTGCCTCCACAAAACTGCCGCTCATTGGATATTTTCTTTTTCAGACCATTCTCTGTAAAACCTAGAGATGGTTGTGCGTGAAAATCCCAGTAGATCAGCAGTTTCTGAAATACTCACACAAGCCTGTCTGGCACCAACTACTATGCCATGTTCAAAGTTACTTAGGGTGCTTTCACAACTGTGAATCGATTCAGTTGTTATGAAACAGAGATTACAAATGTTACATTGTTGCTCTTTGCTCTTGGAGCAATTCACTTTCACACTGCAAAGTTTCTAATCGGACCAAAAGAGCTAAAACAAGTCACGTGCAAGTAAACTCTCCTCACATTGGTCAGAGTGTCAGGGTTTTTTTTGCAGCGTCCCGCTAAACTGTTAGGAGAGGTGGTGGTTTGTTGGTGATTGACAGGGTGTGCGCGCGCAACGTGTCTGAGGAGAGATGTGGTGGGGAGGGGTGAGAAGGGTGCTTGACGATGCCTATTTGAGGACCGGGAGGGAGACGCGAGATTACCGGCAGATCATCACTCGTTTGCGAGCATCCAGAGACTCGCGAAACTTCCCGCCATACTCATAATTCTCTCTTTACATAGCCGAATGCCTATTATATATACATAAAACACTGTGATATAACCACGCTCGATCGCTAAATCAATTTCAAAATTGAATGTGATTTTGCATTTCTTGTAGTAAGTTGTAGTTGTTTGTTGTATCTCCATCCCAAAACACATGCTGGAAGTTTGCTAGAACTGGCTTTACTGATATAATGTGCATAAAAATTGCATTTGATTAAATGCCTAGCCGTACTTCAAAACAGAGTACTAATAAAACACATAAATTACGATTTGTATGGCATATTTGTATTTGTCATCCGCATGGATTTTATTGGCTTGCTTTCCCACTAACTTCTAAACTGCATAGCATGGGTTTATTCGTTCATTAGTACTTGTGCGTAAAATTGAGGCTTCCCATGACAAAAATGTAGATTGTGACAAAATAAAAGGGAACATCTCTTGAAAATGTTTGTCATAAGACACATTTGAACTTATGAAATGTTAATATCAGGTTGAAATGATTGAAATCTCAGCTAACCGCTTTAGATTACTAAAGCTCATGTTAACGCCAGGTGAAAACACGACCAAATTTCTTTCTTTTTTTGTCTCAACAGTCACCCAAGCCCTTTAGAGTTGGTAGAGGTTCTATCAGAGGTACGAAGGGTGGAGGAGCGTCTCCGTCCTTTCATGGAGAGAACACATTCAATCCTCGGAGCGGCCACTTCTGCTGACTACAATAACAATGTATGCACTAGACCAGGCATCACCAAACTTGATCCTGGAGGTCCGGTTTCCTGCAGATTTTAGCTCCAACCCTAATCAAACACACCTAAACAAGCTAATCAAGGTCTTACTAGGTATACTTGAAACACCCAGGCAGGTGTGTTGAGGCAAGTTGGAGCATAACCCTGCAGGGCACGGGACCTCCAGGAACAAGATTGGTGACCCCTGCACTAGACAGTTTAATGATGCGTAACCATCATGCATGGTCTTAATATAGCATGTTCATTTATTGACAAGTTGTTTTCTTGGACAGACTCAAGAACGGGAGGAAGATCAGCGCACTCTCAACTTGATTGGAGAGTCCCTCCATCTCCTTGGCAATACATTGGTGGCTCTGAGTGACCTTCGATGTAATTTATCTGCTCAGCCTCCCCGGCACTTACATGTGGTGCGGCCGATGTCTCACTATACCTCCCCTGTAATGATGCAGAGTGGACTGCCCCATATACCCATTCCAGTGAGTTAATCGACATTTTAAAGTTCCATGAAGTGCTTTGAAATGTTAATTTTTTTCGATGTTTGATGTAATTTCAAATGAAACAAAGTCAAGCCGGGACATAAAGTATCCCCTCCCCTTTAAAAAAACAGCCAATAGGGTTTTGGTTTTATTGAAGCTCTGCCAGTGAGAGTTGACGAGATCAAGTGCATCAAATGAAAAGCCAATGAGAAGCATCTTAAAGGGGGCGAGGCATGTCAAATACTAGAGAGCATTTGATTGGTTAGAAGAATTGATAAGAAACAAGTATGAGGGAAAGCTTTGGATGTGTTTAAATGTGCTTTTTGTCAATGTTTTGAAGCACACTAGATACCCTTTGAGATATTCACAAGGACTTTAATGACTATAGCTGTATTGTCACCATTAAACGGTGATCTCAAAATGTATACAATTTTCCAGATGAACCTGGGCTCCACTGTGACCATGACGTCAAACAGCAGACAGACAAGCGATGGTCAGCCCCAACCTCCACATTCCAGCAACCAATCAGATCAGCAGGGTCAGGCTCCTCCTACTCCAGCAAATGAATCCAATCAACAGACAGGACATGGACAGGGGACTCCAAGAGTGATCAGGATCACTCATCAGACCATGGAGCCAGTGGTCATGATGCAGATGAACCTGGACGGTATGCCACACATCCACCTAATTAGACCTCAATGTTTTAGCTCTGTGCTTCAGCTTTGATGCCCATTCCAGGTCTGTTAAACCTCTCAAGATCCCAAATATGTTTATCTGTCATTTTGATTCATGCGAATAAATATAGTTCAGTATATTTTTCTGACCTGGTATGGGCAGCTGTAGTGTAACTGCCAGCCACTGATCTGTGCATTTCTGTGCAGCAGATTCAGACAGTGGAGCGCAGGGCCAAAGTCAACAGAACCCCAGTGCTGCTGGAGAGACTGGTTAGTTTCCACCTCTCTCTGTAGTCTACCAGCTCTGCCAATATAAATATGTCATATGTGCCTTAGACACAAAAGACTGTTTTACTCATTATTCACATACCTTCAGGTTTTTAATAGCCGTTTGGCTCTCTGTCTTCCTGGGAACACAAAACAAGAAATATTTACAGAATATAAAAGTAAAATGAACACTGGGGCAAATGAGCTGCAAACATCATCTATACTACTAAAAATTGGCTAAAAACAGAAGTTTTGTAATGGCAAATATAATGCTAGATATCAACATAACAGTTCAGAAAAAATTGTTTATAGGTTTTAAAAGTATAATATGAAAAACATGTAATATAAATTGCATAGCAAAAATGTAGAATAGCATAATTTCCACGATTACAGTGTGAGTCACATGACAATAACTGACCAATCAGCTTTATACTTTATATGGAATATACACATTTCAGTAGAGCAATTACTTCAGACAAACACACAAACACTGCAGTGCTTTTTCATTTTCTCTATGAATAAAACTTCCATCAGAGCTTCAGCAATGTTTTGTTAGTTTGTCATCCTCTGAGTAAACGATTGATTGTTGCCTAGTACCAACAAAAGAGGGAGCGCAAAGCACACTGAAAATGGTAAAGGAAGCAACATGCTCCCGCTTTCCATGCACTTTTAGATGCAATGTATGAAAGGCCCCTTAGTCTACCACAAGTTATTGTATCTCAACTGAAGTCAAAGGGCTCTAATTTGACGGCGCAAACGCATTCAGAGCATGTCAGAATCCACATTTGCTAATATAAGGACGGGAAAATCCGCTTTGCGCTGTGGCGCATGGTTTAAAAGGGTTGAGTTTATTATAGATGTGTTTTGAGAATAAACCAATCAGAGTCTCATCTCCCATTCCCTTTAAGAGCCAACTGCGTCGCGCCATAAGCGCATTCGCTATTTACAGGACGTAAAGTATATGGAAGTGGAAAAACTGAGCATTTCACAAGCAAACAGTTAACAGTTTTTTTTTTTAACAGAAAACGGTTAAACAAAGCATCTACCGCGCAAGAATAGATAAATTATCTACTTTCACTTTCGCGGATAGGGAAACCTTTACGTACAGACATCAATTAGTTAGTAATTAATTTCGTTTGTTAAGCGCAAATATTTGTTTTAAAACTATTTCTAAATTCAGTTCTATTTTCCAGCAAACGAATAAATGAACAATAATAACGAAGTGTGCTCAAAAACCTGAGTTATATCCTAAAACACATGCCGTGCCCCATATGGTCTAAAACCTGCAGGTGGGCAAATCTAATAGTTTTTAATATTGTTTTTAATAAAACAAATATAAATATGGATATAATAAATAATACTGCTAATAATAATAACATTATACAAAAGCAAATTGTTATGAATGAAATGAAAAAGCCTCCCGAGATGAAGAAGGCATAAAAGCAGTGGTTTTTCATATTTATGTAGGCTAGAAAATAATGTTTTGTAATATTTGAATCCTTTATATTTATATCCTATATATATATATATATATATATATATATATATATATATATATATATATATATATATATATATATATATTCTTATTATATCCTATATATGTCCTTAATATTTAAATTTTTTCATATGTAAAGATATTTGCGTATTGCTCTACATCTTGTGTGTAGGCTATTAAGCAGTGTGTAAGCGAGGCACAACTCTGTGCTGGAGTTTAGACCGTGTTTGTTTTGGTCTAATGAAAAATCTATTATATTATCAAAATAGCAACGCGCCAACAATTCGCCTCAGAACGCCTTCCTATTTAGACCAGAACATCTATGGGCACACATATGAGCGCAAATGCATTTGCTATTTAAACAACAGCAAAACGACACTTGCGTCAAGCTGAAACTAGCAAATAACATTTGCGCCGCGCCTTGCGCCACATTGCGCTGGGTGTATGATTGGGCCCAAAGTGTTCCATGGAAGAAAGAAGCCATGCAGGTTTGGAAGAAACTTTAACATGATTAAATGACAACAAAAGGTATTTTGAATTGTGTTTATGCATTGTTGTAATGTTGGATGTTAAGCAGCTGTTGTTTGTCAGTTGTCTGCAGTCTTGTGTATATATACAGTTGAAGTCAGAATTATTAGCCCTGTTTATTTTTTCCCCAATTTCTGTTAAACTGATTTTTTTTTCAACACATTTCTAAACATAATAGTTTTAATAACTCATTTCTAATAAGCAATTTATTTTATTTTTGCCATGATGACAGTGAATAATGTTTTACTAGATATTTTTCAAGGCACTTTTATACTGCTCAAAGTGACAATTAGGGCGTACTCACACTATGTACAGTTGCCTTGAATTGGGCCGAAGCATGCTTGTCCCCCCTCCCGTCACATAGCATTCACACATGAGCACGCTTACATCATTGATGATGCGCTGTTCAGTAAGAAGCGCCCTTGCTCATAACTAAAGAAATCTCCACTGTGCTATCGTTTTAGTCGTTTGAAATGCAGTGACCCAGTCAAATATTTCACCGAACAGATCAGTCACCTTTGATGCTCACAAACAATCTTAAAGTTCTCGTGCTGCAGGTATTGGGAGGTTTGCTGAAGGTTCAGCTTTCCTGCAGTGAGGGGTTTGCGTCTTTAATATTCTACGACAGTTTGTTCATTCATTCATTCATTCATTTTCTTGTCTTCTTAGTCCCTTTATTAATCTGGGGTCGCCACAGTGGAATGAACCGCCAACTTATCCAGCAAGTTTTTACGCAGCGAATGCCCTTCCAGCCGCAACCCATCTCTGGGAAACACCCACACACACATTCACACACACAGTCATACACTACGGACAATTTAGCTTACCCTGTACCGCATGTCTTTGGACTGTGGGGGAAACCGGAGCACCCGGAGGAAACCCACGCGAACGCAGGGAGAACATGCATACTCCACACAGAAACGACAACTGAGCCGAGGCGACCCAGCTACCTTCTTGCTGTGAGGCGACAGCACTACCTACTGCGCCATTGCCTCGCCTAAGAATGATTAATAAATCCATATGAAGCAGTCCCTTTAAAGTTGAACGATCTGGGAAACGGGCCTGGGCATCTTCCATTCGGATAGCATAGTGTGAGTGCGCCCTTAAGGGCTTAACTAGGTTAATTAGGTTAACTAAGCTGGTCAGGGTAATCAGGCAAGTTATTGTATAACGATGGTTTGTTTTGTACACTATCGGAAAAAATATATAGCTTAAAGGGGCTAATAATTTTGTCCTTAAAATGGTGTTAATAAAATTAAAAACTGCTTTAATTCTAGCCAAAATAAAACAAATAAGACTTTCTTCAGAAGAAAAAAAATTATCAGACATACTGTAAACATTTCCTTGCTCTGTTAAACATTACTTGGGAAATATTTAAAAAAGGAAAAAAAACTCAGAGGAGGGATAATAATTCTGACTTCAACTGTGAATATATAGCTTACAGCAGTGTCAATAATCCGTCTTTATTAAATTCTGCATATATGTCCTCTTAAGGCACCACAGTGCCCCTCCATGTACCAGGTCTGCCACCGGAGTTCATGCAGGCCATCATGCATCAGATCTCCCAACAGGCTGTCACCATGGCAACTGCAGCCTCTGCCGGACACCAGGGGCAACAGCAGGGCACTGCTGGCGCAGGTGCTCAGAATGGAGAGAGCCCAGTCCCTCCACCACCTCAGGCCAGGGTGGTCATAACAAGGCCCACCCTATCCCCTCGTGTCCCCCAACCCATGGGCACCAGAGGAACCACCATCAACCTGCGTGCGGCAGTGCCCCCCCCATCAGGGCAACAGACTAACCAAGTATGAATTCTACTTACACATGGATTTTTTTGGGGGGGGGGGGTTATTTAACTATGTCATCATAGTTAAATAAACATGTAATAGTTAATGAAATATTGTGATAATGGGAGTGGATAAATTTAAGAAAATAATTATGACAAGCAAAATAAATATTGATATGTAGATTTAATTCCAAAAATGTTATGTAAAACTAACAAAATGTTTCTTTTCACTCTTAAATCAAGGGCAGTCCTATGACATCCTCTCCTCTCACACAGATGGTCAGTGGCTTGGTTGGGCAGCTTTTGCTGCCATTGCACACAGGTGAGTTATCTTTTACCTATTGACTTCATGTGTACTCAACACAAAATGTTTATGAACATTACATTTTTTTCCTTCATCAGGGGACCAGACATCCACTACCTCATCGTCCCATTCCTTTTCTTTCTCTACCTCCTCATCCACATCTTCTTCCTCCTCTTTTTCTTCCGCCTCTCCTCCTCTATCCTCTGCCAACACATCCGGTCAGACATCCACACACACCACCAGCACAGCGTCTGTAGGTCAGGCCCAGGAGAGCGGCCCAGGAGACAATCTAGCCCAGCTGCTGGGCTCACTTCTGGGAGGAGCTGCAGGAGCTGGCGGAGGAGTGTCTGGAGCCACTCCCTCCATCACAGTGACTGTTCCGGGTGTCCCTGCATTCATTCAGGGCTTGTCTGAGTTCATTCAGGTTGGTGCTTTTACATGTGCGATCATTATACGGTAGAGCTCAAAATTGGAGAACACTTTATAAATTGTAATTTTCATCATTCAAAATTTAAATGAATTTCAGGTTGTAACTATACCAGTAGAACACTGTTTTGCTAAATAAAAAAGGAACTTAAACAAAAAAACCTTACTTTATGAAAAATAGTGATTTTAATAGATCCTTTTTACATTTTCCGGTTTCTTATAGGGGTGTCACGATTTCGATTTTTAATCGAAATCGATCGAAATTTATGCTCAATTTCGATTATCGAATCAAAAAATAGAATCGTCGATGCTGCCACGCCCCCATGTCACATCAGCTTGGCTTGCCAAGCTGGAAAAAACAGGCTTGTTGAAGTGCTTGTTAAACTGCAGAAGCAGGAGACCCGTCGACAGAGCTTTAACCCTCTCCTCTTTCAATGAAGTCGCCGGTGTGTAAGCATTTTGGATTTCCAGTGAGTTATGTTGACAACGTTCGTGTTGTCGACAAAAAAAACACAGTTTTGCAAGCTCTGCTATGTACGTATTAGGGTTCGTCCGATAGACAACACCGCCATCACGATCCTCCGCCCGCCCTCGTTGCAAATCCGCTCGCAAAAAGTACACACTCAGGCCCTGTTTACACTGTCTTTGTGTTTAAATGGCATTTTAGAACGACAACGATTTGACATCCACAGTGGCGTGTAGCATTTCTGAGCAGCCCTCCTTCCTCTCTACCTCTGACACACACACACACACACACAGACACAGACGCACACACACAGCCATGGGCTCGAGACCGGCAGTCAGTCAGACGACTGCTTCAATCTTTCACTCACTTGTACTTAGTCATTTTAGGGAACACCTCAGATACTGTTGGCTGGTTCCTGTTGGCTGTGCGTCTTTTTTACCGACGCCATTATAACGACACAGATCACTGCCTATTCACGAGTCCCGCAGAAAAAGTGATTGACAGGTGGTAATTATGTGTGTATCTTGCCTTTATTCATTTACTGTATGATTTGTTTATGGGTAAAACAAAGACCATGCAGGTCAGGTAGTTTAAACGGTAGGCTACAAATAATTGATTGGTCATTAATTAATTATTCATAATCGAAAATCAAATCGAATCGTGCCTTTAGAATCGAAAATGTAATCGAATCGAGAATTTGGAGGATCGTGACACCCTTAGTTTCTTAGCAGCGGAAGTTGTCATAGTTGGGTAATCTTAGATTGCAGTGAATGAGAGAGTACAAAAATTTTTTTACAATCCTATTTGCTCAAAGAATAAAAATAACTCAATGATAGTGTCATCAAGATTTTCAGACAAATCTAATTTACTATTCTCCCAATAGACACTGCATTACAAACACCCTGCATAAGGGGTAAAATTAGGCATGTTCTGATCTATCTGCTGAAGATCGGTATCGGCTGATAATCACATGACTCGATCAGTACTCGCCAGTCTGGCCAATCTCATAAACTGATCGGAGGTGTTTTTTTTATGAGTTTACAAGCAGAGAAAGATGCACAAGTGCTCACGTATTTTATACATAGCCGAAGTAAAATGAATGAATTGTTTTCTGTAAAGCTGCTTCTTACCATGACATGTTCACACCTAAATGGTTATAAGAGACGTGTTTAAAGTATTATATGCAGCATCCTTAATGTATACCCTAAGGTAAGATCTTCCCTTAAGGTTCATACTTAGAGGTAAAATGCTGCAATTTTAGTATCTCATCAAGACAAAAGGGCACTGGAAGAAACCATGAGTTCCCAGTTAAAAAGTGTGTAAAACTGTTTTTTAGACAACAAACTTTCTTTACACATGGGTAAAACAGAGGCTATTTTATTTGCTTCAAGAGTGAAATTAAAGAAAGATGATAGTTTTGTAGTTATGATTAATGATTGGAAAATTGAGTCGAAAAATGTTGTAAATTATTTGGGTTGTTTAATAGATAATAAATTATCAGGAGACGCTATGGCAAAAAAAAAGTTTTTATGAAGATATGTGGAAAAATTAGGTTATTAGCAAGGCAAGCTGATCTGTTGGATGTTCATTCTTTAGAATTTTTATCAGTAGCTTTAATTCATCCCCATTTTGATTATGCTACCTCATTTTGGTACAGTAGCTACTCACAGAGTATGAAGGAAGAAATGCAAAAGGCACAAAATAAATTAGTACGAATAATTAAAAAAATTCATCCTAGAGCACATTTACACAGAGTTTTTTAAAGAATTAGGCATGTTATCTTTTGGTAATATATTGTTTGTTTTTTAAAACTGGGAATGGTACGTAAAATGTTTAATAATGTGGTTACTAGTTATTTGATGAACTATTTTCAAATGGTGAGGCAACAGCACTCATACAGTACTAGGGGTTGGGATTTTAATATTTGTTTATTTAAATTTAGAAGTTTAGCAGGGGAAAATATGTTTTTGGATTTCCATGGATTTCTATTCAGGTTTAGATCAGGATTCTGCACCGGCTATAACTTTATTTTAGTATTTTTATCTTTAAGCAACTGTTTTAAATATATATCATTTAAATACATAAACTTTTTTTGCTTAAAAAAATCAGTGATTTATCACTTATGCTTTTGTTTGTGATTTCTAATCTGATCTTCTCAAATGCGTGTAATTAAACACCCTGCTTTATTTCCAGTCGGGCCAGCCTGTGTTTCCTTCACCGAATCAGCAGCCTCCACCCTCACAAGCCACGCCACCTTCTGCCCCTTCAGGACCCGCCCCCACCACCGCCCCTAGTGGAGGAGCGGAGACCCTCAGCCCTGAGCTTTTCACAGGCATAGTTCAAGGTGTGCTGTCCACCATGATGGGCTCTCTGGGGGCTGGTCAAGGCAACACTGAGAGCATCGCCCAGTTTATCCAGAGACTGTCCCAGACCAGCAACCTCTTCACCCCTGGGGCTGGAGACGCAGTGGGTGGGTGCTTTTGTGTACCATTAGGGCAACTCAAAGATTATGTACAGCTCAATGCCATAATGAAAGAGTCGTTGTCTGTGTGTACATTTAAATTGACATCAGTAATCTATTCATTTACCTTATAATGAACAAGACAATATTATGATTTTGACTTTTAGAATATTATTTCATGTTCTTATGTTACAGTACATCAATCAATTAATGGCACATCATTACATTCCGATTCGATGTTCCTTCTAGAAGTTTACATAACAACATACAGTTCGTCTTCATTATAGCACTATATACAGTTTTGGGTGGATCATTATAAATTTTATGAAAGCTTGAAGTTCAGTTCATTATTTATCATGCTTTTCTATGTGTAAACAGATATTTGCAGACACAATTTCTTGCTCAATATGCTTTTATTTCTATAAAAACTCTTGTGGTGTGGAGAAATGTGCTGAAAGGTCTTACAATAGTAATTAAAGGTGTGTATCAAAAATGTGACTAAAATAGGAATGCTCCATAAGTCCTAATTCGATGTGTTTACTTTGTGTTATCAGAAATCTTGATTTATATGGTAAAATCATAAATTCATAGAAAGAATTCATAAGCTTAGATTGATTGGGATGATTTTGTAAGCAAGCGACTCTGCATAAAATACATAACAAAGCAAAGATACCAATAAAATAAACAGTGCTTTGTGGTTTTATGGGGACTCATAGCCACATATTTTGGTACAGAAATTGAATAATCAAATATAAAATAACACTGTATAGTCTTCATCGAATAAATAAATGCAATTAAAAGCTACAAATATAATTTCTTGTGCCAGAAAACTATCATGATAGTGCCTGAATATATATCAATGATGAAATATCGATATATTTTACAGCTATTGTCTTTGTAAACATACTGCTTGTTTGTTGGTAGGGTTTTTCGGAGATCTGCTGTCTCTGGTGTGTCAGAGTTTCTCAATGGTGGACATGGTTCTGCTTCTGCATGGTAATCCGCAACCTCTGAGCCGCATCCAGCCCCAGCTCACAGCCTTCTTCACGGAGCATTATCTGCAGGGTCGAGAGCCCACTGATGCCAATATCGCTGTGAGTCTGAGCTCACACTGCTTTCATATGTGACTTTGCTTAAATCAGTCCCATGTGAAGCTCTCATATGCCTGGGTGTCTAATCCTGTTTCTGGATAAAGAGTTTATCCTCAGAACAATCTGAACAAGCTATTCAAGCTATTGTTGATTAGCGGACACTTTTAATTGCAATAGGGCTAAATTGTCGCATGTTGTCTCTTAAGGAGCAGGATTGGGCAAACCCTGTCATATTCTATCAAACATTTTTGTTAGATTTTGAAAAAAAGATTTGAGGGGAAAGAAAGATTCTGCATCCATTCTGAGATTTTCAAAATCTTGACCGATTTTGAGCCTTGTTTTCAATAGCATATGCTGCTCCAGGCTGGTTTTTATTCATACACTCAAAATGTCCACGAGAAAGAGTGCTTGTCCTTTCGGCTGCGTCAATAACAATTTGGCTAATATGTCACAAGATTAATGTAAACACCGCATTCCTAACTTTATTAATAATCATTTTAGGTTTGAGTGGTATTTGTAAGAAACTAAATGCGAGCTGAGCAGAGTTTATAAAGCGTACAGCGCCATCTGCTGTTAAAAGTGAAGCTCAGAATCGATTCAAGAGAGAATCTATGCTAGGATTTGAAAATCTTACAAATATAGAAGCCTCTGTTTTGCAATATCTTCCTAATTTTTCAAAAGTGAAATATCTCAGAGTGACTGTTTTATTGTATTGCTGACAAATGTTTTATTCAATGTTTGGATGTACTGGTCATTGTAATGTACAATTTGAAAGCAGAGGTTTGAACATTGCTAACAGTCAGAGTAATATTCATCATCTTTGTACTTTTTACACAATTAGACTGTGTTTTTGAGTGCATGGTGCAGAGACTGATTTGTTTTTGTTTCTAATTTAATTTTTAGAGTGCTTCTGAGGATCTGATCAATGAACTAGAGGAGTACATTGCAGAGAGTTTTGTAAGTGTTTTTGTACCTGATTTGTCCTACCTTGTTTTTAATTACTACAAAAATCGACATAATTTTAGACATTTCAAATAATACGCACCATACTCAAAGTAATTTTGTATGGCTAAAAAACAACAGCGTGTCTGCGAGGTCTTAAAATGTCATAAATTTCAAAAGTTAAAGTTTAGGCTTAAATTCACTGAAATAATATGTTATATGTCTTAAAACATTTAAAACGGGTCTTAATTTTCCGCTGTTCAAGTAAAGCTACCCAAACAACATCATCCATCCAATCACAAGCAATCATTTATTTATATATATATATAACCTTTTAAAAAAAATTAATCGCATTTAAAATACTGAAACTTGTAATTTTGGCTATTCAAATGTAAAATTAATGTAAACGCAAGACAAAAACTATTAAAATTCAAAATATAATTGTTTATTAGAATTAAAATTCAAAATATAATTGTTTAATAGAATTTTTGTTTAACTTGTAACACAGATTTCTTCATGTAAAAAACAAACCCACAATAAACCATCAAGATCCTGGCTTGACAGCCATATTTATTACAGAAATCAAAACACAGGCATGTTAATGACATTTAAATTTCAAAACCATCAATGCCAATAAAGAAAACATTGATTTCCATGTTAAATTCTAAGCAGACTGCAAAAAAATGCCAAAATACAGGAATTGCAGATATGGAAAATGAAAAATTATAATAATAAACTATAGAATACAAACTGTTGCACTCATTGTAAAGTTTTATTGCTGTGAGTTGAGAACATTAATTATAGAGTAGAAACAATTTTACTTAATCCTCCTTTACATTCATCCAGTTGCTAAGACAAGGTGTTTCCCGCAAGTGCACAGAGACTCCCAAATGCCCGCAAATGAATGATAATCTCTCGCAAACCGGTCGTTAAATACATTGCACACCCCTCTCCCCCACATTCCTCCTAGCTCTTCAGATAGCCTATATCGCGCGCAACTCATCCCCACCGTGAGTTTAATGAGGAAACTAAATCCCATCACGTTTAATGAGGAAACACGCTAAACTTGGAGGGCTCATGCTGAAAGACAGAGTAATGCCCTGTCTTTGACAGCTCGCGACTTCACCAGAGACTTTCTGAGTACATTCACAAAGACACCAATACTTCAATTTTAATATAATTAAGATTATACTCTTATTAAAAGTCTACCATGTAGCCTAAGAAGTGATTTTATTACCTTAAAGGAACACCGAGTCACGAAATGAGTAGGATTTTCTTATTGTTCGCCATGCGGTATCAACTTACAACAGTAGTCGAAAGTTAAAAATGGAACACCCGAAATTGCATGAAACTTTGGAGAGCCTGGTGATGCGACTAATTGTTTTATACTGAAACTTGCCTTCAAAAAGTGCTTCCTTGGTCTTATCCACATGTCTTGTGTGTTTAACACACGTCCACCACAACAGGAAGTAAAAAAAAACCCTACAACTGTGTTAATTGCGTTAATTTTTTTTAACGCGTTAATTATTTAAAATTAATCGCATGCATTAACACACTAATTTTGACAGCGCTAATATATATATATATATATATGTATTTGTGTACATATTTCATTCGATGCAATAAATCATATTTTACCAGATATTTTTCAAGACACTTCTATACTGGTTAAAGTGACATGATGATGTTGGGATAACTATGCAAGTCATTGTATACAATGGTTTGTTCTGTAGACTATTAAAAACAAAAATAGCTTTAATAATAATTTTGTCCTAAAAATGGTGTTTAAAAAACTAAAATCTGCTTTTATTCTAGTCAAAATAAAACAAATAAGACATTTTCCAGAAGAAATAATATTATCATGCATACTGTGAACATTTTCTTGCTCTATTAAACATTATTTGGGAAATATTTAAAAAAGAGAAAAAAATTCAAAGGGGGGCTAATAATTCTGACTACAACTGTTTATATAAGTAAGAATTATTAGCCCCCTTAGTTTTCTTTGTTTTTTAAATATTACTTAAATGATTTTTAACAGAGCAAGGACATTTTCTCAGTATGTCTGATAATATTTTTTTTTCTTCTGGAAAAAGTCTTATTTGTTTTATTTTGGCTAGAATAAAAGCGGTTTTTAATTTTTTTAAAAAACATTTTAAGGTCAAAATTATTAGCCCCTTTAGGCTATATTTCGAACGATAATCTACAGAACAAACCATCATTATACAATATTTTGCCTAATTACCCTAACCTGCCTAGTTAACCTAATTAACCTAGTTAAGTCTTATAAATGTCACTAAGCTGAATACTAGTGTCTTGAAAAATGTCTAGTAAACTATTATGTACTGTCATCATGGCAAAGATAAAATAAATCAGTTATTAGAAATGAGAAAATCTTCTTGGTTAAAAAGAAATTGCAGACATGGAATAGGCGATTAAAAAAAAGAAAAATTATGTTGAAAAAAAAGTGTATATACAACTAGAGTTTTGACACATTAAAAAATGTGGCTAAGAAATAACTAAAATAGTTTTTTTATGTTATAGCACAAATAAAGAAATAAATAAACGGGCCATTTGATACAATCTTTAGTGTTTAGCTCTGTATAAGTCTAAAATTCAAGACTTTAAAAGTCTTAAATTTGATTTGATTAAACCAGCAGAAACCCTGATATAATCTCTAGTATAATAAAAACAATTATTATAAACATTTGTTAAAACATTTAATAATTTCCAGTATTAACTCCTTGTAAATAAATTCAATATCTTTACTCTTGATCAGCCAAAAACTTAAGTGTTTCATGCTGGAGTGGTTTGAGGTGTGTGTGTGTGTGTGTGTGTGTGTGTGTGTGTGTGTGTGTGTGTGTGTGTGTGTGTGTGTGTGTGTGTGTGTGTGTGTGTGTGTGTGTGTGTGTGTGTGTGTGTGTGTGTGTGTGTGTGTGTGTGTGTGTGTTTGTGTGTTTGTGTGTGTGTGTGTATAAAAGTATAGTATAAAAAAACTTTGCGGCGTGAACAGCTCTTAACAGTAACTGTGCTGTATTTGTTTCAGTCTACAGTAACCGTTAGAGAAGGAGTGGACATCATTCAAACCAACATGTCCTTCCTGAGACAACAGTTCACTCGCATGGCTACTCATATTCTTCGCTGTACAGGTGACCAACACAACTTGTCCTCTTACTGACACCTTTACGCTTAAATCCAAAACCTATGACTAAGATATATGTGGGTATATAATTACAGTTCAAAAAATATATATAAAGTACAGATGTCATTAATTGAATACTTTAAAAAACATTAATACTTTAGTATAAGTAACAATTTACACTATTTACTATTGTCTTTTACCTGCCTATTAATAAGATATTACCTGTTTAATAGCAATTATCCTAATCCTACCCAATACTTAAACCAAACTACTACCTTACTAAATATTAATAAGCAACTAATTAGCAGTTTTTTAGATACAAGTCTTAGATATTAGTTTTTTAAATTGTGTGAATTTTACATTAAAATAAAGTGAAACCAAAAATGACAGTATTTTGCATAAAATACATGGTGTATTGTTTTTGAGCATGTTTTAACTTTGAAAGTGTTTGGAATTTTTGAAAGAATAACCCTGATTTGCAGTGAAAACACATGAAAACATTTGTTAGTTTGACCATTAGTCTTTTTCTGAAGAAAAAAAAATCTAAATGACTGTTTTTATTTGAAATTGAGACCTTTATAGACCATTTTTGAGGGAAGTCAACAAGAACAATGATCCTAACGCATTTCCTATTTCACATTTTTATTTTCCATAGCTTCTGAAAATCTAAAAAGGTCCACATATTGATAAATAATGTTATGATAGCTGTTTTAAAATCAAATTATGATTGAATTGCCTCTTGTTACAGTTAGGAAATAGTTTAACACCAAGCAGGAACTGTTCATGGGCCAAAGAAATCACCACTTGGAAATGGTCTTATGGATTATTTTAACTCAAATCCATAACTAATAACACAAGTGGTCAAGCACTCTCTTCATTTTCCTTAGCTATAAGAAACAGTCAAACTACTTGCTCTACAAACAAGTGTGTTTGTGTATACATAAAAAGTAGAATATAATTAGAAAATTTCAGTTCGTAACATTAAGCAGCTAAAAATCTGAAAATCAATGGAAGTTAATGAGAGCGGAAGGCTCGGGCTAAAAAAAATTCCAATTGCTGTGCCTGCTCATATGTGAAGAATAAAGTCAATATAAGAAGTCAAACCAAAAATTATTCAGACATCATATATATTTATTTCATTTATTTGTTGGTGGTGGATGCAGATACTACAGTAAAATTGAGTAAAGTAAACTGTGACATATTTTACCCAAAACAAATTTATTTATTCAGTGGACTAAAAACCAACAAGAGCTGAAGAAGCTTTTGCAGAAAGTAAATATTTGAGTTCAGCTTTGCATGAATCAGCTTGACATTGTGCAGTTGACTAAAGCCTCACATTGAGGCCCAGCAAAGTATTGATGGTTGTGTAAATATTGTCATGCTAGCAGTCTGAATTAGTTTTGGAGGATTGTGATCCATTTCATACTGTACCTTTCTATTAAAGACATTATCAAGATATTATAACTAAGATATTGTCAGCATTGCCATTTTCTAAAATATATAGAATATACTGTGATAATATTTAAAATGTTGAACTTGTTGGGAAAATATATATAATTATTTTATCAATCTCTTGCTTTTGTTTTTCTAGACAACACATTTGGCCAGCGTTTGCTGTATCTGTGCACTCAGGGTCTTTTTGAGTGTCTGGCCCTCAATCTCTACTGCTTAAGAGGAGAACAAAGAGCTTTGACCACTGTCATAAACCACCGAATTGTAAGATTCATTGATTCATCCTTCGAATGTGGTTACATTTATATGCATATCCTTCATATTTTGATCTTCCCTCAGAGGAGGATGTCAGCAGAAGTGAACCCCAGTCTGGTGAACTGGTTGACCAGTATGATGTCCATGAGGCTGCATGTAATTTTAGAGCACAATCCGGTCACTGAGGACCAGATCCAGCATTACGTCATCTATACGCAGGTACTTTAACCTCTCATTTAGATTTGTTTATCAAATGAGACACAAAAGCACAAATGAATATGTTTCTGTTGTCTTTTTTTCATGTACAGAGCGAATCTGCTCGGAGAACAGAGGCAGGTTCACAGTCAAGCCAGCAGTCACAAAATATGAATGTGGAGGTATGTTTTAGCAGAAGAAAGAGGCTGGTTTACCGTCATGTTTAATAATATGATTTTAAAATAATGCTAATTAAACCTTATGTAGGTCTTTGGAATGTTATTTTTTATAATTATATTCATACATTTTTATATACTGTACATTTGAAGGCAAAACGATTAGCCCTCCTGTGATATTATTTTTTGTTGTTGTTGTTTAAAGGAGAGGATTGTTTTAGCATGACAGTTTTAAACTAATTTCTTTTGACTTTGCCATAATGACAATACACAATATTTTACTAGTTATTTTGCAGGAGACTACGATTTAGCTTTATGTGCAGTTTAAAGACTGAACCAGGTTAATTAGCTTAACTAGGCAAGTTAGGTTTATTAGACAAGTCATTGGACATCAGTGGATTGTTCCATAGCCAATCAAAAATAATCATTTCTTAAGAGGGCTAATAATATTAAGCTTATTTTTTAGACTGTTTTCATTTAAAGACTTAAAACTGTCAACTGTACATACTTTAAAGACATTTCTCCCGAAAATGAATAATGTCATCATTTAATCACCCTTGACTCCAAACCTTAAAAATGATTAAAGAAGATATTTTGAAGAATGTTGGAAACCTGTAACCACAGACATCCAAAGTAGGAAAAACACATACTATAAAAGTCAATTTTTACAAGTTTTCCCACACTAAAGGCTGATTTGTACTTCTGCGTCAAACGCCGGCGTATGCTTCGTTGCTGACACATTACCCTTCGCCGTGGCCGTCGGCGTCGCTGACATGCACTTCTCAAAAAATGTAACTACACGTCGCAACGACGCATAGCGCAAGCTCTGTGATAAGTTGGCTTGGTAGCACTGACGAGTCTGGGCGGGACCAAGAGCCGCGTGAATGGTGCGAGCCTGATGGAGCGATTGTTTACAAGTGTGGACTCCCGTGAAGGAGCTCCAGATGGAAAGTTTTGTTTTGTGTTTACCTCATGGTTAAAGTTGTTGCACGTCCGCCGGTTCCTGCCTCAAAATGAGCGAGTTTGAGTCACTTGTACATCCCGGAAGTGTTCAGAAAAGCAAAACAGAAGCGAAGAAACTCGACACAGAGGAACATTTATACCTCACTGCCAACTAGCGTTTCGGAACTGTTAATGCAGACCAACAGAGACAGCGCACAGAAGAATAAATGCACAGCTACGCGCGTTGCATGCGCCGTGGGTTACGCCGGTCACTTGAAGCAGAAGTATAAACCAGGCTTAAATATCCTAATTTGGGTCTATGGCTTTGGCTTTAAATATCCAGGATTGGAACAAATCAAGGGTAAGTAAATGATGACAGACCTTTCATTTTTGGGTGAATTAACACTTGACCACATACAATTCTGGAGATTTTTCATTCATTCATTCATTTTCGAGTGAATTATGCCACAGCGGAATAAACCGCCAAGCACCAACTATTCCGACATATGTTTTACATAGCGGATGCCCCTCCGGCCGCAACCCATTATTGGGAAACACCCATACAAACATGTAGAAAACCTACATAAAATCAATGCAAACTCCACACAGAAATGCCAACTGGCCCAGCCGGGACTCGAACCAGCGACCTTCTTTCTGTGAGGCAACCGTGTTAACCACTGAGTCCCTGTGCCACCCTCTCTGAGATTTTTTTTTTTCTATGACAAAATTTTAGTTTTAAATAGAGCAATTGCAATTTGCATATGTTTATCATACCTGGCTCAAACAGTTGGTATACAGCTTCAGTCTTTTCAGCCCGTATTATTTTATCTGTTACAAGCAGGAAAATTGTCTTATAATAACTGTGATAACAGTTATAATTGAGATATAACATGCATTTTTTATGGTAAAAATAAAACAAACTACAGTTTAAAAAGAGATTTTGTTTCAAATCAAGGTTGTAACAGTTACATCACATAATACTCAACCATTACTAATGTATATGTCAATGAACAATTCATTAAAGAGATTCTTCAAAAATGTGTCTTCTTTAGTCAGTTCTAGCATTCTTAGTTTATCCAGAATTGGGCAACTTTAATTTTAAAGGACGCATTAATTTGGGTAAAAATGTTTTTTTTTTTCTGAACTTTAAAACATTAACCAGCACATATGGTTGTATCATTAATAAAACTTTGTTTCTTGAGCACCAAATCATACTTACGAAGGATCATGTGAAACTGAAAACTCAGGGTATATGCAGGAATCCTAAAGGTAATTTCAATATCTTTTTAAGACTTTTTAAAGACCCTTCTCAGAATATTTCTCATCTCATCGCCACTTCCAGTTCTAATCAGTATCAAATCTTTAACTTAATAAACAGTTGTTAAATAAATCAGTGGAGCACAACCATGCAACAGAACTCTGATAAGCTCGGAAGAAACAAAGCTTGAAATAATAAATTACGTAGTTGTTTTTAGCGACAGGCTTAAGCCACTGTTTAATCTAGTCTTTCTTCAACCAGGAGTATGCAAACTTACATATTACCATTTTGCCGTCTGTTTGGCTCTATGATGACTAGATGTGGAGAGCGTCACATGACCTTCCCACGTTTGTCGCAAATTACGCGACATCACCCAGACAGAGGAGCTTGGCCTGAACCAGTCGCGTGGATGGAAAAAAATAAATATATTTAAGCTATTTTGGAGTCAAACACTTTGGACAGTGCTTGAATAAAAATTAAACCTCGTAAAAACATGATTAAAACTTTTTTATATCTTTTAGGGCCTAATTTTCACATAAATGATTTATCATATTTTAATACTTTTTAAGACCCTGCGGACACCCAGACAATTATGCCGAAAACTTCATCTTTGACATCACTGCAATAAGTTACATTTTCAAATTGCAGTAATTCACAGTTTTGTTTTTCTTTGACTAAATCTTGCTTTGTTGACAAGAGACATCGAGTTCCGTCATTGGTCGGTGTCCTTTGTGTAAATCTGTCTGGAAGACATCTGGGTGTGGGTTTGCACTGTAAACTGTATGCGTTGATGGTAATATGTGGTGATCTACTGTATTCCAGGAGGGCCTGTCTCCTGCTCCTGCCACCACAGCAGAGGAAGCGCTGAGATCCACAGGAGACACTGATGGAGATGAAGCACCCGGCAGACCATCGGCAGAAGAGACACGAGGAGCCGTAGCCATGGCAACCACAGAAAGGGAGGAGTCAACTGGAGAGGCAGAGCCATGGGCGGCAACCGTTCCACCTGTAAGACTCCATTGTCTTAAAGGGTCACGAAACACCAAAACACATTTTTTGAGCTGTTGACAGTCGTATATGTGTCCCACACTGCTAAAAACACTATTAGGACACCTATATTTCACTAAAAAGTGTAAATTGGTTGTTTTTGCGTTATTTCAAGCAAATTTGTACTTCCTGTTTGAAACGAATTTTTGAAGCTGCGTCACGGTCATGACATAATAGCGTGTATTCCAGCGTGCAGACTGGGCGTCTGTGCCAGAGTGAGTCTTATTACGTCTTACAGTGTGATACATTAATGCATGAGTAAGGCTTGGTTCAAACCAATCAGCGCGCTCTATTGTGGAACTTCATTAATATTCATTAGTGTCACCGTGTTTACGCCACAAAGACGCCACGTTGTGTTGGCAAAACAAGCGTGAAGTGTTGCTTTTATAGTTTGCTGCCGTTAAGTTTCGTTTTCATTTTCTCTCTGTGAGAGCTCAGTCTCACGTGTGGATTAACAGTGTACGCGACGCTCGACAACAATAACTTACGTGTCTGAGGATTATTGTTTACCTGGGAGCTGTTCTCATCTGCAAATGCTGAAATCTGGATTTGCTTGTAGTATTCTCTCCATAAAGACGCGGCTCTAGTTGCTGGTGATTGTCCTGTCTCTACAGATTTGGTAAGTGAGCGACCAGTGCTCTTTGTTTATTCAGTTTGTTCGTATCGAATTAAGTTAACTATTGCACTGAGTGCAGAAATGTAAGCACCGCATTTTGTGACCGGAATAACACACGCGGCTTTCTGATGCTACCTGCCGTGTGCATCTAAGTTTCCGGGAAATGCGGAGTTTTTTTCTCTCTCATTCGCCGTGCGGTATCAAACATTGCATGAAAAATACACGCTTGCAGCAGTTCCTTGAATCAAATATCTCGTTTGTCGCGAGAGGCATGAATGAATTCCCTGAATGAAAGAGCCAAACTGCAGTTAAAGTCCAACTTTTAATAATTTGGCAAATAATTCGACTACAGATGTCCATGTAAACACAGTCACATTGTCCGCTGTGGGTGTGTATTTTGACTCTGAAACTCGCGCGTGCACAAATAGACACTCCCACACCATCCCACTTTAGTTCCTCCGACACTCCCCCCTAAACAGAGCTGGACACGCCCACTTTTCTGACTTTTTCCAAAGTGGAGGTGTGAAAACACCCTGCTGAAACGAGGGGGTTTCATGGCCCTTTAAAGATTGCAAATAGTAGTTGACGTTATTGCATTATATACAACAGATTTGTAATTGTAAATTCCAATGTACACTAATATAGTTTTTTTTTATAATGGGATAAATGATTAAAAAAAACGTTATAGTATAAAATGACAAATAGAATATTTATATAAATGTTAAATGACAATTGTTCTGGCCTACCTTTAAGTACAGATTATATGAAAGAACACGTGATCATGCTAAACTATATTAAAGTTTCAATTATTATTATCTGACAAGTGGTTAAAACCTTGTGATTTGAAGAATATCTGCAAATTATAAAGATTCAAAATGGTGATTTATTAGTAATTTTTGGCTGCATTATTATTATGTCATCAAATCATTTTTATTTTAAATTTGCCTGATATTTTTGTGTTGTTTTGTGTAAATAACCCGTGAATGAGATTTTAATTCTCTTCTGCAAATGATGGTCAATACACAATTTCAATACACCAAAGGACACATTCTAATGCACTGATTTGGTTTAATTAATAAAACTTTATCATTGTTTTATTTTTCAAAGCTTCAAAACTCTTTTATTTATGACCTTTATCGTCTCTAGTTTAGTAGAAGTAATGAGAAGGTTTTGTAATCTTTCTGTTAATCAGGAGTGGGTTCCCATCATCAGACGTGACATGTTGACCCAGAGGAAGATGAAAGCACAGCCTCCTCTGTCTGATGCGTATATGCATGGGATGCCGGCTAAGAGGAGAAAGGTCTGTATTTCACTGACATTTACTCAACTAAAATGCCAAAACACTTAATCAGCACTATATTATATCCATATTACGGCGTAATTTACACTAGTGCTTTTTTTTCACACTTGGCATCTGCATAACTCTAGCACCTTTGACTTTTGAGTGTTTCCAAGCCCTAATTTAGTTTGGAAACACTGGTTTTCCATTTCAGTGTAGATAAACTGAACCACAGACTTTAGAAAGCCGTGGCTGTCCACAATCACTCTCTGATTGCTCTTCTGGACTGTTGCGTATCATTTTTAATTTTTTCAAAAGCCCCTCTCATTTGATCATTACACAACCACTAGACTGCAAGTGTGGATGTCATATCATATCATCTTGTGTTTTATGCTGTATACACGGTAAAGAAATGCAGGGTTCCACACAATTGATTTGACAACATGAAGGAATTACGTTAACCTTTTAGTTAACCTTTTACAAATGGAAGTGGGTTGAGCATAAAGCAACTTAATTGTAACAAGAATTGAGTTGTTTCAGCTTATTTTAAATAAGTTGTTTGGACAAACAGCAAATGTTTTTTTTGTGTCTAGTGTTGATGAAGATTCTTCTTTCTTTTAGAGCAGTAAAATGGATGAGAAGAGGTTTCATTCTAAAAACACTGTTTTCAAACAGAACCCACTAGTGTAAGCGCAGCCTACAAAACTGTTTTGCTTAGCATTTTAAAAGTTTCACGTTTACACAACAACGTTTCTTATGCATTCTAATTTTACATGTCTGTGAAAACATCCAAAAATGCTGCATTACTTACACTAGGCCAGTGTCTGGCACTGTCACCTAGTTACTCCACTGTTGTTGTGTTTGTTTGTGCTTGCCTTTAATCTACACTCCTCTAAATATGTACTACACATGCACATGACATCATCATTTAAAAAAAATATTCTTGACTGTTTTCAGGTGTTTACATGAACATAATAACAGTGGCATTTTTAAAACCTTTCACTTTGAAAATGCATAAAACTAAAAATGAAGTCAGGCAAATCGGCATTGTCATGTAAAGTTTCCAGTTTTTGTCCAAAAATGTTGTGCTTAACTTGATGATAACCAGTTTTAAGGTATACCGTGGTTTGGAAATGTCAAGGTTTTAAAACCGCCAAAGTTTTCTGTTACACCATTGCTAAGGTGTAGATTTTTTATTTATTCTTTAAACGGTTTTATTTAGCTTTTTAGGGCAACAGTACATCCAGCAGAAAATGAACCTCTACATCAAAAGCTACTGGTCCAAAATACTTTAAATGTTTCTTAATATAAAATATATTGTGTTCAATGGGGAAAAAAGTTGTTGTTTTTTACCCAGACATTTAAAAAAGAACTTATTTCGGAGCAGTAATCACTATACCGTGAAACCGTGATAAATTTTATTCAAGGTTATCATACTGTCAGAATCTTATACCGGCCCATTCCTGGTTTAACTCCTCTAATCTTTGTTTGCTTTACAGACGGCACAGGGGGAAGGACCTCACCTCTCTCTTACTGAAGCCGTGAGTCGAGCTGCCCGGACAGCGGGAGTGCGACCGGTTACTGCCCCAGACAGCCTACAGGGAGAGCTGGAGACCCCAGAGCTGCAGGAAGCATATGCGCAACAGGTGAACAAAACCTATCTATTTTGAGAAGCCTTTGTCACTAATTAAAAACCTCATGTCGAGAGTTTAGACATCCATATGTTTAGTTGGAGTAACTGAGGCACACGTTGTAAAGGCAACACCCTCTTCTGAATCAAAGGGGGAGGGGAGAAGAGGCTCAATTGTATTTAAAGAGACACTGACGAAGCAGCTTGTATTTGCTTCCGAACAAAAATTATCATGCTAAATGTGTAAGAATAAATAATCAGCAGAATCTGAATAAGCGTATATATAAGCGTCTGCTAAATGACTAAATGTAAATGTAAATATATATATATTAGTGCTGTCAAAATTAGTGTGTTAACACTTGCGATTAATTTGAAATATTTAACGCGTTAAAAAAATTAACACAATTAAAGCAGTTGCAGTTTTTTTTATTTCCTGTTGTAGCCCACATGCGTTCAACATGCAAAAAAATACGGATAAGACCAAGAAAGCGCTTTTAGAGGGAAAGTTTCAGTATAAAACAATTAATCTTGCATCACCAGGCTATACAGCGTTTCCTCCAGAGTTTCATGTAATTTCGGGTGTTTCATTTTTAATCTATTGACTTTAACTGCAGTTCAGCAGTTCACTTTCATTCAGCAACATATTGTTCATGCCTCGTGACTATTATTGGATGAAAATATGAAGTAAGGACTGCTGAAAGAGAGCTGTTTTAAATGAAATTTGATACCGCATGGCGGTATTCAAAAATATCTGCATTTCGTGACTTGGGTAGTCCTTTAAGATAATCAAAAATGGCTGTTTACATGGTACACTCTTAATCAGTATTATCTTAATTATAAAATCGGAGTACTGGTGTCTATGTAAATGTACTCAGTGAAAGTGCCAGATGATGTCGCAAGCTGTCAAAGACAGCCCATTCCTCTGCCTTTAAGTTGATTCCATGCACCCTCAAATGTTTCGTTAAGTTTGACGTGTTTCCCCTTACACGCAACTTTTGTAAAGTGTCTGCTACATGTTGCTGTGTCAGAATCCTTGCTTGTAAAATACAGCCATACTATAGAATGCTTAGTTTAATCAAATTTGATGAATGCGATCGTGCTTGTTGATGAATCTGAAGGGAGTCACTCACCGGGTGGCTGTACTGCGCGTGTTGTTTTTAAATGTCTGTGTGCGTTTCCTAGCAACAAGAGCAAACGCCTAATATTGCAGACGGTGTCTGTATTCCGCAAAGCTGTTTAGAATTAAATGTTTGTTGTGACCAAAGTCCCTGTAAGAAGTCTGTATCTTTGGTACGTGCCTTTAATGTACCCCTTGGTGCTTCTTGCGTCCTTGTCACAGCACCAGTGGCACCAAAATTAGGCACCGAAATTCTTATGCTGATTCAGTGATTCTGTGAGAGATTCTTGTGAGAGACTGTTCTCACTCTCAGGTCACATCATTCAAAAGAAAAGGCTCGCATTGTCCCCCGATAATGTCAACAGACTGGACTGTCCTAGCAACTGGCTGAATGTAAAGGAAGACTGAGCAAAATAGTTTTTACTTTATAATTAATGTTTTCAACTATCAGCATTACAACTTTACAATGAGTCAATAGCCCCTTTCACACAGTGATACCGGTAAATATCTGGAAAATTTCCGGAAAGACTTTACCGGTATTTTCAGAAGAGCGCTGTTCACACAGGCGAGGACGTTACGGAAATTTTCCGGAAAAGAGCATTCACACATCCATTCCAAAATACCGGTAAATTCTGACATCATTAACCACAAATGAGCTTTAAACGGCTGCGCTTGTATTTGTAAACATTTTACTAAATTACAAACTCTGTGGATGATCAATATTGTGAATATGTGCGTGTGCAGGCGCTCACAGGCTGTTTCACAGGCACACGCAAAGCTTGAAGGTAAACAAACAACGGCTTATCATAAGCATCTCATCGATGATTATTTACACAGTTGGCATTTAAGAAGAACATATAAACGTAATCTGACTAACTTCTAGCAGCTAAATGTGTCTGGAAAAATATTCAAAGGCTTTTATCCTCACAAACCGCGCGGACGTAAATGCGTCTGACTGTTGTGATTGGCTAAAGCAGACGTCTCACGTCAGCACGTTCTAGACGTGCACGCGCTTATTACGTGAATCTTCCTTCTGCATTCACACAGCGCAGCATTCCGGCAAATTGCTGGAAATGTTACAACTTCTCTTTCCGGAAAATAGCCAGAACGAATTTACCGGTATTTTCAAAAAGGACCTGTTCACACATACAACCTTTCCGGAAAATTGCCGGCAATTTTCCGGAAAGGTCTGTATGTGTGAAAGGGGCTACTGAGAATCGTTTGTATTCAATACTTTTTATTATTATAATTTTCCAATTTCCATATTTGCAATGCCTGTATTTTGGATATATATGTAAATGTGTGTGTGCATATATATATATATATATATATATTGTAATAAATATGGCCTTTTGCGATTATGATTAATTGCAAATAAAAAGTGTAATTAATCATTTGACAGCACTAATATATATATATATTTGTTCAAGTTTTAATAGTTTTGTTTGTATAATTTTGCCGTGTAATGTGTGTGTGCATTGTTTTTGTATGTTTGTTTTTTTAGGTCATTTTATTAAGATCACCATGGTCAATTAGTGATCCTGCTGTCTCAATGGAAATCCTCTGACACCATTTTAATCCACCATTTTTCCCCACATGTCTTTCAGGTGAAGAGTGACATAAAGAAGCGTCTGAGTGACGATCCAGACTACAACCACCAGCGCTTTCCCAACACACACAGAGTGTTTTCTGAAGACGCCTGAACAGACACAGCTTTTACACGCTCGTGATCAATCAGCTCTAAAAGTGAACGGCCTATAGCGCCTCATGCGTTGAGGGAAAAACCCTGTTTTAAAAACATCTGGCGTATAATTCAGATTTCTGCCATACTACAGTGTGTGGATGGTGACTAAACATAGAGCCTGGTCATAGAGACACAACAAACTAGACTTTATTCCTTCTACATGACAAAATCAGCATCTTATACTGTTTGTAGATGTAACCAGTCACTGAGAGGATTCGTGTATGTCTCTGTCCATTGTAAATTAGATGTACATTGTTGTAATAAGTTGTTTTAATATTGACAATAATAACAGGCACAAATATAGATGATCTTAATCATTTTAGCTTTATTCAGTGTGTAGATAAAAACAGGCACAAAGATGGATATTTACAGGGTCCAGATGTAGATGTACAGCACATTCATTCATCACTGACGACTGGAAGGATTTTAGTCATAGTGACGCCGTACACTGCAAAAAATGCTTTTCTTACTTAGATTTTTTGTCTTGTTTGTAGTCCAAATCTCTAAAAATTCTCAATCTGATAAGAATTTTCTAGACAAGCAAAACATGTTGCCTTGTTTTAAGAAATAATCTGCTAATATTAAGGGATTTTTTACCTTAAAACAAGCAAAATAATCTGCCAATGGGGTAAGCAAAATAATCTTATGTCAAAAGGAAAAACAAGATTATTTTGCTTACCCCATTGCTTGTTTTAAGGTAAAAATCCCTTAATATTAGCAGATTATTTCTTAAAACAAGGCAACATGTTTTGCTTGTCTAGAAAATTCTTCTCGAATTAAGAACTTTTAGATATTTGGACTACAAACAAGACAAAAAATCTAAGTAAGAAAAGTATTTTTTGCATTGTATAGCTGATATTACTATTATTGCTAATTATTTCTTGCATGCCAAAATAATCATGTTGTTCATGAATGTGGCTGTTAGGAAATAAAACAAATCTAGAATTACTTTTAGTTTAAAAAAGGGCTGTCTGCTTCTGTTTATTTTCGCCGTTAATATTTATGACCCTGAACAACAAAACCAGTTTTATGTTGCATGGGTCAACTTTACGGGGAAAAAAGAAAATGGGTCAATTAAAAGTTTAAATATTATGACAAAAATGACTTAATTTGGCATATTTAAAGGTGATTTTCCTCAGTATTTTGATTCATTTGAACCAAGCAGCAACCTCCCTCTCTCCCACGGGAAGCCGATATGGAAGTAACTGAAACTGCAATTCAGGGATCACCAATCTCGTTCCTGGAGGTCCGGTGCCCTGCAGGGTTATGCTCCAACTTGCCTCAACACACCTGCCTGGGTGTTTCAAGTATACCTAGTAAGACCTTGATTAGCTTATTCAGGTGTGTTTGATTAGGGTTGGGGCTAAAATCTGCAGGACACTGGACCTCCAGGGACAAGTTTGGTGATCCCTGCTCTATGACAAGTGTGAGGGGGGGTACATTTTTTTATAGCCCATCCGTTTGCTTTTTATTGAGTTATAAAAAGTCTGCATAATTAGGGGCGGGGCCATTTGGATGGCAGCTAGGTCGCTGTCATGTCACCTCAGCTGATTCCGGCTGATTAGCTGCTGAGCTCGGCATATACATCGTATTTTATGTGGCTTTACACAGTCAATTGCCTTTTGGAATTCTTTCCTACAATTATCAGATGATATGGCATGCTGTGTGTACTTAATTGTGCTCACATACTATTCAAGTTGCTTCTGTTTCCCAGGTGAATGAAATTATATACTTATACCATCTCTATAAAAGTGTTTTATTTAAAATAATTTATCATTTTTATTAGAACTTGAATGTACATCAGATTCTGGCAGACAGATTAGCTGTAGGCTCTAGAAGTCATCTGAGGCGTTGTCATACAGTGTTATGCTGGATTTCATAAATAGCCTTGCATTTACTAACACAGACTATATTTGAAGGATTTGGAAGTAATTAGCTTTTTCCTCCTGTAGAAAAGCATCATAAGAACAATGTTCAACGGCTCAATGTATTACAACAGTGTTTTAAAAGACTACACACTTTATTGATATAGTACACAACCAAGCACATGTGGTTAGAACGCAAACGAGTCACGAGTAATTAAGCGTTTCTCCCAAAGAAAAGCCTGTCTAAGCAGATCCTCGATTCCTAGTCCTCAGATTCTAGATTTTCAAATAGTTGTGTGTCTGCCAAACATTGTCATATTCTAACAAAGCATTTATCTGTAGAAAGCTTATTTATGCAGCTTTCAGATGATGTATAAAACTCGGTTTACAAAAATTTTACTTTATGACCTCAGTTTAACTTATGACAGGTTTTGTGGTCCAGAAATGCTTCGCTATAGTTCCTTTTAAAAACAAACTTGTTTTTTTTTTTTTCAAGCTAAAGTTGAAATGGTCAGTTGAATTCAATTGTGAAATACTGAAAGGTACAGTATAACATCAAATGATGCATAAATAATAGTTTTATTTTAGGTTTTTAAATGAATGGAAATTGTTTACTTAACTGTAAATCAATTCTTCCTGATTTAGGCTTAATTTCCAAAGCTGGTACTTTGTAATTTTATCTCAACAAGAAATTTACTATATTAAATAAACATATCAAGAAACTTAAACTGTATCTGAATGAGTGAAATCTTGGTAACATGGCTGTCAAAATACACATTAATACTATTCTGAATGAATAGAATACTCTAACTATTGGGGCCTTCGCGAAATGCACTATGTTTAACATTTGGCATGCGCACTACTCTAGCGTCTTTGACCTACATAAACAAATTTTAAAATTCCACAACCCCGTTTTAGTTTGGAAACACTGGTGTGATATTTCAGTATAGACAGACTGAACACAGACTTTAGAGTACCGTGGCTGTCTACAAACACTCTCTGATTGGTCTTCTGGACTATTGCGTATCATTTGCTAATTCGTCAAAAGCCCCTCCCAATAATTACACAACCACTAGACTGGAAGTATGGATGACGGTAAAATATGTGCATACTCATTAAGCGTGAATGGTCACATATCTTGGGCCCTATCATACACGCGGTGCAAAAAGGCACAAGATGTGTTTGCCCCGACGTGTTGCTATTTTCAGACCAACAAAACCTTCATTTTCCTATTTTCCGCCACGTTGTTTAAATAGCAAATCCATTTGCGCCACTTTGTGGACTCGTGTTAAGGCGCATTGTTGGTGCGTTGCTATTTGAGGAACTAAAATAGACTGCTCAATAATCCAGCTAAAAGCAGGGTAAAATCCAGCGCAGAGCGCATCAGTTGTGCGCCTCGCTCACACATTGCTTAAAACACACATGATGTACAGCAATACACAAATATCTTTGCAAATAAAAAAGAATTAAAGGATTAAAATATTACAATAATTATTATTATTTTCTACATAAATATGAAAACCACTGCTTCCATGCCTTCTTCATCTCGGTGGGCTTTTTCAGTTTGTTTATGACAATCTGCTTCTGTATAACGTTATTATTCTTAGCAGTTTTATTTATTATATGCTATATATATTTGTTTTATTAAAAACAAGCTTAGATTTGTCCACCTGTCAGATTTTAGGCCATATGGGGCACAGCATGTGTATTTGGATATAACTCAGTTGTTTGAGCACACTTCGTTGTTATTGTTATTTATTCGTTTGCTGGAAATTAGAACTGAATTTAGAAATAGTTTTGACAAATCTTTGCGCTTAACAAACTAAATTAGTTATGTATAGGCTAATGGATTTCTGTGCACAACATGTTTCCTTATCCACGAAAGAAAGTGAAAGTAAAGGCCGAATCTTCGCGCTGTAGATGCTCTGTTTAACTGTTTTTCGCTAGTGAAGCATTACATTTTTCAAATGTGTCATCGCGCGACGCAACTGACTCTTAAAGAGAATGAGAGATGAGGCTCTGATTGGTTTATTCTCAAAACACATCTAGAACTCATTAAGAGAATGAGCTCAACCCTGTTAGACCATGCGCTGCGGCGCAGAGCATATTTTCCTGTGCTTAAAATAGCAAAAGTGGATTTGGACACGCCCTTAATGCTTTTGCACCCTGAGCTTTAGACTTTGCACCTAGATCGTAAAAATAGAGCCCCATGTGTTTTATGCTGTATACACTGTAAGAAAGGCTGGGTTCCACACAATCGATTTGTGTTGGGACAATGTGAAAGAATTAAGTTAAGGTATAGTTGTTAAATTTAAGTGAACTGAACAAAAGAAAACTTCAGAATTGAGTTGTTTGAGTTCATTTAAAAAACGGTAAATTTCGAGCAACGTGGAAATAAAATGTTGAGAAAAAACTTCTGAAGATGTTCTGAAAAAAGTTGTTAATTTTGAGAAAAAAATGTTGTAATAAAACAATAAGAATAAACCTATCAAATTGAAAAAGTATTATTTTGTGAAAAAAAACTCAAGTTTTAAGAAAAATATGGAAATAAAATGTTGAAAATGAACTTTTGAGAAAAAAATGGTTGAAATAAAACATTCAGAATAAACAAAATCAGAATATAGCATACATTTATATGGAAAAACTCAAGAAACGAGGAAATAAAACATTGAGACTAAACATTAAATTCAGAAAAAAACCAACACATTTCCGTAAAAATCAACACATTAAACCTTGAGAAGCTGTTGAGAAAAAAACTCAATGTTCTGAGAAAAAAAGTCATTCAAATTTTAAGAAAAAAAGTCTAAATGTAAATATTTAAATTTAAAGAACTGTTGAGATAAAACTAAAATTTAACCTTTTGTGATTTTCTCTTTTTTTTGTTTGTTTTGTTTTGTTTGTTTGAGCCTCAATAAACCAAACCAGATGATCTGAATATTTCTGCAACAGAGAGACCAAACATACAGTACGGATGTCAATATGCGTTTATTTGTCACATATTCGCACAGTATTTTGGGGTGGTAATAGCTCAGAAATGATCACACCAGAACAACGAACTCACGGCCATGTTTGTTTGACATGAATCCCTCAACAGATTCAGACTCTTTGCAAGTGAATCGCACGGATTGCGGAGTGACAACGTTTCATGCTTGGTTAATCTAAAAGCACAAGCACTGGAGACAGAGATGAGTTCTGACTACTTTGTGACAGGAAGTCCATTAAACTGCTCTATGACTTTTATTACAGGAACCTAAAGCAATTGACGATACTTGTTAAAACAGATTGTGGTGCGTTATGATCCCACAGTCAAATATTGAGCAAATGATCAACGTGGAAGAAAAACAACCCAGAGTCCGCAAACGCAACCTTGAACATATTTGAAAGATTTTTACCTTTGAAAAAAAAAAAACGTGGATTTATTTCACCCAAAATGACATCATCAATATACTCAACCTCAATACCAGTTTCCATTGAAAGGTTAATGTTGTTAACCAACGCTGACAGTATGGATTGAGGATGATGAAGGTCAGGGTTGGTCTAGTTTCCAACATTCTTTAAAATCTCATATTTTATCTAAAACAAAGGAAACAGGTTGAGGGCGAGAAAACGATGACAGAATATTCATCTCATGGTGAAGAATCCCTATGAGAGTGCTTTAATTTGCTGGACGGTATGGCGTTTTAGCTATAACCAATGCGGATTTGGCAACGCAGAAGATGCAGGGAGTAAAACTGGTTAATAACTTACTCCGTTTGCCTTATTACACACTGAAAACTACACAAAGAAGCATGAACAAGTCTGCAGACATGAAACTAAACTCTCAAAGGCAGTCCCTGGCATCACTTTCCCTTAAAGGTCATGAAAAAGGCAGCAAACTTCTGTTGACTTCTGCTACCAAACAAAACATATTTTGTCTTTTAAATTAACTGATGAAAGCAGAAATGAATGTATAAATACAAAAATAGAATTATTATAATGTAAGCTGACGAGCTCTTGAAGTGATAGCGCATACATGAATGAAACTGTGCTTATCCTCAGACTGCCCGACTTTTCTCTAGAACATTTCTCAAACACTCTACTTTGTTTTTTTTGTTTTTTTTAAATAGGCTGATTTTATGACCCAGGAGTTAAACAGGTGAGTTTTACCATTTTTGAATCCATTCAGTTAATCTCTAGGTCTGTCGGGAGCACTTTTAGCTTAGCTTAGCATAGACCATTGAATCAGATTAGACCATTAGCATTAGACCAAAGAGTTTGAATAATTTTCCTATTTAAAGTTTGACTTTCTGTAGTTATAATGTATGACAGATGGAAAATGAAGCTCTGCTATCTTATAGGCTTATATGGATAGGGACTACACTCTCATTCTAATATGATAAGGAACTTTGCTGCTGTACCATGGCTAAAGCAGGCACACACAAGCTAGGTAACAGCATTGCAAGTATAGTTCCAAACCATGTCGGCCTGGAAAATAGCAACTTTGCTGTTACTCTTAGCACACAATGTAACTACAGAAGTGTTACACTTTAAATATGAATATTATAAAAACACTTTTTGAGACATGCTAACGGTCCAATCCAAATCAATGATTTATGCTAAGCTAAGCTAAAAGTGCTCCCACCAGACATGGAGATCAGCTGAATGGACTCAGAAAGGGCGAAACTTAAATGTTTAACTCTACGGGAGTTGAAAAATGAGCCCGTTTCCAAAAAAAAGTATGGAAAAGTGGAGTGATCCTTTAAAGTTTCTACCCGAAATCAATTGTTCCCAGCATTTTTGAGAGTCAACATGACATATGCAGGCATATTGTAATATTGTCACTTCAGAATCACTTCATAAGATAAAATATCACTTCAAAAGTTCAACTGAGACAAAAAAAAAAGTCTTGGATGTCCTGAGGGTAAACAAACAGTAAATCTTCATTTTTGGCTGCACTATCTCTTTAAATATCATCCCATGACCAATTCCTATTAGATCCCAGCTTGCCTTCTTACAAACTTCATCAAACCTTTTCTGAAGCCTGAATATATTTACAGACAGCTCTGAATCGACCTGTATGGTAATTTACAGGCTCATCAAAACCTATTGGTTGTGCGCTAGTTAACCTCTTAGCTAACAATGGCTCAGACAATGGGCTAAGAGTGGAGTTTAATCTTAAATACAGGCTCCCATCACAATCCAAACCAAATATGATATCGGGTTGGTGATATTCATATCATGGAAATTAGAAGATTGTTTCAAGTGAGATCAGTTTTAACTCGTTCCGGCTTACTTCTGCAATCTTTTTTTCCCCCAAGGAATTGGTTATCAACATCTTATTTACTCAACCCACATAATAGAGCGCCACATCTTTTACAGTCTTTTTAATGGTGTGACCAATCAGCGCAGGTTCTCGGCTCAGGCTCGGGCCTGTCGGAGGGAGGACAGCAGGAGTGGGAGCAGGTTGAGGGCGGGACGGTGTTCCTGAATGCCCAGGGCCACCAGAGCCCCGCCAAGCATTGAGGCCACTTTGGGCAGCAGAGGTGGACGAGCCTCCATTACCTGGATGAACAGAAATAAACAGTAATATTATAGTTACAGTTTTGTTTTCATTGGCTCTTTTTTGCATTAATATTAACTAAACAAATATAAAAAAAAAATAAATAAATAACCGATGATCACAACCAGCATATTCCTCAAAATCATAGTATGATGCTCACAACATAAACTGTAGCTTAAAAGAGGAAGAAAGTAATAAAATGGTCTATTAGTTAAATTAATGACTAATTCTTTGTTTATGTTAGTAATTACATTATTACTGTATTTATTCATCTATGGTAACATTAGTTAATGTTCTACAATTTAAATAACGTTAGTTCATGTTAACTCATCATTGACTAATGTTAACAAGCACAACTTTAGATTTTAATGTTGCATTAGCTGATGTTGACCTGTGATTAATAAATACTTGACAAGATTATTCATACTTAATCAATGTTAGTATATACAGCGGTGGAAATAATTTATTCAAAATAATTATTAAATAAATAATAATTATTTTGTGGACTCTGTAGTTTCAATCACACAGTGTTTTTCTCCCAATTATTCAGAAGTTCATCAAGTAAATACAGTAGAACAAGCTTTTTCTCTAGGGTTAGTTTCCGAATCAGACGTCAACAGAGCAATTACATCTCTTAAATCATCCAGAGCAAAGGATATATTTGGGATGGATGTGATACTTTTAAAAAACATTAGTGAGTCTCTAGTAAAGCCGATCACCAAAATTATTAATCTGTCCATTTCTCAGGGGATGTTCCCCAGTGCTTGGAAATCATCTGTCATTGTGCCTATATTTAAAAGTGGCGATCCACACTCTACTAGTAATTACAGACCTATCAGTATTTTACCTATAGTTTCAAAGATTGCAGAAAAACTGATAGCCACACAAATTACAAATTACTTAAATAATAGTTCCACACAAATTACAAATTACTTAAATAATAGTTCCACACAAATTACAAATTACTTAAATAATAGTTCCACACAAATTACAAATTACTTAAATAATAGTTCCACACAAATTACAAATTACTTAAATAATAGTTCCACACAAATTACAAATTACTTAAATAATAGTTCCACACAAATTACAAATTACTTAAATAATAGTTCTTTTGCTTTACATCCATTGCAGTTTGGCTTCAGAGCAAACTACTCAAGTGAGATGGCAAATTGCTACTTTACTGAAAAAGTAAAGTCTTTATTAGATAAAGGGGGTATCGTTGGGGCTGTGTTTCTTGATTTTAGGAAGGCTTTTGATACTGTAAATCATAGAATTCTCATGTCCAAATTAGTTGGTTTTAACTTCTTACCACAAACTTTAAAATGGATAGAATCTTACGTGTCTGGTCGCACACAGTGTGTTAATATACAAAATTACAAATCTGCCCCTCTAGGTATATCCACAGGTGTTCTACAAGGATCTATTTTGGGCCCTTTACTTTTTACTTTATATATCAATGATCATCCATCTACGTGTCCTAACAATAACATACAAATGTATGCGGATGACACTGTTATATTTATTCATGGTAGTAGTGTGTTACAAGTTGCAGACAAACTCACAGAATCACTCGTACATCTTTCAGCCTGGTTAGATCAATGCTGTTTACAGTTGAACATCTCTAAAACCGTGTGTATGTTTTTTTTTCTAAGAATGGTAGGCCAAGTGTAGTACCAGATGTATTTGTATCAGGGGAAAGATTACAAGTTGTATCGGAGTACACGTACCTTGGAGTTTTAATAGATTCAAAACTATCATTTCAGTCTCAGGTTAAAAAGGTTTGTAACCGGGTCAGATTCAGTTTAGCAAATTTTAGATTTATTCGTGATCAGATGTCATGTGAGGCTGCCCTAATCTATTATCAGTCCATGATCATTTCTCACATCACTTATTGTTTAACCACTTGGTCATAAGCCAGCATCACTACTCTGAAGCCACTTGAATCTTTATACAAACAATCCATAAAAACCCTTGATAAGAAATCAGTTCAATATCACCATTGTTTGAAATACAACCTGCTTAGTTGGGAAAATTTAATTAAATATGTACATATCTGTTTAAGGTTTAAGACTTTACATAACCCGACTTCACCATTAAATCAGTTTGTAAATATTAGAACGACTGCTCAACGAACTACTGGAGGAGGTGACAGAGGGGACTGCATTACTCCTCTCAAAAAAACTAAATTCAGTCAATCTGTATTTTCAGTGAGAGCTGCTAGGGAATGGAACTCCATCCCACCAACAATTAGAAGATCATGCACTTTTCGTTCTTTTCAGTCTCATGTTAAAAATTGATTATTGACAAATCAGCATTGTCAGCATTAGGACTGTATTCTTGACACATTTGTACTGTTGTCTTTGGCTTTTTGTCCTCTGCTGCCATCAGTCTGTTCTTTTTTTTTCTTTTTTCTTTTCTTTACTTTTTTAACTGTATTTTTTATATGAAAGTGTATTTAATGTTTAATGTTGTGCTTCTCTTTTAGGTGTGACTTTTTAACATTCTGTAAGGGGTCTACGGATGAAAAATAGCCATTCTTGGCTAATTCTGGCACATTTTACAGTAATGTTTATTAGTGTGCATTGACCCTGTAAACAAATAAACTGAACTAAACTAAAGTATTGAACACATCACCATTTTTCTCAGAAAACATTTCTAAAGGTGCAGTTGACTTGAAATGTCCACTAGATGTTGGTAACAACCAAAGAAATCCATATATGAGAAGAAAACAAATCTAATTAGTTTACAAATTAATTTGTGTAATAAAATGAAATGACACAAGGAAAAAGTATTGAACACATGAAGAAAGGGAGGTGTATTAAGGCAGTGAATTCCCAGACAGCAGCTGAAATCTCCCAGTAGTTCTTTAGCAACCCTCTACCCTTCATCATTGCAAATTAATATGAGCTGCTTCAGTCCAACATCTACATTAGCAGAATGATTAAGATTAAACCAGACTGGACATTTCAGCAAGACAATGATCCAAAACACAGCTAAGGAAACTCTCAAATGCTTTCAGAGAAAGAAAATCAAGCTGCAAAATGACCCAGCCAATCATTTGACGAATCCACAAGAAAATACTAAATGAAGATCTGATTTAATAGACGAGACCCACAGAACCATTAAAATGTTTCAGACTTTTTCTTATTTTTATGTTTGTATTGTTTGGGCTTTTACCAAAATCTGGAACAATTCCATGCAACAGCTCCTTTAGAAATATTATTCCCAGGAAATAACATGACAAGTTCAATGCTTATTTTCCCGCTGTTCATGAACTACTGGACCATCATTCTTAACAAAGTCTTACTAAAAAAAACAGTAAATAGTCAAATAATTAAATAAAATAAATAAATAGAAGATTTAAATAATAATCATAAGAAAAATACACAAGTTAACCAGGGATTATGGTGATCTACCGAGGTTCATCTGTCATAAATAAATAGCATTTTTCTGCTTTTCGCATTAGAAGAAGCAATTTAAGAAGTGTTTTGACACTTCAGAGCCACTGTACAAGCAAAAGGCTAGATACAGAATGCCATCATTGGAGCTACAGATAACTTCATGACAAACAGTGCATAAAATAAAGACAGAATGTGGCGGAGAGTTGAGAACACAAAGTACAAACAAACCCCAAAGTATCACTGCTTAAACTGACTCCGAAATGTTTAGCGTTTTTTCGTAATGGATTGATTAATACGCATCGGACTCAGTTAGTAATAATGAACAGAACAATAAAGTTGTTCATTTTAATTTACGTATGATTTTCAAAAAGTCCTTTGTATGTCACTAAACACAAGTTTCATTTATGACATGTCGTCACCTTAGAATTATAAGGTTTTATCTGACATTTGTCAAAATTAAGTTATTGACATATTCTTATTAAATGACAACTTATTTACATCTTGGGATCTTCTTTTATAAGTTGTTTACATTCAAAAACTTTGAAGCTCAATATCTCAAAATTATTCAGAACGCAGATAGAACATTATAATTCCAAGGTGACGATTTGTTTAAAACATTATGAGTTCACATGTTATTTTCAACACGGTGTAATATATGGAACATGTTGAATTTGACGTTAATTTAATATATCTACACTGCCAATTTATTACTTAAAAACAACAAGCTTTGATATAATTCATCAGAAATGCTGCAAATTTTATAAATATCATAATCAGACAATAATGCTTTTAAATCAGAAATATAATGCTTTTAAAAAAGCGTTTTAACCACAAACTATGTCTATTGGTAGCTTGGAGCTTTTTTTTTGAGCAGCTTCACTCACAGAAAAATCTCATTGGTAGAAAATAGGTTTTGTTTATGTTTGGCTGTGCAGCATTTTCCAGCTGTTCAGCTAGTCAGGATAGGGTGCAGTGCTTAAAAATATGAGAATATATTCGTTTAAATGCAGTTTCAAGCAAACCTCACCTTTTCAACTTTATGGCAATGTATTCGTCCATCAGCTCCAATGTAGAAGGTGGAGAATGCATCATATGTTCTGTCAGGAAAAAAAGCAATCAGACTACACACAATGATGAGCATGATGAACATGAGATAGTTGTGGCAGGTTGTCACTGCATGTCTCACCTGTAGAGGTGATTCTTGTCTTTCTTATAGAAAAACACCAGAATGGAGTGGAAGGGCAGGCCTTTGACTCTCCAGCGAGCTTTGATGGAGCCGTCTTCTGGATGCTTGGTCAGCTTCAGCACTTCCAGCTGAGCATCGGCATAGTAGAAGAGACACATCAATTTCCAAAGAGTTAGAGTCAGCTGGTACACCACACGACCCCTACAAGATAGAAGATTCAAAAACATTAGATCACAAGTGCCGATTTGAAAAGTAACCACCACCAGTCATTCTACAGTAGTTGTTTTTACCCTGTGTAGTTAGCTGATTTGTTTTCCTTAAAACATTTTTGTAGCAAGTGTTAAAACATGAAACATTTTGCTTGGAATTTTTTGTAAGCTTAATATTTTCAAACAAGCACTTTCAAAGCTACAAAATAGGATTGGAAATAAACCTAAGGAAACAAATGTCATATCTGCGCTTGGGGGAAATGTTTTTCATTCAAAACACTTTTAAACAGATAAAACTTGGGACAGTCAAAACAAATATTGATTATTGTGATTGCAAAATGGCTTTTTGGTTTGATTACAAAAATGTATTTTTGAATAAAAAAATTTTAAAACAAAAAAGGCAAAGATGACCAGCACTTCAATTAAATGTTGAATGTGATAAGATTTCAACAATACTAAATTGAAACTTAATTTTTTTACATGGTTTAATATTTTTTTGTTATTAAAATTGAAGTTCCTGTTTCAAAGCTTACAGATAGATGGCTAATTTGTATGTTATTGACACTTTTGGCACTTTTTTGGAGTATTTTCTTAAGTTTAGTTTTTTCCTGTAAATGATTCAATAAATACCGTACCGTGACATTCATACCGAGGTATTACCGTACTGTGAAATTCTGATACCGTTACATCCCTATTATCAGACTAAATTTCAAAGAACAAAATGTCTTCAAAACAACAAATGTATAGTTTTTTTCTTTTAAATAGGTTTTTAATGATGTGCTTTCATTATTGTTTATCAAACAAATCACAATCAAAGCTTGAGGCAACAAAAATATATTTTTTCTCAAACATGAAGACTTTTATTATAAAAATATTATGAATATTTTCCATTGTGTTGGCCAACAAGCTTTGTTTATGGAGCCAGATCAGTCTCAAAAACATCACATTACAAAATAAAATTCATAAATCCAAAACACAATTAACATTTACAAAACCGAATTCGTAAATTCAAAACACAATTCAAAAATGCACAAATCCAATTCGTAAATTTAATACACGATTAAAGAATAAGAAAATCCAATTCGTAAATTTAAAATACGATTAAAAAAAAAAAGAAAATCCAATTCGTAAATTTAAAACATGATTCAAAAATAAGAAAATCCCATTCCTAAATTCAAAACATGATTCAAAAATAAGAAAATCCCATTCGTAAATTCAAAACATGATTCAAAAATAAGAAAATCCAATTCGTAATTTCAAAACACAATAAAAAAAAAAGAAAATCCAATTCGTAAACTCAAAACACAATTTAAAAATAAGAAAACCCAATTCAGTAATTCAACACAATTTAAAAATAAGAAAACCCAATTCAGTAATTCAACACAATTTAAAAATAAGAAAATCCAATTTGTAAATTCAAAACACAATTAAAAAATAAGAAATGAATTTATAAATTTAAAACACAATTCAAAAATAAGAAAATTATTCGTAAACTCAAAACACAATAAAAAAAATAAGAAAATACAATTCGTAAATTTAAAACATGAATCAAAAATAAGAAAATCCAATTCGTAAATTCAAAACATGATTCAAAAATAAGAAAATCAATTTGTAAATTTAAAAAACAATTCACAAATAAGAAAATCTATTCGTAAATTCAAAACACAATAAAAAAATGCACAAATCCAGTTTGCAAATTCAAAACACAATTTAAAGATTGTTATATTTAATTAAATATTTATGATTATTTACTTGTGAATTCACAAATACTGTGTTAACAAATTGGATTTTGTAAATGTGAATTGTTTTATGTAAATGTGAATTTTATTTTGTAAATGTGTTATTTTTGAGACTAATCTGTTTCCACATTCTTGACTGCTTTATTAGCTGCAAACACAAGTTGTTATCAATTTCTGGGTTTGCCACACCCATTTATTGGCAGCGTCTAACCAACAAAGTGTGAACAATAGTCACTGTGAAGTTCAGTGACAGCAAGTATAATTGAGCCTGGGACCTAAAATCGAAAATATTAAAAGCATATAGAAACCATTTACCTTGTCTTGGTGTTCAGAAGACCATTGATGAACTCAACATCTTCAGAGTATATGCTGTAGTCATGATTTTTCCTAAAGAATCTGGGCAGCTGAAACACAATGTAGAACATAAGCTAATAATCAAGATTACATTGAATACTGAAGACCTCCATGTAACATTTTTGAAATCAACAATCAAATCTGACAAAGATGTAGAAAACATAAATGCATTAGCTCAAACAATACTGAAAAAAAAGAAACTCTGCCCCAGCTATCTACACGCTGAATACTATGTGCTGAAGGTCTAGTTTAAGTTGTAAATAAATGGAAATGAATTGAAATGGAAATAAATAAATAAAGCTGATGAAGCTGAACTGAATTTCAAACATTTTAAACAAAAGCCAACTGAAACAATGTTCTTTTTAAAGATTGTTTTGGCAAATCAGCTCACTAAAGTGAAATCCTGGGGGAGTTTGTTTCAGCTCCTAAACACCTTTGTGCTAAAATTGGTGCATGGAAATTACTCAATCAGTGGGCGTGTTCTGGGACTTTTTCTTCCTTCTGATTTGTTTCTCATTCAATGAGGATCAGACAGGAGAACAACATCCAAAACAACAATTTACATAATTTCACACTGGAGTAAGGGTGTGCAATTCATTTTCCCAAAAGGCCAAAATATTATATTTTCCTAAAATAAAAACTGTATGTGAAAATTTATAATGAGACAACTATTGTCAGGATTCTGCCACTTCGGTCTTGTGAATTCTTGTTTTGGTGGCAGAGTCCAGACACTAGTCTTGTCCTGTCTTGTATGTTGTGCTTGGCCCAAGTTTTCTCGGGTCGAGCATTCTTATTCCCTCTCATTCTAGTTGGTTCCGATTGGTGCTGGGATGAATTTTGCACGTTGCATGTTTGAATAAACAGTGAGTGTTTTTATTTATCATGTACTCGTGTCCTGCATTCAGTCCTCTGTTGGTGTTGTGTTTAGCACATGGTTCATGTTTACATGCGCCACATGCTTTAGTATCATGTTTATTGTGAACACATGGCTAATGAGTTCTCTGGCTAATGAGTGTTCTAATCTCGTTTTCTCATCAGCACATGGCTTGTGTTGTATTTGTCACATGCTCTCCTGTCAATTGTCTAGTCCCACCCACCTTGTTAACCCATTATTAGTTATTTTGTTCACCTGTTTGCTTACGGGCAAACTCACACAATGTACAGTTGCCTTGAACCAGGCCAAAGCACACTTGTCCCCTCTCCCGTCTCCCCCGGTGGCCTGCACTCACATTACATTCCGGCCTGGGCACGCCTTGTCATTGATAATGCGCTGTTCAGTAAGCGCTTTCGCTTAGCACAGTGGAGATTTCTTTAGATATATCGTTTAAGTCACAGGTGTCAAACTCAGTTCCAAAAGGGCCGCAGCTCTGCACAGTTTAGTTCCAACCCTAATTAAACACACCTGATCAAACTAATTGAGTCCTTCAGGCTTGTTTGAAACCTACAGGTAAGTGTGTTGGAGCAGGGTTGGAACTAAACTGTGCAGGGCTTCGGCCTTCCAGGAATTGAGTTTGACACCCCTGGTTTAAGTCGTTTGATAAGCAGTGTCGCGCAGTCAAATATTTCGCCGAACAGATAAGCCACTTTTGACACTCATAAATTATCATAAAGTCCTTGTGCTGCAGGACTTTGTTTTTGCTAAAGGTTCAGCTGTCCTGCAGTCAAGAGTTTGCGTCTTTAATAATCTATGACAGTTTGCGTTCATTGAACAGTAAGAATGATTATTAAATCCATATAAAAACAATCCTGTAAAAGTCATGTCTCGTCTTCAGTTTCGGGCTCAGATGTGCTTTGCACTCACATTACAAGCATACCAAGTGAAGCATGCTCTGTCACACCTCTTCCAACCGGGCCAAGTAAACCGTGCCTGAGCCCGATTCAGAGCACTCACACTTCTCAAACAATCCGGGAAACGGGCCTGGGCACGGTTCGGATAGCATAGTGTGAGTAGGCCCTAATTCTTTCTGCTATTAGTCCCCTCATAGCCGCTGTCCTGTGAAAGTTCGTCGTCACTTTGTCCTGTCATGTCAAGCCGTGCTCTTCCCTGCCAGCCCAGTTTATTTATTTATCTGTTTGTTTTGTAAATGTTTCCCCCCTCAGGGTAGTTTGTTTAGCTGTTTATTTTATTTTATTTTATTATTAATGAAACCCATCACTTTCCCTGCACTTGAGTCCTCGCTCCTTTCCCCACACCAACCTTGACAACGATATCCCTATTTAATGAACATTCATAAAAAACAAGGATTAACTTTACATATTAAGTGCAATAAATGTAAATATAAATGTATATCATTTAAAGACCAGCATCACAAGATCAACGCCACGTGGTTGTTTGTTTTATTGTTCCACCTTAGTTAATTTCAAGTTATTTATTTTTTACATTTACTGAGAGAAATCTAACCTGTGTTGGGCTTAAAAATGCACTGAAGTAAGGTTGAATATCTGAGGTGAATGCAAGTGTGTCAGACTGTGTCTCTTCCAATTTTTTATGAGTTTGCACACACTGGTAGCACCATTAAGCCTTTTTAAACTTCCTTATGCCCTCAAATGAAAAAAGAAAACGTTGTTTGAAGTACACCAGGGCCTTTAGGATGCATTTTTAAAAACACCAAGGAACACATTTACAGCTCAAAATCTTCTCTACTTTCTACTCAAGAAAAAAAATACACTTTGATGATGTGAAAATAACTAAATTATTGTCAAATTTCTTATATTTTACTGAACTATCGCTTTAAACTGATCTTACCTCCACCCTCAGCTTCTCATGCATCAGGGCCAGTTTCTCCTCATTCTCCATGTCTCTCTGGCTGGAGCTCTTGTCCGCTCTCCCAGTCTCATCACGGCTGCAATGTGTGACATGGAGGGCTGGATAGAAGCTCCACTCATCTTGTCCCTTTCCTGGTTGGTTCCCGATCTCCAAAACAGAGGAGTGAAAACAATAGAAGCGAGATCCCAGCATAAACGGCGCAGGACATCCCTCAGTCTCAAAGAGACTCCTGAAGGAGCTTGAAGGAGACTCCATCAGCTCCTTTTCCGCAGTCCCTGCATTTCCAATAATGCTAATATCATCCTCCCTGCTTCCATCAACAGTGGTTAAAGGAAAAAGCAAGTCAAAAGGTCTGTTGGGTCCCAGAGCAAGGAGCTCGCTTAATTTGGCAGGCCCAATAAAGGGCTCTTCCACCACCATGTGCTGCTCATGGCTTCTTCCAGGTTTGAACAGGACTTGCAAGCTGACGGTCTCTTCCCATTCCTCTTCTTCGAGGTTGGCCGATCGGTTGGGCTGACATGCATGGTGGAAGGGATGGGACAGGGCTGGCTGTTTAATGGACAGGTAACGTAGACTATTTGGAGGAGCCAAGGCCCATGATGCACTGCTCAGGGTCCTACAGTTGTCATTTAAGTGAAACTCGGTTGTCTGCAAATCAGACAGAGCATGATTAGATTGGACAAACAGGATAATCACACGTACAGGCTAATCAGACTCAATCAGAATTGGACGTTACCTCCCGATCAAGACTTGAATATATTTGTATATTCTAATTTAACACATCTATAGTTATGCAACGGCACACTTAGACTTTCTTTACTGAGACACAGAATCAGCAATGCGTGCAGCATGATATTACTTTATTGCAGAGATGCTATTGGTTAAATGCCGGCAAAGTAGAACACAGAAGCAGCTTGAAGCAAAAATTGCTAGTATGTCTGTGGTCTGAAGGTATTATACAGTTAATGACGACAACATTAACATAGCAAACTGTGAGATATGTAAACTTGGGATTGCAAGAAGTGGAAAGAAAAAGGCTACATTTAACACAACAAACCTGATAAGGCACCACAAAAACGATAAACAAAATCAGAACATCCTGGATCTGTTTCTTCGCTCTGCTTTATAGAAGTATCAGATGGGGTTTCGATATCAGTAGATACTCAAAATCAAATGACTATGAGTCGAGGGCAAAAAAACCTGATCGGGACATCCCTACAAGTAAACTCATCATGCGGTTTTGAAAGGGGAAAACAAAATCCAAAACTGCTTAGCCCTGTGTGAAAATGTGTTTACCCCCACCCTTTTAAAGCATAACTTACCTGATTTTTTGTCCTACCAGAGTTCAATTTCACTAGCAAAACCCAGACATAAAAATCCTTTATTTTAAACAAAATTTGTTTGATCTGACAAACACGAAAAAAAAATTATAAGGGGCAAACCCTATGTGTTCTATGATGCATCAGAATTCCTTTGTTGGTCTGGAAACCTTTCTTATTATTACTGTTAAAAAAGATCTTGGTATCTCTGGATTTATGAATAATAGTTATGCATTTGAGTGAAACTCATCTTTTTTCTGTAAACTAATGATTAATAATATAATGAAAATTTTAATAATTACAGCATTTTTGCACAATATAAAATAATAAAAATTTTTAGACACGGCTGTTGTAACTTCAGAAGAGTTATAACAATATTTGGAGGAATAACTCAAAATTAAAACGTTTGATTTTCTAGCCAACTGACTTTAACTAAAAATATTTAGTTAAATTAATTGCATTACAACACTTAGTTATATAATGTCTGTTGCATAATCTAGTCTATTTTCTTAGGGTTAAAATAATTAAAGACTTACAAAATGTAATGTCTACAAAATATAGTCTGTTAGATGATGATGATGATAAGAATAATAATAAGATTAAATAGATCCATGTTCACTGAAAATAATTTGTGGATGCATATGATAAATGAGTTATTGGTTAGTTTAAGATTTGACAAAACAGTGATCAATTTTAATAACAATAGTTTAAAAAAGTCAGCAAGTGACAAATCTGGGTATCTGTGTCAGTTAAAACAAAGATCTGGTAACATTTTAGTTTAAGTTACAATTCGCACTATTAATTTAAATGTGCCTTAAAATAAAGGGTTAACAAAAATCCTTTCATGCATACATAATATCTTTTTCGATGAAAAGTATTTTTTTGCAAATATCATAAATTATTATTTATGAAATTTCATGCACATTTTGAGGATCTACACTACATAACATTTTACAACATGAGGGTATGTTGGTCAAACCAAATGAATCGAACAGGATTTTCCAAACATTAGTTTAGTTTGTGTACCTGACATAAATTCCAGCACTGTTTTGTCATTGGTTGCCTTCCGCCATGGTTCCTGACACACCCCACCCAAAGAGAGACGCCCCCTCTGCACACAGCCATTCAAGTCAGGGTGCTGAGGACACCTCGACGAGTCTTAGAAAGATGACATCAACAGCAAGAAAGGTGCGCTCTCCCATCCACCACTGCTTCTAATTATTCGTTCATTCACAGTGTGAATTCAGTCCTCCAGAACCTAAAGAGAGAGCAGAAAAATAGCATTTAAAAATTAGAATTGTGTGTGTGTGTAAATTATTGCAATTATGTGCTGTTCTCTTTCCTCTAAGACTATTTTTTCCAGTTATAATTTATATTCTGATTAATTTTAAAGAAATTAAGAGTTTAAGATGAGAAAAACATTAACAATTTATAAAATGCTTATTTAATTTGAATTAATAATAAAGTATTATTTTATTGTTAATAATAAAATAAATGGTCCACTGAAAATTTAATTGGAAAATTACAATTAATTAATTTATTTATTTATTTATTTATTTATTTATAGGCCTGTTTAAAAATAATAATTAATATTTATTCATTTGTTTTTGCTTATTTGGCCTGTAATATTTTATTGCTAGCATGAATAAGAATGAATATGCATTTTCTGATTCCAGCAATGAACAATAAAGTACTAATAAGCAAATATTTAATTAAAATTAGTTTATTTAATTGTTTTTAGGTCTATAATATTTTATCTTTTGTTTTCTTGTAGGTTTAGAATATGTTATCCCTGATATATATATTTTTTATCAATGTATATTTTTATCAATATATTTTTATATACTTTTTATTTATAAAAAGATTAAGTAAAAATGTCTTTATTTAGTTTTTTTTTTTTTTTTGTATATAAACCTATAATAACAGTTAACTACTTATTCCTAATTAATGCTAAAGCAGACAAAATTGCTTTTAAATTACTTTAAATATAACACAAGCTATTTAGTGAAGGAATGAACTAAGCAGTAGTTTACTGAAAACTAACAAACATATAAATTAAGAGAAAAATGTGTGTATTATTAATTTAAATGATAAGATAATCAAGTAAGACAATCAAGTCTTTTTAATTTTCTTAAGAATTGTCTCAAGATTGATCTTTTTTGTCAGTAGTAACACTCTCTATGACTTTTTAATTGCATCTAAAACTCTGGCCCTCTTATATTAATTCTTTCAAATCTATTTTCTATTCTATCTCTTTTATTCTAAATAAATAAATTGCATACTTTAGATTAACTAGAGATTGTCACATGATTTACATATTTTTAGTTGTTTTGTTGCTTTACTTCCATTCTATTTACTTCCATTATTTACTTCCATTTACTTCCTTCTCAATTTTAAATCACGTAAATGTAATCCTATACATATCCCGTACAAATCGTGTAAACGTAAACCTATAACGACAATTGACAACCTATTGGAAGCTCAGGGAAAGTCTATTTCTTATTTTTCATAATAAGCTGATCCCACTTAGGCAATAATAAATTGCTTTTGTAGCATTCTACATTGCCGCTAATTTCGATGAATGTAATGCATCCTTGCTGAATAAAGTGAATGCTATCTTACTGATTTCTTATACACACAATTTAATAGTGGTGACCATTCATTTTAAACGAGATCTAATTTAGTCATACAGATTTAAATACAGATCAAAAGCTTAAACATACCCCACAGCTACATATAACCTACAGTAACCTACACTTAGTTTACAGTTTAGTTGTTTAACTCGCATGCTGCTGAATCACATGACATGTGAGAGGCAGTAATAGCAAAGAAAATGAACTAGAGTAATGTCTGGTAACACAGTGAGCTGCCTACCTAGAAAGCATTGGGTGTGTTCTTCATATTTAAATGCCTGCAGCAGCTCACTTAAATGTGTGTGTGTGAGTTTGTGTGTATGTGTGATTGGCAGCAGCAAGTGTTAGGTATAAAAGGTGCAAAAGCAACATTATCACAGTGTCAAAACAAATAAAAAAATTTTTTTGAGCGTCTAAATATGATCCTACATTTAAGGATATGTCAAATTAAGCTGCCTCAAAACCTTAAAGGCATAGTTCACCCAAATATGATTTTTTTTTTATTAATCGCTAACACTCTGTGTGCTACAAACAGGTTTGAGTTTGTTTCTTAGCATTTTAACACGCATTAGGATATTAATAATGTCTGCACAATATATCGTTTGAACATCAATATCGCGAACTGTGTCTCCGCAATATTCACATCGCAAGATATGCAATGTTGAGTTATGATTACAGATGACCAGGAGCCAAACACATGAGATTTGTGGAGAATTTAAGCATAATAAACTGAAAGTTAATTGTCTGCATGTGTCTTTAAGATCTGTGACTGGGTGAACATTTTATATAAGTTCAAAACATTTTAATAACGAATAAAGAAACATTTTTTATGAACAATTTATATAATTATTACAATGCATTGTTAATATTCATTTCATTATTTAACTTCTGTAACCGAATACTGTTAGACCCTCCCCAGACCAAACCATATATCATGGTTTATTTTAATTTTGCTCCATTGTGTTGATTTATGACTGTATTTTGTTTGTGTATATAATAGATTACATAAAATATATTCATATTTCACTCTCTTTTAAAATCATCCTAAATCAATCTAAAGTCTTTGCAAAAAGAGTTATTTAAATCATCTGGTGAAATTACATCGCAATATATTAGATATATTGTAGGGCTCTGCGATTTGTGCCTTAAATCAAAAACTCGATTAATTAATGTTTCAACTCGATTACGATTAACAAAGAATTATTTTACTAATGTTTTGCTCTCAGAGTTCACTGACAAATTTTGTACAGTAAATATGCTCACATATTACCAGTGAGAGATTTTTGAATGAAGGGTGCATCACTTAATTTTAAAATAATTGACGGAAACACACACAACTATCTGATTACTTATTTAACATCGACTTTGAACAACTGAAATTAAAACACACACTGCCTAAAACCAACAGTCACTTCTTCTAAAAAGTAAACATAAATAACTTGCACCTTTGGAAACAAAATAAATTATTTTCAAAGTTTTTCTTATTAAAAGTAGAAAATAAGCAGTATCTCTTCTAAATAAAATAACTTGTGTATCCTGTAAATAATGTTTTTAACAGTGCATTTCTAGCATCTTCTGTAAACAAATATTTTAATGTAAATAATAATTTTAATGTAATGGAAAATGTGCCGTCTCAAAGCATCTCTGGTGCAGTATCCAATTATCGAGAACGTAGTGCAAAGTAAGGCTCAAGAATGGATCCATCGTCTCACTTGACCAGAGATCAGATGTGACAGCAAAGTGGCAGTAGAAGTATGAATCAGCCTCAGCCTTTAACAGAGCAGAGTCATGTGACTCCATACGCAACTGAAAAAATTGTCCCTGAAAAAAAAAATCGATTACAGGTTCTGAATGTCTGAATTTTGTTTACTTTTCAATTAAACGCAATATATATATCGCACATAAAAAAATATTGCAATGTCAAATTTTTACATTTTACAATGCGGCAACACCAAAGCTCTAAAAATGCAAATGTATTAAGTTAAAAAGGCTGACACAAAGAGTGTAACATTTAGAGCACACGGCTCTTCCTCAGACAGTGTTCATCACAGTAAGGTGCTCCTTTTTGTACACTTTCTGATCAGATGATCTCCGAAAATAAAGAAACAAACAAAAATACTGCATCACAAATTATAGAAAACATAATATAACGAGGAAACACCTAATTAAACATTAAAGAATTATTAAAGAAAAGGGATTTTTTTAAGTTGTATAATTTGTAAATGTGTCTTTTTTTCGTTTTTTCTTGTTGTGAGATAATAGGAGATCATGTGATCTGGAAGTGAACAAAAAGGAGCACCTTTATGTGAGGAACACTGTCTGATGAAGAGCTGTGTGCTCGAAACGTTACACGCTTTGTGTCAGCCTTTTTAATTTACTAAATTTGCATTTTTGGAGCTTTGGTGTTCCTTTTTGAATATATAATTTGCACTTTTTGCGTTTTGGCTGAGCACACAGTTAAAAGTGATGTGTGTGCTTTTGTACATTTTTTCAATGACAAATGTTTTAAATATAGCGCAGCCCTAATATTAATGTTGAAAAGCAGCAGCCATTGACTCCCATTCAATTTTGTTCCTACTATGGATGTTAATAGCTGCTTTTTCCAACATTCTTGAAAATATCTTACATTGTGTTCAACAAAGGAGATAAAAATTAAGAAATTTGGTGTTATATTTGAACATTTGTTCAGTGATAACATATAACAAGATTCCCATAATGTTAACCATGATATTTTGAATATTCAATGTGAAATCACATGTAAGAGTGACTTGAAAAGAAAATCTGTGTTATTCAATTGACTAAACAATGTTGTACATTGATAGTCTGATAATATGACTCCCGTATGTAGAATTTGCAAAGAATACTTTTTTGACATTACCTTTAACTGCCCCACCAACAAAAAAAATGTTTGGATTGCATTACTCAACTCTTAATGCTGCTAGTGAACACACTGAATGCATTTTTTTACACATCGCATAATTTCTAAAATATCAACCGTTTGGTAGAGGTTGATATGTTGGTTTATGGTAAAAGTACTGGAATTAATGAATACTATGAAACATCTGAAAATATGAAGTGTAAGAGCAATATATTTAAAAAAATTATCAAAATAAAACATTTTTAAATACTATATCATATTTATTTTTATGAAGTATGCCATAAAATATTTCAGATTCTCATTTAACATGTTTTCTTGTTTGTTCAAAAGATCAAGTGTAGTAGTGCATAACAGGATTATGTTTGTTGGATTTGAAACCAACAATGCTGTGTGTAAACCTTTAAACCAGTCATTTAAAACAGTGAGTCAAAATATGGTCAACTGTTTGGTAGAGCAGGCAGCTAAAGGGTTAAGAAGGTTAAAGCACAAATGTGTGAACTTAAAACCAACTTTACCTCAATGGCAAAAGGGTCAGAACCACATGTGTGAGTAATGTTGAATATGTTTTAATTTCTGGGTGAACTAACTCATAGTTCCTATTTAAAATAAATTAAAACTGAATAAAACGTGTAGCATGCTGCTGTTTGGATTACCTTCGACCTCGTATTAATGTTATAAATCCTATAATAATGTCACTGTATAGCAGGTTTTTACAGTGATCACAAGCAGCACATCACGCTTTGGTCACACTTTACAAATCAACACTGTCAACTCTGAGCTCACATATACAATACAGCTTTTCCTAAACGAGAACACCATAAAACAAGCCTCTGGGTATATCCTTAAGTGATATAAGTGGGTCATTTGTGTCCCGTGTAAGTTGGACAGAGAGTAATTATTCAGTTAACGTTAGTCTTCATACCTTTGCATTGCATTTGCTTGTAAACATTAAAAGCATACCTGTCCTCAGTGAATCATACGAGATGCTGTTGAGCGTCAACGCGCTGTGCATAGATGTGTGGGAGTATCCAAATGTGGCTGACGAAAATTTATGTGGGATTTAGGAAAGAATGCGAGTTTCTTGTTAACGTTATACAAATGTCACTCTCCTTATGTCCTTGCCCAGCGCCAGCCTGCGTCAGAGCGCGTGCGCACGACACCTTCTAGAAGCAGAATCCGCCTGTTAGAGGGACATCCAGTGGCCAACAAGTGATACTGCCACACACTAATTACCGTCAGGATTCTTTTATTTCAAAATAAAAGTCTAAAACGCAATACAGATTGATATATTATATTATATTATATTATATTATATTATATTATATTATATTATATTATATTATATTATATTATATTATATTATATTATATTATATTATAAAGTTATCGTAAACTATTGTAGCATCATTAAATTATGACAACACAATGTTTAACAAAGACACTTAATATATACTTAATATGTATTATATTATATTATATTCCATCATATTATATCATATCGTATCATCCTGTATTATATTATAATGGAGTGCGACACGGTGGCTCAGTGATTAGCACTGTCACCTCACATCAAGAAGGTTGCTGGTTTGAGTCCCAGCGGTGTCAGTTGGCATTTCTGTGTGGAGTTTGCATGTTCTCCCCATGTTCGCGTTCTTACAGTCTAAAGCCATGCGGTATAGGTGAATAAGCTAAATTGGCCATAGTGTATGTGTGTGAATGCATGTGTATGGGTGTTTCCCAGTACTGGGTTGCAGCTGGAAGGGCATACGCTATGTAAAACATATGCTGGATAGGTTGGCGGTTCATTGGAGTGGAGGTGGCGGAGTCACGCCTCAGGCAGAGGGAGTTGGTTGGCACACTGGCTTCAGGGAGAGCTGACTTGGGATTTTTCCCAAAGACCCAGGAATCCAGGAAGAAGTTCAAGCTGGCATGGAGGAAGAGCGAGTGAGGAGGAAAGTGGGTCTGAGGAAGCAGGGAGCATGGACAAAGTAGGAGGGTAGCCTACAATGTAAGATCACCTGGAAAAACATAACACAGACTTCCAGCACATCCGATTCCTCATCCAGGCTGTGTACGATACACTACCAAGTCCAGCCAACCTTCACGTGTGGGGCAAGATTGAGACTCCAGCATGCCAGTTATGCTCGGGTAGGGGATCATTACAACACCTACTGAGCAGCTGTCCAAAGGCCCTGGCAGAAGGGTGCTACCATTGGTGGCATGACCAAGTACTGAAGGCAGTGGCAGACAGCCTATGCAATGCCATCATCTCTGGTAGGTACCATCTTGCCCCAAAACTCTGCCAATTGCAAAGGACAAGATCGGTGGGCTTTAGAAGGTTTGCAGGACGTTCACTGCGTAAAGTCTTCAACCAACTAGGCCTAGCAGTAGCAGCTAAGAAGAGGGCCACACTATGCCATCCGTACCATGCCCAGGCCCGTTTCCCGGATCGTTTGAGAAGTATAAGTGCGCTGAATCGGGCTCAAGCACGGTTCACTTGGCCGGCCCTGGCCCGGTTGGAAGAGGTGGACCTGAGCGGGGTTCACTTGGGCTTTGGCGCGGTACATTTGTAGTGTGAGTGCAAAACGCGCTAAAGCCCGAAACTGAAAGCGAGACGTGACTTTCAAGCGACTGTTTCACATGGATTTATTTATCATTCTTACTGTTTAGTGAACGCAAACTGCCGTACTTTACTAAAAACACAAACTCCAAAAGTGGCGGATCTGTTCGGCGAAATATCTGACTGCGTGTCCCCGCATCCCTAAGGACTGTTTGGCGAAATATTTGACTGCATGTCACTGCATATCAAACTGACTGAAACGATATAAGTAGAGAAATCTTTACTGTGCTGCTGAGTGACAGCGCTTCTCACTGAACAGCGCAGCATCGATGATGTAAGCGTGCCCAGGCCCGATTGTGGTGTGAGTGCGGGCCGTTGGGGGAGACGGGAGAGGGGACAAGCGTGCTTTGGCCCGGTTCAAGGCAACTGTACCTAGTGTGAGTACGGCCTAAGTCCGTTTGTGAAGCTGCAGAAGATGGAAGCCACTAGAGGGCTATGGATAATGAGGGCTGATCTGTGGGTAATGTATACCGGGATGCAAGCTGGGGTCTGATCAACCTCAGCTGGGTCACCTAGGCAAGGGTGTCTGATGTTGAAAGATCCGAGACAATCAGTGACCCCATGATACATCATTGACGATGCGTCCCAGTGCATAGATGATGTATCTTGGACACACTGATTTATGTTTTGGTTATAATTAGTTTAGTTAAACTGGATAATTTACTGTTGTTATACTATAATTTGTTTAATTATTATCATATACAATATACTGTTAATATAATTTTTTAGCGTTTGGTTATTATTAGATGCTTGCAATAGGTAAACTTTACTTAACTACTATACACTGAGAACTAATATTATATTTTGTAATTTTAACGAATTATAAATTATTTTATATTTATATTTGTTTATAATTATATTATAATTACATTTTATATTATCATACCTTTCTTTGTTTAAATAATAGGTTTTCTAGAGTAAACTGAACTGTTAACAACACAAACCTACGGCCACAGCTTTTTCTTTGAAATCAATCATTTCAGGAAACGCCAGTGCAATACCTTTGGCGGCCTGCGAGAGGTTGTGGCGCTGTCACTAACCGAGCTCCCGGCGTTTGCCTGTCCGTGGCAGTAGAGCGCGGCGCGGACAGGCCGCATGTGCTGTGAACTGAGCTCCAGTGTGCTCGTGTTCATTGTCAGCTGTAAAACATCCCGCAGTCTCCTTTAACACATTGGCTTTTCATTCTTAGCAAAAGAAAAGGTTAAAAGAAAGATGCCTAAGAAGTCAAAAGAAAAGGCTGAGTGGGAGGGTGATGATGAACCACAAACAGGTAAATATGTTTATCTGTGAACGTTACCCCATAACTTAGTCTTTTCATCGCGACATGAATATGACAACTATCTTGAATTAGTTACACCCGTGTTGTTAACTTCTATTTTCTTTACTATACAGAGTAGATTTAACCTTATTGTGTTTGATTACATTGTGCCATAATATTATTTTGCTTAGCCCGTTAGCTTACAACAGACGTGGATTGATGGCGCATTCATGGTTTGATGTTTCACTGTCATTGCATCATTTTGTCAGCCTGATATCATTTAAGTCCATATTTGACTTTTTATACAACTCCGCGTCCACTTTGAATGCTAAAACGATTGTTAATGAAGCCCCAAATGAGCTGAATTGAGGTAAAGTTGGTTTAATATTCGCACACTCATTCAGTAACATCTTGTGACATGCTCCCTATATTGTTTACCATAGTATTTTTCAATATTCCTGCATAATACACGTAAGAATGACTTCAACACAACATTAGCACTATTTAATTGACTATAAACAGTGTTGTGCTTTGATAGTCATCTGCTTCTAATATGATTTCACTATTTACAATTATTTTCTGAAAATGTATTTTTAAGGAGAAAGTCTGAATGTGTGAATATTAAACGAATTTCACCTAACTGTGAGCTGAGATGTTAAAGAGTGTTGTTGAGTGTTCTTTTGTGGTCCAAAAAGTTGTCTAGTTTGGGAGCTCACTAGGTAGGTAGCAGTTGTGTTTAACCTTATACAAGTTATTCTCTCTGTGGCATTGTTAAGCTTGGTTAGTGTACATTTTGTATGTTCATTCCTGTCTGCTTTGTCTGTTTGTGGATGGTTTTATGTTGTCTGAAGTGCTTACACGATGATTTGTTTTTGTTTAGTAGACAAACATGTCAAAAAAGGCAAGAAGGATAAGAAAGACAAGAAGAGTGTAAGTATTTATTGGTTTGTTTGAAATATTATATTGAAAACATTGAAGAATAAATTTATTTAGGTGCATTTAAATGTAAAAAGTAAGTACAGTTTTGTCATCTATCTATCTATCTATCTATCTATCTATCTATCTATCTATCTATCTATCTATCTATCTATCTAGATTGATTGATTTCATATGTATGATCTTTGAAAATTACTTATAAATCCAATAAGATTAAAGACAAGACATCCATTTTGCTGTGTATATATTGGGTATTTTATTTTCATAGCTAAATTTTATCATTTAAATTTCAAACCTTGCAGTTTTTTGAGGAGCTGGCATCAGAGAATAAACCAGAAAAAGAACAGCCACCAGTGAAAGAGGTGCAAGGAAAGCAGGTGTGTTATTTAAATGTGTTCATCGTTTATTTTATAAACACATTCTAACAATCAAAATATAACACACACACACACACACACATATATTTATCAAGTGTGTTTTTTGATTGCTTTCACATTAGCCTCAGAAGAAGAAGAAAGACAGGCGGAAAGGAAAACCAGGAGACGATGAAGATGATGATGAAGATTCAGAGGTCATGCAGCGTCTCAAGAAACTGTCAGTCCAGGCTAGTGATGAGGAGGAGGAAGAAGAAGGTAATTTTAGAAAATGATTTAGTTTATTTTACTTACAGCATCACACATTTAACATAAACATTTATCAAGTTTTCTTTTTAAAATTTTGCAGTTGTTGTTCCAGCCAAAGGAGGAAAGAGAAACAAAGTTAGTTGTTTTTAAATATATTAGGTTTTAATACTATTTATATAACACATATGACAATCTAGTTGAACCAAATCATCAATTTCTATATGTTCAATGCTGCAACGCTGATCAGTTTTTTAATTTATGGTCTCTCTGACTTTCAGGGTGGCAATATATTTGCTGCACTGAGCCAGGGGCAGAGTGATGATGAAGATGATGAAGCTGGTGGTGATGATAATGATGATGATGATGACAAACCCAGAAGCAAGAAGAGCTCTAAGGTAATGTGATTTGTTTTTACGTTGGTTTTTATTGAAGTTAAGTATGCATGTACCTAAGGTTTATAAACGGTGAGTTATGTCAATTGAATTTATTTATATAGCATCTTATATAGTACAAATGTATTTGTAAGCATTAAAGTCAGTGTGAACATCACAAAATTCAAATCCATATCCTTGTTTTATTGCTGTTTTTGGGAGGGGGGATTAAAATGTAAAGACCTATATAAATAAGTTTGGGAATATTTTAAGGTGCAATAGGAGATCTAGAATAAAGGCTAACGTTAACCTAAACGCATAAACGGTCACTAGACAACATTACCACAATACATCACGTAACATAAACTAGAGAAAAAAAAAACTTAATGTTACAGTTAATAATTAAAATACCAAAAAATATGGTAGTTGTAGGGCTGGACGATATTGGAAAAAAACTGTCTGCATTAATTAAATAATAAAAAAAAATGAAATAATTCAAGCAAATTAATTGTTAATGAAGTTAATTACACATGCAAATGATGAATTTTAATATGGACCCATTGCAAATCCTGCAATTTCACTATTGCAAATTATCACATGGCGATAATGATGCTGAAACGATATATTGTGCAGCCCTAGTTGGTTGTTGATGTTTGCCTGCCATTCTCCGTCTGAACTGTATCTGTGAATGTGTCGATGTAATCCTTTATGCTCAAACATGGTGTGTATAGTGTGCAATTGCATATTTTGACAGACTGGTTGAACAGCCTAACATAATGTTCGGACCAAACATTTTGATTGGACAAACTTTTCTTGGTCCTACACCTTCCACAGAGTTTTAAAATGCATATAAAACATTTGGACCACTTAATTTATTAATGGTTATCTGGATGTGAAGAGACTTTCAACCATCATAGCAAAACAGTTCCTGATGACATTCACCTATTGCACCTTTAAAAGTAAGGTCCCACTGGTTAACATTCATTAATGTGTTAATAACCATAGTACACATTCATTACATACCTCTTTTTCCTGACTCTCGCTAGCATGTTTTATTCATCTGACTTCATGAAAGTTCCAGTGGAATTCATTCTGTTGTACTTTCATTCATTTCTTTTCCAGATCAGTGCAAGTGTTTCCAGTGCCGGAAACTAAAATGTTTTTAACTGAATCATGTGACTAATAACATTCATGTCATCAGTTTTTATTTTTCATCATTAACTAGTCTGCATTAGGGTTGCACAGTTTACCGGTACTATGGTAGTATCGCAATACTATGGCTCCAAAATACTGGCGTTGCCACTGTAGTTTGTGAACAGTAGTATCGTCATTAATTGTCCATTTACAATAGATATATTAGATGTGGTTAAACCACTAAAATGTTGACACTTTTGTGCAATAATAGACCATTTTATTTTAATAGTCTGTGGATCCCTTTAAGGTTGCAAGTTTTCTGATGTTTTAAACGCACATCTGAATCTATTTCTGTTCCTCTCAATAGGATTTAGTATCTACTAGAACCATGACAATGTTAAAAAAAACGACTTGAAGTGAAACCTGAAATAGCAACAGGAAACATTAAATCAATTTTTGACCATTTCATATAGCCTAATTTGGTTGGAAAAATGCTATTTTTGTAACCAATTTGTTTGGTATAAACTGTATCTTTACAATGTATTTTTGTTTGTCAGTTATTTACAAAATTAAAATAATGAATAAATTTTAGGTGAAATGGGGTGCAAATCATACCTTTTTTTCAATAATAAGGGAATTATAAATTAAATTCAAGACCTATTATAAGATGTACAATATAGTATTTCTGACAATTTTCTTTATAATTTGAATTATGAATTACACTATGGCAATACTACTTGGTATCGTGATACTTTAGCTGGTATAGAATAGTAAGATGAATTAATGGTATCGCGACAACCCTAAGTCTGCATGACTTCACATCATTCCAGTAATCAAGATTACTTGGGGTCACAATGTTGGTGATTGAAACTACAGGGAAGAATATATTGGGCTGCGTATGAAATATTTCTACATTTATAAGTATGTGTGCTTGTGTCTGTACATGTATGTGTGTGATTTAGGAAGTTGAGAAGGTAGCCAAGGGAAAGAAAAAAGATAAGCCTAAACCTAAGCCAATAAAGGTGGGTGAAAGGGATCGTTCTTTATGCTTTTTTTATCCACTTTTTTCCTCTTTCAGAATTCACGTCTTTTGTTCTTCTATACTGTGGCTTTCGTTTTTCTTTATTGCTACATGACAGCAGTGCGCCACACATCGTGGGTACTGAACTAACCCCTTTCCATTCCAGTCTGCTTTACTAACAATATCTGGTATGGTGATATGGTGAATGCACTCTAATCTCACATTACCTGTAGGATGTTTGGTTTGACTTGTTTGACTCTCAAATTCAGGAGGCCTCAGAGGACGAGCAAGATGAAGGTGCAGAGAAAAAAGATGAAAATGAAAAGAAAGGAGGGAAAAAGGGCAAGAAAGCTGCTGCAGCTGCTAAACCATCTAAGGTTAGTGACTCTTGTTTTGATGATTGATTGGTTTCAAAGAGGCGTTTGTGTGTGAATGCAGCCTAAAGGACTCCTAAAGGGATAGTTCACCCAAAAATGAAAAATAACTCATAATTTATTTTGAAGAATGCTGGTTGCTGACATCCAACAACTTCCATAGTAGGAAAGAAAAATACTGTTGAAGTGAATGGAAGCTACTGGCAATTTTCAAAATATCTTTTTTTGTATTAAACACAACTATCCCTGTAATGTTAACAGGAGGAAGATGATATTGAAGAGAAAGAACAAGAGAAGTCCCAGAAAAAGGGCAAGAAGGAACCACCCAAGGTCAGATTAAGCTTATAGTAGTTTTTAATTAACAGTGTTATTTAGCAAAGAAATAATTATGTAAGTATGTATTTAACGACACAAGCGTAACGAGTGCTGAATCTTTTTGATGTTCGATTTCAGAAAGGGAAACCTGCTCGTCCTCCTCCGAGTGATGATGATGAAGAGGAGGAAGAAAAGAGTGATGACAATGACATAATGATGGTACTTCAATATTCTCCTGTTTTGTATTCACAACATTTATTATTAACAATTGTTTTCAATTCGTTGTCCTTGTTTTTGTTCCATAGAGCGCAGAGGATGCGATTGCAGCTCAGGAAGCCAAGGAGAAACAAGATGATGACCCCTTTGCTAACATGAGTAAAAAAGAGAAGAAGAAAAAAAAGAAAATAGTAAGAAGCATTTGTATATTTTTTAGCATGTATTCATATTTTGGGATGCACCAAATTTTTGACTGCTAAACATTGTTAGATGAAAAAAGGCAGAAAGTGAAAAACAGCTAAAAATACGAGGTAAAAAAAATATTCTGTGCTGCAATGTTCAGCGTGCTGGTTTCAATTTCTCCAGCTGTAGTCATTGTACAGAATTAAGTGTCTTTCCGTCCGGGCACGGAAAGCACTGCTCTATGAAATACATTAGTTTCATTAGGCCATGCAAAGGCAGGTTTGTTGTAGCGTCAACCAAACCACAAGAGCTGCAGAATGTTTATGTATATTCTATTTATGAAGCCATACTTATCTATGCATTAATTGCATGTTCTCTTGAAAAACAAAGTCCGCTTAAATAACACGCTGACAAGACATTTCTATGTAGTAATTATTGAATTTTTTTATGGTTTTAAATTAAAAATGTCGAACAAAATAATTAATTATTATAGAGCATTTTTATTTTATTTTTGCCCAGATTTTTTGCAGCGCATACCTATCATATTTTAAAGCTTTTATAGTTTTCACTTTTATTTTGACAGTTTTTTAAATTAAATTTTATTTTAGTTTTTCAGTACTCAAGTTAACATTTCAGTTAAGGTCAATTTCCCAAATTTGTCAACCTAAATGTTTTTGTATAATAATTATTTTCCTTCATTCCAGCTTTTATTTCAGTAAACGAAATATTGAATAGTTTAGTAAAAACAGTAACAGCACTGACAATTATCTCTTCCTTGTGTGTTGTGCAGATGGAGTATGAGCGTCAGGTGGCGAGCGTTCGTGCTCAGAATGCTATAGAAGGAGATTTCTCTGTTTCTCAGGCTGAGCTGTCCTCTCGACAGGCCATGCTGGAGAATGCTTCAGACATCAAGGTTTGATCTGGAATAATTTCTCTTGGCCTTTTGAAAACACTAATTGCTGTTTACTAATTTCTGTTCTGTGGTTTGCAGTTGGAAAGATTCAGCATTTCTGCTCACGGTAAAGAGCTGTTTGTTAATGCAGACCTTCTGATTGTTGCTGGAAGACGATACGGTCTGGTTGGGCCAAATGGGTGAGTTTATGGATTTAGTTTTATATGTAATAAGCCAGATCTTACTTTTCATTGGAGTAGAAGCTATTGATGTATTTAATGTTATAGTTATTGTAATTGTTATGTCCTTGTTGTGAATCTCTCTTCACTTTTGAATTTGAATCAGGAAAGGGAAAACCACTTTACTGAAGCACATTGCTAACAGAGCTCTTAGCATTCCTCCCAATATTGATGTCCTTCTTTGTGAGCAAGGTACAGTATAGCATTCTGTCATAAAGATATAAATATGGTGTTTATTGTGTGAATTCCTTTAATAGTATTTAAAAAAAATCATAGTATTTTAAAAATTTACTTTTAGTTTAGTTTTTTTTTTTTGCACTTTTTGTTTTGTCTTTAGTTTTTTTTTTTTAACTATGTTGCTATTTATGTCATACTTAGTTTACAAATCATTTGAACTGTTTGAAATTAATTTGAAGAAAATTTAAACTCCCAAAATGACATTTGAAGAAAAATTAAACCCAAAAACAAAAAGAAATACGCAAAAATCAAAACAGATTGTTGTCAAACTAGTTTAAGAGCTCTCAAAGACTAAATATGCCAAAATGTATCTTAAAAAAAGTATTAGTCTGATCCTCGCTGCTTTTTATGCTGCTTATAGCAGTTTGAACTTCATTCATGTATTTATGACAGGTTTCTTTATGGTAACATTATTTGAAGAATCAAAAATGTTTTAAAGATTTTAGGTTTAGCTCATTATTAGGGATGTAACAGATCACAGTTTATATAAACACTTAATGTTTATGGTAAAGATTAAAATCGTTGTTTAATGGAACTTGACGCTGGCGAATGTTGTAGCAATTACATTGTGTAACCAATAGGTAGCGACAAACAACCATCGAAATAATGTTACTGAATAGGTTTTCAAAAATGATACACCTATAATGAAACATGAAGTTTTATGTGGAAATTGTTGGATCATCAATTGAAAATAAATATATGTTATGTTGTACAAGATGCTAGATTTCTATATTTAGCAATACCAGCAACAGTAGCAAAGATCATTTTTTGTATTAAATATATTTTCCTTTTTTTAAGCTGGTTCTTTCTTAATTTTTAATTTTTATTTAAATTACAGGTTCTAAATTCTGTTTGGTAAAACCATAGTTTTTTTCAGTAATATTTTTATATAAATGGAGAGCAAATGACATGACTCAAAAACTGTAGTGTGATCTGAACCGTGAGATTTGTAATTAGTTGCACCGCTACTCATTATAATAAACCTGCTATAGCCTATTGCTAATTCTTTTAATCTTTTCTTCTTAATCAGTCTTTTTTGGATGCAATGTTGCAGTATTACTAGTGTGAAACCAGTTGTTTCCCAACCCTTATTTTGTCTTTGCGGTTTTTCAGAGGTGGTGGCGGACGACACTCCTGCAGTTCAGGCAGTGCTGAAGGCCGACACGCGCAGACTGAAGCTCCTGGAGGAGGAACGGCAGCTCCAGAGCCGCTTGGAGAAAGGAGACGACAGCGTGTCGGAGAGACTTGACAAGGTCAGATAAAAGGAGCTCACTGAGGGCATGCGAACGTGCTGATCCATGGAGTTGCGAAGGATAATGGTGTGTCTGTGTCTGTCGCTCTCAGGTATATGAGGAGTTGAGGGCGATTGGAGCCGCAGCAGCTGAGGCTAAAGCTCGTAGGATCTTGGCTGGTCTTTCTTTCACTCCAGAGATGCAGAACAGACCCACCAAGAAGTTCTCTGGTGGTTGGAGGATGAGAGTGTCACTGGCTAGGTGGGTACAGTGAGGGAAAACTAGGGTTGGATGATATGGCTAAAAATAAAATATTGTATTTTTTTTCTCCTGAACATCTGACTAGTTGAAAATAGATAGACAGATAGATAAATATATATTATAAAGATTGATTAATTAAAACTAATCCATGACTAAAAATGGTTCAGCACACATGAAGTTATCATGGTGTAAAAATAAAACAAATAACTATGTATTGTTTATGAGTTTATGAATGCAAGTATTGTACAAACTTTTCAACACTTTGTGTTGAAGAACAATGTGTAAAATTACGCAAGAACACAACTGTATATTTGCACTGTAACTGTTAGAGGCAAGGCAAAACAAAGTGACTAGATTTTCTTTTAACCAAAAAAATAACATCACATATTTCCCCCTATCATTAGTATGTTTAAAGGGATAGTTCACCCAAAATTTAAATGTATTCACTTTTTACTCTCCTTCAAGTAGTTTCAAATCTCTGTGTCTCTTTCTCCGGTTGAACACAAAAGAAGGTATTTTGAAGAAAGCTGAAAACTTGTAACCATTGACTTTTCCTTAGTAGTAAAAACAAATATTATCTGTAGTCAGTGGTTACAGGTTTGCAACATATTTCAAAATATCATCATTTGTGTTCCACTGAAGACGGAAACTCAGATTTGAAACAAAATGTGAGTAAATTATGACAAGTAAAAATTTTTGGATTAACTGCCCCTTTAATTGTTACATTTTTTTTATCAAAACTTTAATACATTTATTTTTTAAATGAAATCAGGGAAAAATGTAGCATATATTATTACCTAATTCATCATTTGCCTCAAGCCTTAGAATTTGTAACAATTCATTTTAGAAATATAAATGAAAACCTGCACTTGTGTTGTCACAATAATTCAGATCTATTTTATTTCCAGAGCGCTGTTTATGGAGCCCACTCTGCTCATGCTGGACGAGCCCACTAACCACCTGGACCTGAACGCTGTCATCTGGCTTAACAAGTAATTACTTGCTCTAAGTGAAAGAAATCCATCTACTTGATGTGTTTGTTTCATGCAGATTACACAAAGACCCCTTTTAAAAGATCTCATCAGTGATGTGTTTGATTACATTAAGTGGGATTTACAAAGTGATTGTATTAGTAAAGGTGCTCAGGTTTCAGAGCTTTTACAGTTATAGGAATAGGATACATGATCAGAATATGGTGAAAATAAATGTCAGCATCTTTATATCGAAACAATCGCTCTCAAATAATATTAAATAAACAGAATAAATTTTAATTAAATTTTATTCTAATACATTTTATTTCAATGCAGTTCAATTGCCATATTGTGAAATATTATTAATTTCAAATACTTATACATTTATAATATTTTAGTGTGCTTACTCCAGCCTTCAGTGTCACATGATACTTCAGAAATAATTTATTTGGAAAGTTCTTAAGTATTTACATGAAATAGAGTGTAGTTGCAATATTAAATGTGTCTTTATTATTTCTTTTTATCAGTTTAATGTATACTTGCTTTCTCGTCTATGGTATGTTTCCTTTGGTCAGAGCAAGTTAAAGATAATGATACATTGTAGCATTTTCAGCCGCTTTTCATTACATTGTAGCATTTTTGCTTAACACCAGACCAAATGCTCAGTAAAGTCTAGATAGGATACAGCTGTTGATACGCACATTGATATAGCATCATTTTTGTGACACTGTAAAACAACAATTAATAATTCAATTGTAACGGTTCTAAAACAAATACATTTATAGAGATGGTATAGAAGGATATAATTTCCCACACCTGGGAAACGGAGGCCACGTGAATGGTTTGTCAGGACAATTAAGTGCACACAGCACACAGATAATTGTAAGAAATAATTCCAAAAAGCAGCTTACTGTGTAAAGCCAAATAAAACAAAACAAAAATGTGATATATAATCAGCCAGAATCAGCAGAGGTGAAGAGGCAGCGAGACTTAGCTACCACTCAAGTGGCCACCTCCTTAATAATGCAGACTTAATTTAACTTAATATAAACGAAACGGATGAGTTATAAAAAAAAATTCACCCCCTCACAGTTGTCAAGAAGGGTAATATTAGCCATATGCACCAAAATCGTTCTTTGTACCAGGCTGTAAACACTTTTTTTTTTGCTGTAAAGTTGGCCATTTTAACAGTGGGCTCAATAGAAATGTGCTCTGTTATGGAGCCAGGACTAGCGGAATTTCAATAAATTGCAGTTGCAGTTACTTATGTATTTGCTTCACAAGGTAGAGTGGGAGGTTGCCGCTGGGATTCAAGGGAACTAAATGAGGCACCCTTAAAAACAGATCTTACTGACTCTTTAGATTAGTAATGTGTGTTTTATTATTACTTTTATGTTTTTTCAGTCTTGATTAATGTCATTAATGTTCTAACTGCTCTCAAACTTTCTCTTTGGTTGCTTTGTTCTATTAAGCACTATTTTATGCACCAAAGTCATATATCACTTACTTTCTTTTTAAGCTATCTGCAAAGCTGGAAAAAAACACTCCTAATTGTGTCCCACGACCAGAGTTTCTTAGATGACGTCTGTACAGATATCATTCACTTGGACAATCAGAAACTCTACTACTACAGGGGCAATTACCGTGAGTTTCATGAGAAAAAAATAAACAAGCTATAGAGAGTTTCACTTCTTTTTGGTTCAAATATTTATTACTTTTGCTTCTCTCCTAGTGACGTTTAAGAAGATGTACATCCAAAAACAGAAAGAACTCCAAAAGCAGTACGACAAACAAGAGAAAAAGCTGAAAGACCTGAAGGCTGGAGGAAAGTCCACCAAACAAGCTGTAAGTTGCTCTCTTTGTTTCTTCAATAGACTTTCTTTCTGCACAAATCATGTCCAAAACCCTGGTGCTCATTCTCCTCCATCATAAAAATTTCAGGAGAAACAGACGAAAGAGGCTCTGACAAGGAAACAGCAGAAGGGGAAGAAGAAAAGCCAGGAGGAGGAGAGTCATGAGGCCACGGAGTTGCTGAAGAGACCCAAAGAATATACTGTCAAATTTACCTTCCCCAATCCTCCGCCGCTCTCGCCGCCAATTCTTGGCCTGCACAGTCAGTACATTTCTATTTTTCCATGTATTTTATCAATTTATCTCATTGTAGTGTCTTTTTAAATAGATAGTTCACCCTAAAATGACTTCATTCAGTATTTGCTAAGCCTCAAGTGGGTCCTTCTGCTTTTCTTAGTATACATTTTAATGTTTTTCAGATGGAAAGCACAAGTTAGTGACTAATACAATGGGGTGTTTTTATTAAAAATGTCATATACACTCACCAGCCACTTTATTAGGTACGCTGTACTAGTAGCAGGTTGGACCCCCTTTTCCCTTCAGAACTGCCTTAATCCTTTGTAGCATAGATTCATGTCATGTTCAAGAAACCAGTCTGAGATGGTTTGCAATTTTTGACATGGTGTGTTATCCTGCGTGAAGTAGCAATCAGAAGATGGGTACACTGTGGTCATAAAGGGATGGACATGGTCAGCAACAATATTTGAATAGGCTGTGGTGTTGACACAATGCTCAAGTTAGTACTAATGGACTGAAAGGGTGCCAAGAAAATATCCCCCTCAGCATTACACCTCCACCAGTAGCCTGAACTGTTGATACAAGGCAGGATGGATCCATGCTTTCATATTGTTGAATCCAAATTCTGACCCTACCATTTGAATGTCGCTGCAGAAATCAAGATCATAAGACCAGGCAACATTTTTCCAATCTTCCGTTGTCCAAATTTTTCATGTTCTTAGCTGACAAGAGTGTCACCCGGTGTGGTCTTCTGCTGCTGTAGTTCATCTGCCTCGAGGTTGGACGTGTTGTGCGTTTAGAGATGCTCTTCTGCATACCTCAGTTGTAACAACTGGTTATTTGAGTTACTGTTGCCTTTCTGTTAGCTTGAACCAGTCTGCCAATTTTCTCTGACCTCTGTCATCAACAAGGCATTTGTGCCCACAGAACTTGTCGCTTACTGGATATTTTTTCTTTTTTGGACCATTCTCTGTAAACCCTGGAGATGGTTGTGCATGAAAATCCATGTAGATCAGCAGTTTCTGAAATACTCAGACCAGCCAGTCTGGCCCCAACAACCATGCCACGTTCAAAGTCACTTAAATCACCTTGTGACGCTCAAATTGAGATGCAAATGGATTCATTCAGGAATTGAACATTGTTTTTACATGCACAAATGCAAAATGTTTGGTTTCTGTTTTATTTGGAACTACTTTAGTAGAAAAAAAACAGATGACACTGTGCCTAAATTGAAACTAACTCAGTATTAACTGGAACTATTGTATGAAATCTCATTTGCGATTTATGCTGATAACTGGGAAAACAAACAACGCTCTTCTCACAGACACTAAATACTGGGCATGTTTTGTGTTCTGATGAGCAGTTTGGTGTTTTTTCTCTTTGACTCCCAGGTGTTGACTTCGGTTATGAAGGCCAGAAGCCTCTCTTTAAAAATGTGGACTTTGGAATTGACATGGAGTCTAGAAGTAAGTCGAACATGTCTTCAGAAATTATAATTAGCTAATTAATTATGATGGAAATTATTGTTAAAAAATACTATGTTTTCTGAAATGAGCTAGAGAATATTTTCTCTGTTTCAGTTTGTATTGTTGGGCCCAATGGAGTCGGGAAGAGTACACTGCTTCTGCTTTTGACTGGGAAATTAAATCCTGTAAGTACCAGGTGTATTTATGAATGAGAATGTACATAAAATAAATCAAACTTTGAGAAACCTATTTGGGTTAAAGAGGAAACTTCACAATTTAGTGTCTCATCAATTGTACATTCTGTCATAGCTTCTTACTGCTAAAATGCAGTGAGTGTTAGTAAAAAAGGAACTAAAAAGATATTAAATTTAATACAATTTGTTTTTAAATATTCAGAAATTAAACACTCATTTTGCTCTAGAGCAAACAGAAAGCACAAATAAAATGACCTTACCTTTCTATAAACAAGTTGAACTCAAATTAGGGAGTGTTGCTTACTATACAAGCCAAAAAATAATAATAATAAAAACACAGAATTCTCAGCAAGCTAACATTGCTGAAAAGAGCCTTTCAGTAGCTTATATTGTCTAAAACAAAATATTCATCACAGATGCTACACAAAATATCATGGTGTTAAACGTACAGCTGTGGTACTCCAAAATGGCAAAGGTATATATAGTTTTTTTAAATGCCTCTTTGGTCACTGCATTAAAAGGCACTGTCTTTAACGAGGTAGTGCGTTATGGCATTAGTTATCTCCTGGCCAGGGTTGCACCAGCTGTTTGTATGTGCTTTCTTAAACTTGAAGGTAAAGTCTACACTAGAGGCTTTGTAACTTCTAGCTAGTTTGTGGTTGCCGTAGTTAGTAGGTAGTAAGCTCCCCATACAGTCATGTGTATAGTCACATTGAATGACGTAATATTCAATAAGAAGCATTTGAATCGGTAAGCTGCTTTAAAAGTCTTTTGACGTGCTGTTTTTCTTTGATAAAGTTTCAAATTGCGATTCGTTTTGATTTATCGCACAGCCCTACTGTTGGCGAGATTTTAATCCACTCTGGAGTGATTTTTGAGTCTTAAATTGGGCACAACTTTCTCTGTTTCAGCAAACTGAATGATTTTTGGTGACAATCCTCATTTTGACACATTTTAGGAAAATGCTTTGGAGTTTTTCAAAAACTCAAAAATACACCCTTTTATTATGTTCAAGAATGATTATATGGTGTCATGGCCTTGCAGTCAAAAATGTTCTTATATTAGAAATCAATGGGGGCAAAAACAGCCATAAAAACAATGAAAGGGTAATTAATTTGAAAAATACACCAATAAGAGTTAAATGGCATGTTTTTATTATTGTTGGATTTTTGGACTGCACTTTGAAATAGAACCTGACAACATTTTATGGTATATAAACTATTGTGCTCCGTTTTCCCCCACAGTCCAAAGACATGCGGTTTAGGTGAATTGAGGAGGCTAAATTGGCCATAGTGTATGTGTGTGAATGATAGTGTATGGGTGTTTCCCAGTGATGGGTTGCAGCTGGAAGGGCATCCGCTGTGTAAAACACATGCTGGATAAGTTGGCAGATCATTCTGCTGTGGCAACCCCTGATTAATAAAAGGACTAAGCCGAAAAGAAAATTAATGAAAAAACTATTGTTACCATATACCAAATTACATTTCATTGAGTGTCTTCAATTCATATAAATCCATAATTTGTTCCTTTCTTTGTAATAATTTAGCTTTTCTTTATTTTAGACAAAAGGAGAGATGAGGAAGAACCATCGATTGGTAAGCCAGATGTATAAAATCACTCGACTTATTGTCACCACATTTTATTATGTGATTTTTTTTTGTTGCCTTTTGGTTCATTGGTTTGTTGTTCTTTGTGTGCCTGTAGAAAGTAGGTTTCTTCAACCAACAGTATGCCGATCAGTTGAACATGGATGAGGCCGCCACAGAATACCTGCAGAGGAACTTCAACCTCCAGTACCAGGATTCCAGGAAGTGTCTGGGTCGCTTTGGGTTGGAGAGCCATGCACACACCATCCAGATTTCCAAACTGTCTGGTGAGCACTAAAGAACTGCATTCATGCTAGATTATACTCGTCTGTTCCTCGTATATGTTTTTTTCTGATTTGTCCTGATGTTTTTTAGGTGGACAGAAAGCCAGAGTGGTATTTTCTGAACTCTCTTGTCGGCAGCCTGACGTCCTTATCTTGGTAAGTAATAATGTCATAAATAGTGATGGGTACCGAAACTCTGTACTTTATCAGTATCGGTGCTACATTGTAAGTATCGATAAGCTTCTGCTATCGGTACTGGAGAATTGTTGCTGAATAAACATTACCTCCAGTAGCATAACTTAACTGACCAAACTTTTTAAATATACGACATTTGATATTCATCTGTACAGTTGTCAATCTCAAATGAGAAATGCTTGTGTTTCCAGCGAGCGTGTCAATATTAAAGCCCTCCCAATTCTCGGCTGTGCACGCACTCAGTGGAGGCTCGCACTAAGCGCATACACACAGCTTGTGACACAGACTAGCATGCACACACGGCTTGTAAGCTTGTGGAGTGAGCCAAACGGGTTGTGTTTCCCAAGTGGACAGCGTCAATGCCCGTTGCAAGTGAAAGTATCTTTCCAAAGTGCATTAACTGCTGAAAGACAAATCAAGTTTTTGACTCCCTAGTTACTAACGGTAATGTTACATCATCCACATCGTTATGCCAGCAGCCAATCCCCTTAATTAGTATATTAATAGTTAAATAAGCACACACATTCGGTTTCAATGAAAACAGTATTTTGTTCAGCAGTAGCCTAAAGAAATCTTAAACATTAAAAAGGCTTTTACATCAGCTGTTTTTACAAATATGTACATATGAATAGCCTAATAATAAACTATGCTTGTTAAGAAATGATAAAAAACAGCTTATTTTTACATTGCAGGATGCTCAAACTGTATAAAAAAACACTGTTAACGTGAATGTGTTAATGAAAAATTATAACCTTTATCTCATTTAACTGCATTTTGAAACTCAAACAGGGTATTTTCAACTGCATGGAGCACAAGAAACCAAGAAAGATCCCGACTTCTGCCAGAAAAGTCAAACATGTTGATTTTTCTCTACATTCTTTTACATGGAAAAAATATTTAATTTTTTAAAAATTATTGCTTTTGTTTTATTTCACATTAAAAACATAATAATAAAATAAAGTTTTAATTTTTATTTAAAAAAACACTACAAAAAGTATGAAACGATAAATGGTATTGACAAAAGTAGTAATATCGTTAAAACCTTAACGATACCCATCACTAGTCATTAATGTCCTATTAAAGATGAGGAATGAAGATAACTAAGTTGAGTGGTTTAACATGTTCTTCATATTTCTTCATGTTGATGTACAGGATGAGCCCACAAATAACTTGGACATTGAGTCAATTGATGCGTTGTCAGAAGCCATCAATGAATATAAAGGAGGTATGTTGTCTTAATATTATTGATCACAAATGATATTGAGTGCATTAGTGTGTGTCTGCATTTTCAGCATTTTATTATTTTAAATAAGTCTAATTTTCACAGGAATTTTTATAAATTATTGGATTAAACCAACCAGCTATTATGTATATTAAAATATTATAAACAATGATTTGAAGAAAAAAATATACATTTTATAAATTCAGTAGATTGATTGATTAAAGGATTTCTTTCTGTCAATTTCTCTGGAGGTACTCAGTATGTATTTGAGAACAATTTTAATGCTATATTTTCTACAAATTTTGACAATTTTGAAATTCTATGCCTTTCGACTAAAATTTTAAAATGGTCTAACTTTTACTCTAGTTATTTTTTACTAATGTAGTTATTTTATTGGCTTTTTAATCTGTATAAATAAACTTTATTTAAAAGTCAATTACTTTAATTTAAACAAATATTAAAAGGGCAGCTATGATGAAAATCAACTTTTAGAAGCTGTTAAGACAGAACTGTGTGTAGGTATAGTGTCTCCACTGTCATATTGGGTTGATGTTAACCTAAGAATTCTCTTGTTTAAAAATTCCTGACTTGAAATATGACCCAAATCCCAGTGATTTTGAGGCCCACCGCAATGTGACCGATTAGTGCGTTTTTTTTCTGGCTCACCAAATTGATTGACAGGCGCCATGTTTCTAAAAAATAATATATATACACATCCACAGAACATTTATTTTGCAAATAAACTGAGATTAAAATATTTGTTCCAAGTTTTTAAAACAGCTTGTTTGTTATAAAGACAGTAAAATCGCTATGTACTGTAATTCTTAACCAATCTAATCACCATGGCCACATGGTGTCAGTAAACAAGCATATGTGTTTGTACTGCAAATGACATTTGTGTGAGACTCATCATTTCAGAAAGGCTTGAATAAACTCCACCACAAATACATCAAATAAACTAACTTGGTATTTTTTACTTATGAGCTATATTTCAGCTTCATCCGAGTCTGTCTCTGTGCTGTTCATCTGACGCATGACGAGAAGCAGACACACATTTGGGAACAGTGGGCAGGGAGAAGCAGCTCATTTTCATTTAAAGCCACAGGCTACAAAAACAGCTACACTGTACTCGAACACTAAAATGAGCAAATTCTGGAGACTTTAATGAATAATCGAATGGGTATTTTGAGCTGAAACTTTACAGACACATTCTGGAGACACCAAAGGCTTATCTTAAATCTTGTAAAAGGAGTATAATAGGTGCCCTTTCAAAAATCATTATAAAGCATCTTCGGTTTTAAGCCAAAGTTAAACATAGGTATCCTGTTGTGTTGTTTGGTGTATAAATTAGAGTACAAAGGGAATGCACAAGTGGTTTCTAAATTATTCCATTAGCTTTGCATGTAACCAACAAAAAGATTAGCATGTTTTTGGTCCTCAAAAATTGTGTGATGTTGACCAAGAGGTCCACAGATGCTCTTTCAAACATGGCAAAACAAAAGAGAGGCGCTGCTATGTGGAATTACAATGGTGTGTCCACTGTGGAGGTTTTGTTTTGATTGTCTAGTTCAATGGCATCACACACATCTTTTGTAATGGTTAACAATGTTTGATCGGTAAGCATCCTGTGGTCTTATCCACAACAGGACAAGATTATCCTAACAATAAAACATTATGTAGTCTCAATGTAGCATTACATATGTACAAAGATATATAGGCAAAATCATGGCAACTAATATTCATCTTTACCCATTTCTAGCTGTGATAATTGTGAGCCATGATGCCAGGCTGATCACAGAGACCCAGTGCCAGCTGTGGGTGGTGGAGGACCAGTCAATCAACCAGATCGACGGAGACTTTGAAGACTACAAGAGAGAAGTGCTGGAGGCCCTTGGTGAGACCCTGGTCAACAAGCCTAAAGAGTGAAGCACGGCCGGTGTTTATTACAGGAGTGTCAAACTACATCACTGAAGGGCTTTTTGCTGCGTCTACATTGCTACTTCTCAATAGAACCAAAAAGTACCTGCATGCAAACATACAAACCCTACAGCTGCAGGACGAGTGAAAGCTGACGCCAGATCAGTATTTTCACATGCAGGGCTTGTTCTTTAGTCATGATGTCTGGCATTCTTGTGTTAATCTTACATTCAGGTCATGTAATCACCAGCTCTGTTCATCTTTCTGATGCAATGCTATTAAACCTGCTTTGTAACTGATCGCCACAGTGGGAATTTATCAAATGTGAACAGAGAGGACTAGAAGTGTGCCGTGTGATAACGGTGTCTGACTGCTAATGCTATTTACTATTAATGCCACTTCATAGTATTGGCTCTTGCGTTCACATCATTATATTATCATTGTGCTGACATACTGAACCAGCCTCAAACTGTTTCACCCTCACCTGTGTTCATACAGTGATGCATCTGTCTAGAATTATGAAATAAGCAGGGCTGTTGACTCATTGGGTTTGGATAGAAACCGAAATTTAAATGATTTGAAAAAGCAAATAAATGATTTTTGCAATAAAGTCAAGATTTTCAGAGTTTTATTTCATTTTATGCTTCATATATTATGCTTGTCTTGGTAGGAACAAATGTAACCATGTCAAAAGCAAATGTCTATTTTCTTGTGGTCGTTTTAAGTGCTGGCAGAGAAACAAGGCGGATGAAAATTCCAAATTTGCTTTGCTTAAAGAATTTACTCTGGATAAAGCTGTATTTTATTGATAATTGGAATATTTTTTGACTAATTATAGTAATGTGTTTAATGGACTGCTGCTGTTCAGCTGACTAAACATCAACTATTTTAAAAGTGAGATGTGACCAATCACCACAGTAAATGTGTACACAAATTTCAGGACTCCATCTCATCTGACTAAGGTCTGTTAAAGCAAGATTCAGACTTCAGGTTTAAGGTAGTCTTTGTAGATCCGCTTCACTCTTGCCAGTTCTCGCTCGTCTGGTTTTATACTACCATACCAAGAATACCACAGTTCTCCAGAGCTGAGGGGAAATGGAGGAGGAGTTGTGGTTACAGCACCATGAGTGTTTGAATAGTCTTCTTTAGTGAAATCCACATGTGCAAACTGGGCACGAAGTAAACCTTTTGAGAGAGAAAAAATGTATGAGATTATATCCCTCGAGCATGTCCACCAACTTTTTAAAAGGGATTAATGGTGTGTTAACACTTGGCAGGTTTTTTTGAATAAAATATACTCTGTGGCACCAAACAAGTGGATATCAATCAGTCAATTTTCAATAATAACAGGACATGATGTCTCAAGATGCAACCATAAAATTAAATGCTCAAGTTTGTGATGTTGCTTGTGACACTAAAATATAGATGTTAAAACATGTCCTCGCTGCAGATCTTCATTTGTGTATAACGCCAGGCAATGTTTTGATAAGTAGCCTAATCTATTAAACACAAAAACAGTGTTGCATTTTCATCCCAATTAGCGGTTTCTCAACCACTTTTCTGACATGTCTCAAAGCCATTGTCAGGATTTTTTTTTTCATTGTTTATCATGGATACCTGCGTAACACTTTCTTGTTTCCTCTCATAACATCACACTTCTGCCACTATCTGCTAAGTGTTTTATGTAGAGGTCTGACAAGCTGGCTTCAATAAAAATAGAATAAAATAAAAATGCCCAAACCGATTGCAATTTTAGCTGGTTTGAGATCTAATTAGTTTGACATGAACATGAAACACTTAATTAGGTTAAATAAAAAAAAACACACTTAAGAGTTTTTGGTTGGTTTGGTCCAGACAAAAAAAATGCTATATTAAGCCCTGGGTTGCTTAAATTTCACACTATTACTTAACACTGAACCTAAGGATGTAATAAAAACAACTAAAAACTGAAATACTTCTAGAGTTTATATTTTGCAACAGATCTTCCTGAACATCCAACAATGATGTGTGCATGTGATTGTATAAAAACAAATAAGAGCTTATAAGATGTCTGAAGATTAGGCATGGGACGATAACAGTCATTGTATACCGCGGTTTGAAAAAGTCAATGTTTTTAAATACACAAAAAAATGTTCTGCTATACCGTTCCTAATGTATGTGAATTTTTTTTTGTTTATGTTTTTTTGTTGTTGCTTTTTAGGACAACAGTATCTCGAACAGAAAAAATGTCCAAAGATGCCGTTTTAAATTGTAAAGAAATCAGTGTTTTTGAAACTAATGAAGACAGAAGTCAATGATTAATTTAAATTATTTAGCCTGACATGTTTACTGCTCCATAAATTTTAAATGTTTCTCAAAATAAAATATATTGTGTTCAAAGAGAAAAAAGTTGTAGTTTTTTACCCAGACATTTAAAAAGAATACATTTAAAAGGTAATCACAATACCATGAAACTGTGATATTTTTATCCAAGGTTATTATACCATCAAAATCTTATTGACTTTATTCTTCAATGCGGAAGTGTGCATGGTTTTGCGATTGTTTTAGAACTTCCCAATTCAGTTGCCTATGGGAGAAATGACTAGGAATAATAAAACTGCAGAAAACGATCAAACTACTTGCTCTACAAACAAGTGTTTGCATGACTATAAAGACAAAGCAAAATAATATAATAGGAAAATGTCAGTTTGCAACATCAAGCAGCAGAACGAGCAGTTTTTAATGTCTAAAAATGAATGGAAGTAAATGAGACAGGAAGTCTCGAGCCAAAAGTATTCAATGGCTGCACCAGCTCATACGCGAAGAATAAGGTGAATACTGGCCCATGTCTAGTGAAAATGTCAATGCAGCACAGAGAAATCTATAATCAAACGCTGACATATGTATATTAAAATCTGCTTTAAAAGAAAAGCAGTTCTGACAATGTTCAGTCAAATGAACCATACTAAGAGCAATTACACCAGAACCCTTCTAATCCAATCAAAACCTGCCAAGTATGAACACACCCTTTATAAGGCGCTAATTAAAATTGCAAAAACACCAACTTACCAAAATCTTTAGCAGTTTCAATAGCCTTGCTAAGTAGTTTCTGTTGCTTCATGCACACACCTACAGAAAAATAAATGAAATCAAAAGTGGTGATCAGATCAGATAAAAAAAAAATTTCCATTGGAATGTACTGATAAATCTGTTACCGGTTACTGTGGGATCATGTACCACTCCAGTTTCAGGACAAAAGAACTGCTGCAACAAGTTCACATTCTGCAGAACAAATATTGTAAAATTATAATAAATGCCACTAAGCTTTATATATATATATACACACATGTGTATATGTATACACACACACACACATACATGTATATAAAGGCATGCGACAATAAGCATCCATAATACTGTGAATAATTATGTATCATTTAAGTATTTAAAATCCTATTATAGAAGGTTTAATTAATATTCATATTGATATCATAAGAAATTCTGAAACCATTATATGCCTGCTTTTAAGTGTTGTATTCACACACACACACACACACACACACACACACACACACACACACACACACACACACACACACACACACACACACACACACACACACACACACACACACACACACACACACACACACACACACACACACACACACATATGAATAAAAATGATTATAAAAGCGTCTCAAAAACCAACCTTGTAATGGATAATGATATTTGGATCACGACAGATGGGACACGGGTTCGCACATTTCTTATCTCCTCTCTGTGACAAAACACAAATCATTAATTCATACTTTACTGACTGTGCTGGTAATAATACAAAAATAAATAAATAAATGTGTACTCACAATACAGGTTTTTCTTGTCTTTTGAGGTGGGATCCCACCTTTATGATTCCTCCTGTAGTTTGTCCACACAGGCTTTGTTCCATAGCGTTCAATGTATTCTTAAAAAAACAAAAACTTAAAGTTATTATATGCTGGTATACGTTATTATATTATATGCTATTATATATGTTGACCAGTGTTGGGGGTAAAGCATTGCAACAACACAATAATATTACTTTTCTAAGTAACGAGTAAAGTAACGTTACTTTTTCGAAAATTTAACTAGATTTACTTTTTAGTTTCAATTAATTAGCTTGTAGCGTCCTTCACTAATTGTTCACGATTCATTTATTAATCACATTCCATAGAATTAGTATGTATTTTTTCATCATGAACTAGAGAGAAAATAAACAAAACAAATAAATCCCGAAAATTAAAACACTAAGCCAACATCAACAATTAAACATTAATCTTAAACAAATAAACCAAATTACCTTATTTTTCCCTCAAACCAGGAGCTATAACTCATGAAGGAGGAATCCGTGAAGTAACCGTATACCTGTGCCACTTTTACTGTGTTTCGCCTAGCGTTCCATACTTTGTTTTCAATCATTACTACACGCAATATATCAAGTAGGCTCCGCAATTTTTACGTCATAATTAAAGTCCCCAAACAACTTAATTCATTCAACAAATCATAAAAAAACTAATTCTAAATCATAAACGAATTAACACATTATTTCAAGTTTCTTTACATAGCTTTTAAAAAATAAGTGAATTAAAATTAGTCACAATGTATCAAGCAGTCAATGAGAGAATGTGTTCATTATTTTGAATGCATTTTTTCATTTAAACAAAAGGAAAAGGGGATTATAGTCTCAATGGACAGTGATTTTACTTAAGACAAATGGTACAAAAGCAGCAAACACATTGCTTTAAACTTTTAATAATCTGTATATACGGCATGTATAGCTCATAGCTCAGGGGTCAGGAACTTCTCAAATAACATCCTAAAATTTTTTATTTGTGTTTTTTTTAAAGGTAAATGTGGGTTGTACAGTGCATAAATAATTGCAGAACTCCTCTATTTAAAAAAGAAAAAAAAAGTTCTGAAAGAGGTTAAGCCTGAGCCAGGTAATAAAAAAAGTAACGCAAAAGTAATGTGACGCATTACCAGTGATGTAAAGTAACAAATTATAAATACTCAAATTACTGAAATGGAGCAGTCTTTTCTCAAGAATTGAAATTTAGTAAGTTGTTTTAAAATGTGAATTTTTACTTTTCCTCGAGTACATTTTTAGTGCCGTAAAGTTCTTTTACTCCACTTCTTTCCTTCAACCTGCAGTCTCTACTTGTTTTGTCTATGGGCATTGGCTAAAGTAGAATAATCAGTCCTGTGATTCTGGTCCAACCAAATCGCACATAGAAACAAACTTATATCATCCTAAACCTAAAGACATGCTTTATAAATGTAACAAACTGCTTGGAAGCATTAACAGTGTCCAAGAAGATGGACGACCAAGAGACTGTTTAGATCAGGGGTGTCAAACTCAATTCCTGGAGGGCCGAAGCCCTGCACAGTTTAGTTCCAACCCTGCTCCAACACACTTACCTGTAGGTTTCAAACAAGCCTGAAGGACTCAATTAGTTTGATCAGGTGTGTTTAATTAGGGTTGGAACTAAACTGTGCAGAGCTGCGGCCCTTTTGGAACTGAGTTTAACACTTGTGGCTTAGATGCAAGTCACTGATGAGAAGAGTGATGCCAACTGTATAATGACTGAATTTGTCAACACTAACTAAATGCACTAATGTTACGTTTACATATCCCTGCACAACTTGCATATAAACGCATCAGCCTTTCACAGCATAATGCTCACTACTTGCTAATCTTTAGTACTTTTAAAGGGTCTACTTTTTGCTCATACTTTGAGTAATATTCACAACAGATACTTTTACTCTACTTGCACTACATTTTTGGGCAAGTAATGGTACTTTTACTGATGATTTATCAGTACTCTTTCCACCACTACGCATTTCTTGAGAGGGAGTTGGACTTCTTACCATAAAAGTAACAAAGTAACGCAACTAGTTAACGTTACTTCTTGGGAGTAACTCAATGATGCACCACTTTTAAATATAACATTCCCCAACACTGATGTTAACTATATACTTTAATAGTCATATTTACCTTCACTTTTTAAGTACTCCCATGGTGTGTCTGCATATCTAGATAGCGTCTCCGCTGAATTGGTGTTATCAGCAGATGAAGATGATGCACAATAATTGACACGATGCACCGGAGCGACAATGGACGTTATTCTTACATCACGAATTCTCTGCAATGCAAAATAAAGAACGTGATTCGTCCTCTTCACGTGATCACTTCGCTGTAAACACGACATTTATATAACCACACGTTATATCAAAAACATCAGTTAAAATGTTAATTTATAATCAACAAACCTGTGCTTGAAGATGTCGTTGTAAATTAACGGGAAATGTGCGGCAAGCAACTATCCCAATGCGTTGTAAGGAGGCTGCCATTTTGTCTTTGCAGGAAACACGGAAGTTGTAACGGTTAAAGTGTACTGTGACGGAAGTACGCAGCTTTTATTATTTATCTCACGTTTTCTATTTGTTGTAAAACTAAACACGCGTTGTCTTTTGCAAAGTCAGCTTGTCATGAAAGTCTAGTTTTAGTCTTATACGCATATTATTTGTTGGAATTTAAATGGATTTGCTTGTTTTCAATGGCAAACTATAAATAATTAAAATGAATGTTTCAGATCTTATCCAAGACACAATTAATATGTATTTTTTATCTGCTTAGCCTTAAGTATAGGAAAAATAATGGATTTATTTTACAAGAAACAGCAAACATCAGTGATAATCAAACTGTTATTTTAAGGGTTCAAATCTCTACAATGCATAAATGATCTGATTATCATTAGGACTGATGCTGTTAAAGAAAATCTGTGTGAAAATATATAAATTAAAATAACATTTATGCTTTTTTTTAATCGCAAACATTTCTCTCTTTGGAACTATTTTAATCGACGCAAAGTACATAGAATATATGGTAGATAAACTACATAATTGCAACATTAATGTGTCATTTTGACTGAATACAATATATATATATATATATATATATATATATATATATATATATATATATATATATATATATATATATATTTTTTTTTTTTTTTTTTTTTTTTTTTTTTTTTTTTTAAAGAGCATATGAATCATAAACCATAGTAACTGGTTGGGGTGGGCTCGTCCTTGAACAAAGAAAGAAGGTCGTTTCGAGAGTGTGCGCGCGACAGGACCGCGTGATCATCAGCTCCATTTTGTGTCGAAAGAAACGCCCGAAAGCGCGCTCGCGCCACTGGAATGACGCAAAAAACGTCAGAACCATATATACCGAGTCCCACCCTTCTAGAGCATTCCTGGATTTGTCTGAGGTAAGTGCTATATCGAAGGACAGCTTTCTTACTTTTTTTCGCGATTTAAAGTGTTTTTGCCCCAACTTTTGGCTACATCATCAATTTTATCAACAATCCGGCCTTTTTGAACATTACCTGGATTTCCGCCTCCAAAAATGCGTTTTTTTCTTACGTTCTCTTTGTCCTGTTGTTTCGTTTCAGGTCTGAGTCGGTCTCAGTGAAGATCTGGCGTCGAGGATTTTTCAACTGTGTACGAAGAGAAAACCCCAAAATCTCTTACTTTTTTCTACTCGAGTAACGGACATTCGCTTACTACCTTTTTTGCTCCAGATTGTTCAAGAAGGAAAATCTCAATTTCAGCCACCACAATCCCGCCCATTATGCCATTTTTCAGCCAATAATGCTTAAGTCATGACAGTTTACGTTCTCTTAAACTGTTATAAAGCTGAAATTTGTTGCTGTTAAGCACAAAATATTAATAGCAACCCGAGACGCAGAGGAGAGGTATTAATAGTAAGTGTTTTTTCAAACCAATTTGAATCGAAACTACGTTAACAGTTAACCAATTGTTTGTGTTATAAATGATTTCAGATATAAATATAGATGAAAGCTTTAGAGAAAGATCGACTGTGGCGACCTTAATGCGCCACAGTTTCTTCTAGAGGACAGACAGCATGCTGAGATAAAGCGAGGCAGAGCTAGCTATAGCGTATGAGCTCACATTGCAAAGCCAGAGCAGCGGCTTCAACGCCCTGTTTCTCTTTGTGTGTGAGACGGAGCAATCCTTACCATAATTAAAGTAACGATAATTCATCGAATAATGAGCTAGCCATCGCTAATCATAAGCAATCTGTACATAAAGATTGCCATAGGCAGAGTCAGGAAGTGACTGCATTCAATTGGGGCTTTTTTTTTATAAACTGCATTCTTTTCAAAGGAGAGCTCACTGGAACAACCAACGCAATCTACACATAAAGATTGCCAAAGTGGCGCCTGTGGATTTAGCCGAACGAGGGAAATGCAACATTTTGTTCATAATAGGTTAATAGCTGGCGGAGCTGTGGATATCGTTGTGATAGTATTTGGTGAAAAAAATAAACCTCCCTAGGCAGTGATAATGTATGAAATGCATAGCAGTCTAAGTATAAAGATTGCATTTTTGTGTCGTGTGCGTAGATGGGGTGTTATTTGTCTTTTCGACTTTGCTTTAAAATGGCGGACGGGTTGTCCTTTTCTTGAGGCAATGGTGGCTTTGTTTTTCTGGCTGGATCTACAGGAAATACTTTAGTTCGGAACGGCTGTCGCGTCGCCATCATCCCCATTTACAGCTTGAGGTATCGTCTTAACATACATGAGTCGCTAGCGGGGTTAATGTAGCATTTTTGTAAGATAAACAGCAGGCGGGGGACATATATCGTATTTTTTAAAAGACTTGTTGCAGTTCAAAGATGGCGACCGTGCATCCGTTCTATTTAGCCCACCGCGTACACGAGGACAAGTGGTTAAAGATAATGGGCGTGGTTTAGCTCGGACTTCAGCCAATCAGAGGAGCCGCTGTCAGCTCAGGGCGAGCTGCTAAATGAGAGGGAGACTTCGACAGATGGCAAATCAAATCCCCTGGTGGCCACTATTGAGCAGACGAAAATAATTGTATTATAGTCAGGCCAACACTGTATTGCTCTGTTGACAAGTTCTCAATCAATCCTTGGTCAGTTTTGTAAACTCGATTAAAAAGTGAATGTAGGTTAACTTACATGGTGTTAAACTGGTTTATTTGTAGCCATTATTATACAAAAAGTTATTAAATATAAATAGTTAAGTTTATTTAAAAAGTAAGCAAACAACTTGTAACATCTTGACAGGTACTTCAACGTTAATGTTTTCTTTACAGTGACTGTACATGAAATCTTGTTCACTTTTTCTTGTTTGTCATGACAACTGACATTTCCAGGAATTGTGTGTATTGTTCCGTGTTTAAGGAGTTCGGTTGTGACTATAAAAAGTTCTTCACCAACAGTGTTACGGGTAAGACAAAACCTGATTTCTCACACGATCAAAAGTGAGTAAGTTTAACTTTTTCGATTCAGCCATTAGTAGACATTTTCAACTGTCTTGAAAATTACGTAGAAAATAAAACGTTGCTAAACTTTTGCATGCCTAAAAGTCGTACAAATCTCCATACTATCGGTTTACGTGTTTTTTAGTTGTAATGTGTAATCTAATCCGTCGCGTTGATAATCTTTCTGCTGTAGTTAGTTGTGTTGAGTCGTCGGCTTCCAGTCAATTGTGCTGTAGAGAGAGGAAATGAAGGCAGAAATACTCGCTGTTGCTCAGCGTGGGCAGGGCAAGTGACGTGATCTCTCTCTCTCTCTCTCTCTCTCTCTCTCTCTCTCTCTCTAATTGACTTGGCTTCCTCAGATCTTATTGATTTCATTTATTAACAAAATGTACATTGTGTGTATATTTGTTTATTTTAATATATTAATCACATTTAATGGACCATTTAATGTCATTGGCCTATGAACGTTTCCTGATTGTTATCAAACTGTTTCATAACTAACAAGAGGCAATTCAATCATAACTTAAATGTTAAAACAGCTATCATAACAATATTTATCAATATGTGTCTCTTTTTGGAAGCTATAGAAATTAAAAATGTAAAACAGGAAACACGTTGGGACCACTGTTTTTGTTTACATCCCTCAAAACTTGTATTTTTACATCACGCAGTTTGCAGTTGTATTTCAGTAATGTAATGAGAGAAATTGTATTTAGAAATGGTCACAAGGTGGCGACATACAACTTCAAAAGCCTTGTGTTCAATTCCACAAAACCTTTGGTGAAAGTACAGTTGCAAGTACGAGTGTTTTCTGAGCTGGACACTGATCCACAAGGCGGGGAATCAAGTCTGCTGGAATCAATTTTACCCTTTCTTATTTGCATGTTTGTTTGTTTTTTCTCAACTTTTGTTCTTACTATATACATGTATATTTATATTAAAAGGTATGGAAAAATGTAATGCATCACAGCTAAATAGTAATTATTAATGAAATATTCCCAGGTAGCTACTTTTTAAATCATTTTATAATTATAATTTGTTATATTATTCATTTAAATATAATTTAACAATTTTTATCCCACCTTGTGGTTTTCGATTTCTGTACACTGAGGATTAAATAAAAACATGTTTTGGGGAAATATTTAAATCTATTACTTAAATTTTTTATACATGTTGGTCTCGCTTCATATTAGAAAATGTATTATTATATAGAGTAAAAACAACAACTTAAATACATGAAGGTGTTATGATAAGCTTACATTGGGTCCCTCACATTAATTAACAGCTTCATACCAGTAAGAAATGTTAATATCTGTAAAATGTTCCAATTTGACACCCTCAGAAATAAGTACAAGAGCTGTCACTACTACTTTAAAACTATTTAAGTATAAATGTGTACTTTTAATATCCAAGTATAAACCATTTCAGTACAGACATTTACATTTCTCACACCAGCTCTCATACCTATTGCTGATAGTGTTATAATATAGCATATTGTTTTCAACACTTCTATAAACTTTAATTTAAACTAGATCATTTCAATGTGGTGATGTCATTGGCCCATGAACATTTCCTGCTTGTTATAAAACTATTTCATAACTGTAGGCAATTCGATCATAACTTTATGTTAAAAACGGCTATCATAACATTATTTATCAATATGTGGACCTTTTTGGATTCTCGGAAGCTATGGAAAATAAAAATGTAAAACAGGACATATATTGGGACCACTGTTTTTGTTTACATGCCTCAAAATGGTCTATAGACAGATTGTATATTTATTCCAGAGTCTTATGTGTGGTTGACTTTTCTGTTTAACAGAAAAATACCATCACTCATTTGCACACCTTTACTGTTTCCTCTTTAGTGTATATTGAAATTATTTGTCATAAATGGGGTAATAGTAGTTTTGGAGGGTTATCATTACAATTTCTACTCTTTCATTACAAATAAAAGAAGTTGTAAAAACAATGTTCAGCTGTAAGTGCATTCTCAAATATTTTTCAGTGTTGTCTTTGCATCCCTCTTATCTCTTCTCA